GTTCTCGGAGTTCTTTTATGCGAGGCACTGCATTACGTGCTTTCCACTCATTCCCTCACTTAACCTCACAACCACCCTGTTAAGTACTTAGTGATTGCCTTCCCATTTTATAGATGAGTAAACTGAACCACAGAGGGAGAAAGTAATTTGCACAGCAAACAGTGTACATCCTAGGAGAACCCATTCTCCGTGGACTCCAAGTGCAGGTTGGGAATAGAAAAGGAAAAAAGCTTTGAGAGTTACTGTGTTTATTCATTCATTTATTCTTTCTCTCATCCTAGAGTACCTGCTACATTCATTCAATGGCAATTCTGCAAATGTTAAATGGAAGGCTCATTCTGGGCAGGGTGCCAAGAATTAAAAAATGAATAAGACCCAAGACCGTTGCCTTTACGAGGCCTCTTAGTAAAGGGAAAGAATAGAAATAGTCATAGATGATTCTAATACACTGAGGTAAGATTGGTGACCAAGGAACACCTGGGGAACTCTAGGAGCCCACACAGTGCCCCAGGGGGTCCCTCAAGGCTAAAGGGGAGCTTGTGGGCAGAAGAAGGGCTGCCGTAGGGAGCCTGGGGAGGAAGGCTTCCCGGGCAGGTACAGTGGCTGGAGCAAGCCTTTGAGACGCCTCCGGGCTTGAGCCTTAGCAGGGGTCATTAACCCAAATATCTGCAGGGGCTGGTGGGAAATGAAAAGGGTGAATCCAGCAGGTGTAAGAGTGAACAGCATTCACTGCAGGGATAACGGGCAGCTGGTGTGCCAGCCGCAGCACCTGGGAGCGGCGGGGACCATGGCTGAGCGGAAACGGCACACCCTGCCCAGACAGGACTCCCTCGGCCCGGCAGCTGCTGCCCATGTGGGACCATGGGCTCAGCTTTGCCGGGTCTGTAAACTTTTACAAAAGAAGCTGGAAATCTGGATTTAATTGAAATCTATAAATGTTTTTGAATGTTGGCAACAAATTCAAATCCTAACAAAGCATTCTGTGAGAGTCAGACAAAAATGTCTGTGGGCGGATGTCAGCTCTCGGGCAGCCTGAGTGTGCCTGTGATTCCTGGGCCCTGGGGACCCAGGGGGCACCTGGGAGGCCTGGGCCCTCGGCAGCCAGGACTCGGAGTCCTGGAGGGTCTCGCAGAGGCCGGAGCCACTTAGACCTGGCTTTGGAAAGGTCCCAGAAGGTTGCGTACAGGAGGGATTAAAGCGACAAGGCAGGTCCCCGGCAGCTAGGGTGGGAAGCAGCTAGCCAGGGAGATAGGGAAACCCTGGGGGAGGCAGGGGTGAGCCCAATGCCCCAACTCCTGGAGCAGGCAGGCAGTGAGGGGCACAGGGGGCGGCCTTGTAATGCGAGGCAGTGGCTGCAGAGGCTAGAGGCACCGGGCATGGGGCTTGGCCACTGTGGGCCCAGCAGCCAGGGAGGCTTTCTGCTGAAGGGTCACAGGGATCACCGTGAGGGATGAGTGTCTGGATGCAGGGCAAGAAAAGGAGGAAGAGAGTCCTCCGCAGAGACCAGCAGGAAGGGAGAGGATAGTAATATTTTGTTTCCACCAAAGGCATAGCGGACAAAGCGTGTCATACCGCCCTCTGCATTTTTCCTCGCACAGCACATCCGGGGCCTCCGCGGCATCATCTCTTGCTTACCGAGCAAGGGGCTGAGGCCTGGAGAGGTGGAGAGATCTTTTAGACTCACATAAGCCAAGTTCGCCCTCAGCTCCAGGTGCCGTCTCAGCTTCTCATACCAGGCTTCTCCCACGAGAGCCCACACAGCAGCATCCAGCGCCCAGGCGGCACCTGACCAATGACATCAGAATTCCCGGGCGTGGGACCCAGCGTCCGTATCCTTAAAGCACCCCAGCTCGTTCCAGGGAGCAGTACAGGCGGGCACGGCGGCTTTACATGCTGGTCACAGCCCCCGCATCGCTTTCCTGACTCGCTGCTGACCCAGAATGGTTATTAATAGCTCCCTCTTCCACTCTCCAAGGTGACCCAATTTGGAAAATGAAGTATATGGTCGTCCCTTCTTATAATCTACAAAAATAAGGGATCACAGGACAAACTTATTTTTAAACTCTATTAGTTACATATTCAAATAATTGGCCCAGCAGGGTTTTCTTCCATCTCTAGACACCCTTTCAGGTGGAGCTCCTCTAATCGGGTTGGCAAACCAAGGCTCACAGCCCAAAGCCAGGACGCCGCCTATTTCGGTGATAAAGTTTTCGTGGAACGCGGCCACACCCACTTAGTGACGCCTCGCCTGTGGCTGGGTTTCGCGGCGACGGCAGAGTGCAGTCGTTGCAATGGAGGCTGCGTGGCCCACAAAGCTTAAAATATTTACTATCTGGCCCTTGGGAGAAAAGTTTAAGCTGGACTCAGTGGAAATTTAAGCTTGTCAGGCTTTTTTTCTGGGAGGTGTAGGAGCAAAGGGACACTAGGTGAAACCGGCATTAAGGGGAGAACAGGCTGGGAGGAGAGACGGAGGCCACACCTCCCCAAGCCTTTGGATTCCGATGTGGGGCTCATGGGCGTGTACTGACGCTTTCAGCACAGGGGCACGGCCACCTCCGGGCCGTGCTTTAGAGAAAGTAGTTTGTCAATGAAGGCGGGCGAGGCTGCAAGAGAGGCAGGAAGAGGGAGAGGGCAGTGAGGGCCGTGGGGGCCTGTGAGCAGTCCTGGGGCAAATTCGTCCGTCATTCGTTTACCCATTCGTTTGCTTCCATGCCTGCTACACCCCAGCGGCGAACATCACGCAGTGCCTGCCAGTACGGGGCTGGCGGGGAGGAAGAGAAGCAATCAACAGACAGATAACGTGTCAGGCGAAGCTAGGTGCGAGGGAGAAAGATAAAACAGGGTAAGGGAATGGGATGCGGGGACACATGCTTTCTACAATAGAGTGGTGAGGAAGGCCTCGCTGACAAGGTGAGCAAGGGAAGGGGAACAGCAAGTGCGAACGCCCTGCAGTGGCCATGAGTATGATAACAAGCTTGGTATCAGTGGGGATGGATAGATGGGGACAGGCTTGTTTATGGAGCATCGACAAGATTTGTGAGTAATCGGATGGTGGATGAATGATGTGACAAGGCTGGTTTAAGTCAAGGATGCTTAACATTGGCTGCACTTTAAAAGCATGTGGGGAGAGTGTTAAAATGCCATCTTTGGTGCTCTATTATTCTATTTACATGAAACCCAAAAGTAGACAAACATCCAGAGTATTTAGGGAACTCAGTAAGCACTGGCAGCGTGGCTCAGTTGGTTGGGCATCATCCTGAGAAGAGAAAGGTCACTGGTTTGGTTCCCAGTCAGGGCACATGTCTGGGTTGCAGATTCCGTCTGTGGTCAGGGCACACACGGGATCGATGTTCCCTCTCACATCAGTGTTTCTCTCCCTCTCTTTCCGCCTCCCTTCCCCTCTCTCTAAAAATGAATAAATAAAATCTTTTTTAAAAAAAGAAATTCAATAAGTAGACAACACAATTTTTAAATGGGCAAAAAATATGAACAAACACATCACAAAAGAAGATGTGCAAATGGCCAGTAAGCACATGGAAAGATGCTCGACATAATTTGCCATCAGGAAAATGCAAATTAAAACCACATTGAGATAGCACTACATACTCGCTAGAAAGACTAAAATTTATACTGACAATACTAAGTGTTGACAAAAATGTGGAGCAACTGGAACTCTCATGCACTACTGGTGGGAATGTAAATGGTACTGCAACTCTGGAAAACAATTTAGCAGTTTCTTATAAAGCTAACATAAATTTACCATATAATGAGGCATTTCCAATTCTAAGTATTTACCCAAGAGAAATAAAAACATATGTTTGCACAAAAACTCTTGTATATGAATATTTGTAACAGCTTTATTCTTGGTAGCCAAAAATGGAAATGGCTCAGGTGTCCACTAACGAGTGAATATATGAACAAACTGTGGTATATCTATACAATGGAATACAACCCACAATAAAAAGGAATGAACTAGTGATGCATGCGACAACATGGATGAATTTCCAAAAGGCAGTGCTAAGCAAAAGAAAACAAAACAAAACAAAGCAATAAAAGACTGCCTACTGTATGATTCAAGTTGTATGAAATGCTAGAAAAGGCAAAAGCATAGTGACGAAAGCAGGTCAGAGTTTGCCTGGGATTGGGACGGGCAGAGGAATTGGTTGCAAAGGGGCCCAGAGGAAATTTCTGGTGACATAGAAGTGTTCTGCCGTGGTGATGGTGCTTTACACAGGTTATATCTGTCAACACTCATTTGCACATGTAAAATTGGTATGTTTTATTGTGTGTAAATCACAATTCAATGGAGCTGATTAAAAAAGAAAACAGATAAAACTCATCCTGAGTGGCAGAGGTCAGAATAGTGGTTACCTATTCGGGAGTAACCCCTTACCTTGGGGGTCAATGGGCTGGAGAGGGTACAGGGTCGCCTGCTCAGGGCCGGGTAATACCCTGCACCTTGATCTGGCACTCACCAGACGAGTGTATATTTATGTAAAGATTCACTGAACTGTGTACTCAGGATTTATGCCCTTTACTGTATGTAAATTATACCTCAAAATTTTACCTCCATTTTAAAAGTAATGTGTGAATCCCATTCCTAGGAATTGGGATTTAATGGGTCCAGGGATATGCCCAGGCTTTGGTATATTTTAGGAGATTCTAATGTTCAGCCGGAGTTGAGTACCGCTGTTTTCGGGACAGGAAGGGGTGAAGTGTTGGATCTGAGTGATGGGGGAGAATTCCAATGCCATTCACAGTCTGGTGGCACAGTCAGGGCCAGAGGAGGGTGCTCAGCTCAGCTCTGGCTTTCAGGGGATTCGAAGTGAGGCTGGGTCTTCCGAGCTTCCACATGGCCACAAGCAAAGCTAAGCAGGAAGCTCCAGGGTTGCGGGCTGTAGGCCAGGCTGACTACGTACTGAGCACTCTTGGGGAACGTGCCCTTTGTGGAGTTGGCTTCAGCTCAAGCTTCCCCACCTCCCCCTGACTCCTAGGGCAAGATGGCAGCAGATGAAGGCTCGCAGGACACCTTGCGGCTCCAGTTCAAGGCCATGCAGGAGATGCAGCTTAAAAGGTTACAGAAGCGGATGGAGAAACAGAAGGAAAAGGAACTGAGCCTCAACAGCAGAGTCGATGACCCAAAAGAACCCTTAGAGATCTTCGATGGCCTCAGCCTTTTCCCAGCTGGGGAGCTAAATTCAAAAAACAGCTTCGAGCAGAGGTAAACGCAAGTTTGAACTCTACCAGGAGCATCACAAGGAGGTGGGCAGGTGAGGGAGACACGGCCGTAGGCTGTCAGGTCGACCAGGTGCACGTTTCTAACTTGAGACACAGAGGTGTTGACATAGAGGTTGTTATTGAAGACTCTTGCATCTGATAGAAGGTCTGCACTCCTGTGGACAAAATTTGATATGAAATGTACTTAAAAACCATGTAAAGTCACATTGAAATTGGGAAACTCACCAGGGTGTGGTTTATTCACTTGGATTTTCTTCTGTAGTCTCTCATGGAAACCATGTTTGGGTTTCTGAGGAGCTAGTTGGCTGCCTTTGACGGTTCATCAAAAATCATTGTCCATCTTCATCTGGGACCATTCCAATGTCCTTTTCCTGACATAATAACACATACACCTGCCTGTCCTCAGGAAGCTCTTGGTGGGCTCCTTGCTATTTTTTAGTTGATGGAAAAGTTGTAAAGAGTCCAGAACCCTTTCAGCTTGCTCTAAATTTGATATCACATAGATTTATATTGACCTATACTGGTTATTGGAAACAGGAGTCTGTATTGATACAACATTCTCTGCTTGTGATTTTTACATAAAAATCACAACAGTTGTTGAGCTGCCTTTTTGCTTCTGGCTTCACCTAGAATCTATTTTCTCCATCTTCAAATTCTACTTCTTATAGCTTCTCAGTGTTCAAAATCATCTACTAAAAATGCTCATTGAGAAAAAAAAGAAAGATCTCTCAATAATTGAAAAAATTCATATGGCTCTTAAATATTAGCTGTAAGTTAACCCCAGAGCTATTTGCAAGTGATCTTTGCCCAAATCCAAGAAAGTGGACTTGATGGAGACTTGAGCCATTGATGGATTAACAACAACACAACAACAACAACAGCTATCATCTAAATGACAATAACCTGTAACTCCTAAACTTATTGACTTTCTGAGCAATGGTCTCTAGAGAGTCTGTTCCATTTGTAACAATGGAAGTCATTGCAGACCACCACCACGTGTTAACTGGCTTCTAAAAAGAGCCTTGCAGGCAATTTATAATACTGAAAACCAACCAACTACCTGTTCTGATTTTCTGAACAGATGCTATTTGGTCTTCTAATATGTATATGCAATGAAGACTATAAATTTCCTTCTAAGTATCATGTTAGCTGCATTTCACAAGTTTTGATATCGATTGTGTCTGCAGTCCATCCATTCTAAATGCTTTATAATACATATTTTGATTTCTTCTTAACCCACAAATAATTTAGTAGTTTTTTTTTAATTCAAACATAGGCTTGCAGTTTTGTTTTTTTAATTTTTACTATATTTTTAGTATTGATTTCTAATTTTAGTTCACTGCTGTGAAAGAAAACGGTCTGTATGATGTCCATTATTTGGAATTTGCTAGGAGTGCCTTTGTAGACTATATTAATACATTTTTGTGCATGTTCTGTGGATGTTTAAAAGTAAAAGAAACTCTCTAAGCGGGGGTTTTATGTCGCTCTCTGTTGAATCCACAGTAAATCATGTTCAAAACCTTTCTCCTTTCACGTGTGTGCACATGTGCGTGTGGCCCGCCTGTGCTGAATCACTTAGTTTTGAGACCAGTGTGTTACAGTCCGCTCATTGAGGTTTTGCTAACTTCTCATTCCTATTTGGCACAGACCAGTTCTTATCACCACCCAGTGCCCAACGAGGCGCAACACACACGGGCAATGGAGGCCTGACCCCCGCCCCTGGCCCCTGTGAGGAAGCAGCAACTCGGCCTTTGCCTTGCAGGGTGATTGAAGATGAGATTGAACAGCTCCGCAGTCAGCTCAGGGAAACCGTGGACGAGAACGGGCGGCTGTATAAGCTGCTGAAGGAAAGGGACTTTGAAATCAAACACCTCAAAAAGAAAATAGAAGAGGACAGATTTGCCTTCACAGGTAGCTCTGCCATTGTTGCAACTAACTGTCCCCGCCCTGAATCCCAGGTACCCTGAAGTCCAGGCCCTGCTGCTGCGGAGCCTGCCCAGCAGGGCAAGCAGCAGGTTCCGAGGGCAGGTGCCCAAGGGAGAGTGCCAGGGGGCCGCTGCGGTCCAGCTTGTCCAGCTGCTTCCCGGAAACGAGGGAGCGGCCAGAGGAAGGGAGCAGGCCCAGGAGGCCCACGCGCCGGGAACGGGATGGGGGAGCAGCAGGGAGTGGGGCAGCGGGCTCCAGGCAGCGCCAGGGTCGCAGCTGGGACTCGTGATAGGGTCCTGCATGGTGTTCGCTGCGTGTTCGGTGGGCCAGCAGGGTCCATTTTTCGTTGGTGCTCTGGCCCCGGCATTGAATGGTAGATGTAAAAAAGGCCCCATAGAAACAGGCACTTACTCTACTTGCGTTGCAGAAAGGTGGATGAGACAGGGAAGCTGGCAGTTCCTGGGGGAATTCCTAGCACCCAGCACAGTCTATCATGGACCTTGGCCCCTCAGGTCCGGGCTGGACCTTGGCTCTGTTGGTGCAGACCTTGGCACCATGGGTCTGGGGGGGACCGTGGCTTTGTGAGTTTAAGATTGACCTTAGCCCCGGGGGTGTGGGCTGGACGTTGGCTCTGTGGTTATGAGCTAGACCTTGGCCCCATGGATCTCGTGGGGACCTTGGCCTCTGCTCTAGGTATGCCCATTGAGTAATTCCCAGGTAGCTGACTAATCAACCACAAAGTCAGTTCAGCAATCCCAGGGAGCAGCTGGCCTCACCCCGCATCTGCCAGGGCGCCCCTCCCTGCCTGTGATCAGGAATGCCTTTAAGGGCAGGTACACCCGCCCAGAGGCACCCCGCCGAATTACACTGCAAGGGATGTGGGTGTCCTAGCGACTCCTGGTGGTCCACTCTGCCTCCCTCCGTGCTTCGGCCTTTGCTGCCTAAAACAAAACATCGAAGACCCGGCTTTGTGTTCTGAGGACAGAGACGCACTCAGGGTTCAGATACGAAGGGGCAGGTTGCCCTTTGCCAGGCTACAGAGAAGCCGACTGGGCTCCAGGGAGAGCAGGAAGCCCGGGACCCCAGAGCCGGGGCTGCCCTCTCTGCCCAGCCCGCCCGCGCTCCCGCGCGCTCCCAGCCGGCACGCGGCCTCGCCTGGCTGCCCGCCCCAGCTCCCCCTTCACCTCTCCTCTTAGAGTCCAGTTCATTCTCTGAAGTCACCATGTCTGATGTCCAGCTTCACATGTGGAAGAGAAAGGTCTGGCCCAGCTCATGTTTTTAAATGAGGCCACAAGTGACTGCTGGCAGCTGATAGGAATTTTAGTGATTGTTATAGTTTAGTTTTTCAGACTACATTTCTTGGGTACTATTTATTTGTGATTGCTCTGGTGGTTCCAAACTTAGCTTTCCACAGTCTACTTAGAATTCATAGTTTGCCACTCCAAGGGGAATGAAGAAACCCTACCTCCACATGGGTCCCTTTATCCTCCCCACTCTGTTGCAGCTTTTGTATTTATTATTTCTATATATTGAAAATCCCATCAGACCGGGGTGCCGTATTTGCCTTCAAGCATTAGACATATTGTGAAGAACGTGAGGAGACCAAAGCGGTCTGCCGTATCTACCCAGACCCTGCGCATCTCTGTGCAGCCCCTTCGCTGCGGCCCCCTTATCAGCGGTGGCGGCTCAAGAGTGGGGCCTGTCTGGCAACAGCGTTGGTGAGACTCAGAAAAAATCCCCAGAGGATGTTTCCCTTTGTCCGCGAGCTCCCCTTGCTGCCTTGGGATTGGAGGCGGCTCACGTTAGACCTCTCTCTGATGTCAGGTTCCAGGATTTGTACTGCTTTTGAGTCCTGGGAGAAGACATAACCCGGAAGACTCACCACTGGACTGTCGTACCTCTAGGCCCAGCTTCCTCCCTGTGTCCTGAGCTCTTTGTCCTGTCTGTCCTCATCCTGTTCTGCGGATGTGAGGTGGCTGAGGGCAGCTGCTGCTGGTTGTCTTCCTCGTTGCCAGGCCCAGGCCGGCGGCGCGAGCCCGGGCTGAGTTGGGTTGAAAACCTTCAAGTAAATTTGTTCACCTTCTACCTCGGTCTTGTTCTCAGGCACATTACAGTCTCAAAAGCAGTCATTTTTGTTTTTTAACTTTAAGTAACTTTTTATGATGAAGAATTTCAAGCATGCAACAATAAAGGAAAATCATGTGTCTCTGCCAAGGACCCAGGGCTGGAGCGTCACAAGCATTCAGGGAACGTGCAGACCATCCAGCCAAAGCTGCCTTTGCGCAGCTGGGAAGCCGCCCTCCAGGGAAGGCACAGGACTGCAAAGCTGCCCAGTGGCCGCGCGGGGCCAGCCCCCGCCGCCCGCCTTCTGTGGGGCCCCACACCGCCACGTTTACAGCCCTCCGGCCACCCCTTCTCCAGCCTCCTGCCCTTGCCTTGCCTTCCAGCTGCCTCCTCCGGCCCTCCATGCACTTGCCTGCCTCCGAACCTTTGCACTTGCTGTTTCCCCTGCTGAGAACACTCTTCTGCATGGCAGGTCCCTCGCTCCATTCAGCCAGGCCTCTGTTCACACGTGGCCTCCTCAGGGAGGCCTTTCCTGACCACTCCTGAAATGCCACCACCCCATCGCTCTCATCCCCTTGCCCAGCGTCAGTTTATTTCATACCATTTATTCCTCCCAGGTATTAGAATACATTTGTGTTTGTTTTTTTTATTATCTGTAAGCCTTCTCTATTCACCATTGAATCCTTAACACCCAGAGTATTCAGCACTTTGTAGAAACTAGGTGAAGACATGCATTTGTATTATTAGGTGTTACCACAGAACTCCGGGAAGAAGCAACCACACAATCTCAGCAGCATTCGGCAGTGAGCGTCGATATAGCTCCAACACCTGGGGGTTGGTTGGGGACCTGCTGATCCAGGCCAGGCTTGGCTAGGGTGGGTCAGCTTTGTTCCATGTGTCTCTCTTCCTCTTCCTGGGCCCAGCCAGCTGTCCTGGGTGTGCCATCCCTGTGGAGGGGACATAAGCAAAAAGGGCGAGTTTACCTGCATAGGAGCTTTGCGAGCCTTCACCTACACCTTGTCTGCTAACGTTCCATTGGCCAAAACGAGTCCTTGGCTGAGCCCAGAGTCAGGCAGGCCTGGGGACCCGCTTCTCACTGGGGGGGCGTAAGGTGTGGCTGTGTAACTTGTCACTGAGGAAGGCATGAAGAACTGGCACAATAAGCTTATTTCCCATAAAATAAAGCTCTGCATCCTGATTTTATAATTTTCCTAGAACACGCTGAGTCTCCGAGCGGCTGCCTTCTACTCGCTGGGGGTGGAGGTCAGGGCGCCTCGGTGTGGGGTGACGTTCCTGAAGTGCCCCTGTCCTTCCATGAGCATCACGCCAAGCAGCCTCAGCTTTAAAAACCCTGGCTGCTGGTGGTGTAGCACAAGTTGGCTGTGTTGCCCGTGTTTTTAAGCGACCTCACCATTTCCCTTCATTTTAGGGACAGCCGGTGTGGCTGGGGATGTGATCGCCACCAGAATCGTCGAGTTGTCCAAAAAGAACCGGGTGCTGATGGCAGAGTCAGAGGCTGCGAAAACCAGAGTGAAGCAGCTGAGCTATCGCGTCCAGGAACTGGAGCAGGAAGTGAGGGGCCCCGGTCATTCCCGCCTCTGGAGGGGACTCAGCCCCTGGGCCACCCCTCCGGAGGGGAGCCACGCTTAGGTGCTTTGGGTCCTTCTGTAGGGCCTGTGGGTCAGTGTTTGCAATGAGTGTCCCAGTCGCGGTCACCTCCTGAGAGGGGAAAGTGTGTTAGGTAGTGAGGGACACAGGTCTCGGAGGGGCAGCCTGGCATAGAGGTGAGGACATGGCGTTGGGGACCAGCTGCCTGGGTGCAGATCTCAGCTCCATCCCTGACTTGCTTTGTGACTTGGAGCAAGTTGCAAATGCTCTGTGCCCCGGGCTGTCACATGGCAGAGATCAGAGCACTCACCCCAAGGTTTTCTGAGGACTAAATGACAGCACATTGTAAAACACTTAGAACAGGACCTAGCATGCAGTCAGCACTAGATAAATGCTTGTTAAATGCATGAACAGGGAATCTAGAGCCAGGAGCACTCTACCACTTGCTACCACTAGCTCTCCCTACCATCCATCTTCCCCTTTCTGCTGCCCCCTGCCCTCCCACAGCTAGTCACAAAGCCCCCCGGTCGGGCAAAGGTGCAGCCCAAGCAGTTCACGGTCCCTTAGGAGCTAGAATGGGATCCCTGTGCCAGACAGAACCTACGTAGCTTCTCCTTTTATGGCTGAAGGAGCCAAAGCCGGAAGAGGTTAAGAGTCTTCTGAGTCACCCAGTATGTGGTGGTGCCGGATTTCAGGTCCAGTCTTGTCGCTCTCCAAAACTCTCCCCAGCCATTGTGCTCGGCGCGGGGTCAGAGCTTGTTCTCCAACACATATTTGGAGAACCATCCCAGGCACTGTGCCAGGCCCCAGGGAGACTCTGGGGAGCAAAACAGGCCTGGCCCTTGGCCTCCTGGGAGCGAGACCAGCACCCCGGGCCTCTTGAAGGAGGAGCCTGCACGGGTCCCTGCCAGATGGACGGGGCAGACTCGGAGAGGTGGGGAAGGGGCTGCCCTGCAGAGGGCCCCTCAGGGCGAAGAAGGGCGGGGAAGAAGGTCTGAGAGGAGGCCAGCGTGGCCGTGGCCGAGAGTGGAACCAGATGAGGTCACAGAGCCGGAGGGGGGCCGTGCCCAGCCTCGTTAGACAGGTCATGGTCTTTGTGTGAGGAGCAATGGGGAAACCAATAAAGGGCCCGTTGGCTGTCTGCATCCGGAGCCGGTCATGGCCCCCGGGGCCGTGGGCCCAAGCAGCAGGTTCCTCAGTGTCTGCTTGTCTGAAGCCTGAAGCCTGTGATTCCTTCACCCACTGCCCCCAGACTGTCCTTAGAACTCCAGGATGCTACTTATTAAGCTGTTGGTGAATCCCGGGGCTGCTCCCTGTGTGACTGGGGAGACAGGCAGACAGTCTGTTAAACCTTCTCCCATCGCTGAGTTAGTAAATGAGATTCTTCCACTGGTGACCCTAACGTGCGCGGAAAGGTAACCACTGCCATCGGTGACCGCGCACCTAAGAGCGGCACCGGGGCACTTTGAAGGGGCAGTGGGGCAATTGCTGAGCAGAATTAAATATTAAGTGTGAGGTTTGCTTTTTCAGCTGCAGACGGCCCTGGCCAGGCCGCCGGCCAAGGGCGCCACCGACGCAGGAGCTAAGCTGCCGAGGGCCCCAATGGGAAGCAAAGCCTTGGTATGATTCTCTTCTGTGCTGGGGAGTCAGCGAGGCAGCCGCCGGCCAAGGCCGCCCCCTTCCATGGAATGTGGGGGTCTCTGCCCAGGGTCCACCTCCACCCCACGGGGGAGCCAGTGCCACCATCGCAGGATCCCCAAGACAGACATCAGGGACAGTAATCAAGCCAGGAATGCCCAGCGGAGGCCCGTGAGGGTCTCACTCTGATTCGGTCCCCGGAGAGGGGGGTCAGGAGGGGCCGGAGGACGCTGGAACCCTAGAATTTCAGGACCAGGAGGGAGGGCCTGGTCCAGCTGGCCCCTTGCCCTCAGCCCGCTGGGGAGACACCCCACCTCTACCTCACCCCAGAAGCAGGCGCTCAGTACTGCTCCCGGAGCCCTGCTTTGGGGGTCGGTTTAAGTTGTGTCGTCCCAAGAGTCCGTCCAAGCAGCAGTCGATGAGACCCGGGAGGTGTGAACTGCACCCGCAGGGAAGAAGGCAGCCTGGCCCCACGGGCTACCAGGGAGGAGCATGGAGCCCAGGCCAGACAGGAGGTTGCACCAGAGTCTCAAGAGCACCCCAGGCAGCCTCCCAGGGGTTTTCTTGGGAAGCCAGACCAGTGGGCCATCCAGGGGTCCAAGCCTCAGGACTCCCACCCAGGGCTCCTTTCCCGGCCCCTCCTCCCGGCTGCCTGCACCTCAGGACCGAGTGGCTTTGTGCCTGTCCCGAGGAGAATTCTGTCCTTGGTGTGCAGCGACGGGTGCCTCGGACTCCAGGGGGGAGACGTGCCTCCTGAGGGCTGGTCTTGTGTAAACCTACTCATTGTCAGGGGGTTGGGGGGCGCAAAAGAGGGGCGCCGCTCTCAGCAGGGCTGGCCGGAGTGATCAGGGCCTTTCTGGCTCCGGGGCACATGCTGGGCAGCACCTGGTTTATCCAGAGCGTGGAGCACAGCCATCTGCCTGACCCTGACTGGGGCTGCCCTGGATGGGAAAGTGCTTGTCCAGGCCCTTGCCGAGCCCTGCGACCCAGAGAATCAGACAGGGCCTCTGTCCAGTGGGGAGTCCAAGGGGAGAGATGAGCGGCCATATTGAAGGAAGGAGGGGGACAGGGCCTTCCGAGAGAGGCCCGGGCTCTGAGGTCACAGAGGGAGCGTGTCCCTTGCCTGAGGTGGCTGGGAGGGGACATGGAAGGGGGTTTTGGAGGGCGGCCTTGCTGGGGGAAAGGGGAGGGGCTTCCGTCAGGCAAGCCAAGGTTCAGGCCAGAAGCCGTCAGTACTTCTATCGTCTTTGCTCGCAGGGTGTCAGCTGGATGACGCTCGGCTGCGGCCCAGGGCCCGGGAGGGGAAAAGGGGAACGAGAGGCAGAGACAGCGGGGTGGGGCCACCATGGACGGCGGCCTCGACTGGCAGCTGGAGTAGCCCTTCCAGCCTTCTTCTGCGGCTGCAGGGAGCCTGGCAGGTTTCTGACAGGAGAGTGGGTGATGGGCTGTCAGGCTCGATCCATCAGTGCCATGTGCTTTTTCTGGGCCTCTTCTGATCAGAGAGAGAACAAAAGCGACAGCGCCCCTCCGTGGACTGTTCCGCACTGCGGAGGCCTACAGGCTCGCCCTGCACCGCGGCCCCAGAGCTGCGAGTCCATCTGGAGCCGAGCAACAGGGGGGGCCTCCCTCCCTGGGGCCGCTGGCGTGAGTGGCGCTGGCATTGCGTGCTCCCCACGGGCTGGGTTTCAGTTATGTTCTCAAAGATCACAGCCCCTACCTAAGCCCCCCACAAAGCCTGTGGAATTTCACTCTGGGAGGAAACAGCTCCGAAGTGGCAGGGGGTAGGGATGGCCCCGCTGCCCAGGAGGGGAGGACCCGGCCGGCAGCGGAGCGGCAAGGGCTGTGCGTGCACGTGGGCCCAGCCCCGATCACAGCACCATTGGGCCCTCTGCCCCTCCGCCAGCTGCGCGCCCGCGGCAGCGGAGGCGCCCGGCGCGGCCCTCCGTCAGGTCTGCCCCCACAGCACCCTTACACGTGCTATCCTATCAGCACACACGGAGGCTGGTTGTGCTTACCCCCATTTTACAGATGAGGAAACGGGGTTCTAGGTCCAGGTCCTCTCTGCGTGCTGGTCCCGTGCTGGGAGCAGGGCCGCAGTGGGCACGTGGGAGGCTCAGGCACTCTCCCAGCTGCCGCATCCCCACCCGCAACGTCGGCGGGGCTCATGGCGCCAAGATCTGGCAGGTGGGGATCAGGTTGCTGCCCATCTCCGGGCAGATTCAAAGCAGCAAGGTGGCAGGGAGTAGACAGCGCCCAACCACAATGAGGTGGGGTGGCAGACGGCCAGATGGAAGGACATGAAAAAAATGGATTGAAAAAAAGATACGTTTGGTTTTTATATAAATTCCCAGCTTACAGACTCTGTTCACGTTGGTTATTATATTTAGCCTCAGGGTGGCGCTGTGGAAGCAGGACAGGGAAGTATTTTGTACCCATCGCATAGATGAGGAAACCAGGGGTGGCCAGGCTTTCTGGACCGGCTGTCAGGGTCTCCTTCCCTGGCCCGGGGTTCCCCCCGCACCGCCCCACTACCCAGAGCCTTTGGGGTCCACGGACCGTCCCAGACCCCGTCTGCTCAGATCTGCTTTCACACTGAGCCGCTCAGGAAAACTCAGAAAGCCACTGCAGTTGCCACCCTGCTTCCCAGAAGTCCAGCCCACCTGGTCTGTTGGGACAGGAGCAGACGGTCTCGGTCTCGGTGTCATTGCTGGATGGGATGCTCAGCCCACCAACCTCCATTCCTGCTGCCACGATGCCTGGCGTCAGCCACAGCCTTGGGGGGGAGGGGAGAGTCAGCCAGTGCAGGGGAAGGGGCTGGCCCTGAGCCTCCCCCGACCCCCGTTCCCCGCCGGCCAGCTGTGTGCCCAGGGCAGGTGGCATCCCCTCTCCGAGCCTTATGTTCCTCACTTTAGGAAGGGGTTTGAATGGGCTGAACTTGGCCTACCTTTCCCGCCCAACGTCTTCAAGTCTTAGGAACATTTACTGAAGAAAGAGAAATGGGCAGCATTCAAATAATTTAAATCAAACATTTTTTTTGAAAAAATTTCTAAGAGTTTTCTTGGTTGCTGCAGCTCTTCGAGCCACAGAAATGGAGCATGTGGGGTTTAAATGGGGTCCTTGTTTCTGTCCAATGCGCTCACTGCCAGGAAAGGGAGCCCAAGGCCCAACCTGAGGATCCCAGGAGGGGGAGGACCCGAGTTTGGATGGGTGTGCCCTCCTGCCAAGCCGGCGTTGCCTTCTGCAAAGGAACCGGTTCCCTCTTTGTTCTGAGTGAAGGTGGATGGGCTGTGAGGCCGGCCTCCGGTCTCTAGTGTCTGAGCGCAGCAGGGAGTCCATACCCACGAAGGGCCCGGGAGGTGCGGAGCCTGCGGGCCTCCTCCAGAGCCTCTCCCTCTGCGGCCACCACATGTGTCGATGTATGTGCCACACTCTGAGCAAAGGGCTCAGCTCCCAGAGTGGGGCCGCCAGCACTCACGCCCCACCCCCCCGCCGCCCTTCCCAGCCGGGTACCCCACGCCAAGGGGACTCACCCTCCAGCAGCCTCTGCGTTGCATCTCTGAGGGGCCAAGGGGAGAACCTCCCTCTCAGGGGTGTGTGAGGACTGAGTGAGTTGCTCCTTGCTGAGCACTTAGCGTGGCACCCAGCACATGCGTGGATGGACGGGGGCTGTGGTCATTCCCACTGTGGAGGCATCAAGTGACTGCTCTCCATCCCGTCTTTCCCCACCAGCCCGAGGCCCCAGAGGTGAAGGCCTTGCAGGACAAGCTGGCGGCTGCCAACCTGAAGATGAGTGACCTCCGCAACCAGGTCCAGTCCCTGAGGCAGGAGCTCCGGATGGCCCAGAAGGTATTTCAGGGCCAGGCTTCAGGTCTTCTTGGCTGGGACAGGCTCAGGAAGGGACATGACAGGGACAATGGGTCCCATTCAGGGGCTAGAGAAGGCTTGGCCCCATGCGCATCATGCTGCTTGCTCTGGGTCGAGCTCCAGGTCCAGGGGCATCCGTCTACCAGCCCCAGAAACAGACCCGTTCGGTGAGGGGCTTGCTGGCCTCCTGAGGGGCCCTGTGCATGTGCCCCATTGTGCCCAGCCAGCTGCCGGCCGGGGTGGACAGTGCCATCCCCCAAGCCGGAGTCCCAAAAACCTTCCCTGTGCCGCATGCACCCCCACAGGTCAGGGGTCTCTCCTCCGTAAGCCACCTTGGACTTGGAAGCCTGGCAAGACCTGCCTCTTGTCCTCTGCTGTCTGTAATATTAGAAAATGAATAGGTTGTTTGTGTATTAAAGGCCCCTTTCAAAGGAAAATCCTCAGACTCGGGATGCAGGCCCAGCTGGTTCATTATTTATTTGTATTTACACAGCAAATTCTCTGGCGTTTGTCTTTCCTGCTGGAACCACTCGGGCCAGCCAAGATTTCCAAAACAGTGTTCTATTGTAGAAACGAGCCCCAGAGACTGGGTTCACCAGCTCAGGTTTCCGTGACAGGCTTCGGAGGGGCCCAGGGCCCACGCTGAGCGTGTTGTTTCCACCACAAAGCCTAGAGGTGGGGCCTGAGCACCTCCCGTCCACAGCCACAGCGCCGGGCCCTTCTGGAACCCGATGTCCCTGAGTGACATTCAGAAGCCCTCGTCCTCGCTGCTCTCAGACATGGCCCCTTGCCGGGGGCTTTTCACAGAGAGCGAGACCCTGTGGCAATGCACTTCCTGGAGCCATCCAGAATGAGCTCAGTTCCAGGTGACCGTGAACAAATTAAGGAAGCAGGTCTTGGTCAGTCTTGTGGTTCACTCATCCCAGAATATGTCAAGAGTGTGGGGCCCCATCTGGGCCTTGTCGGCAGTTCCTTGTCTGCTCTGAGCATCGCCAAGAAATGCTGGGGACAAGGGGTCCGCTGCTTTCCCAGGGAGAGCTGCACTTGGAGCCCGGTGGGCTGGCCTTTGGGGCAGGAGGAAGGTAGGGCAGGCAGAGTCCGGGCTTTCTGGGAGCCTCTGCATGGGCAGCAGCCCTGGGGCTGGGCTGGGGCCCCCTCTCCAGGCCTCACGGATGGCCCCGCCCTTTTCAGGCTTTGGCCAGCGAGGTTGGGGAAGATGTGAACGTCCAGCAGCTTCTGTCCTCGCCGGGGACCTGGAGGGGTCGGGCCCAGCAAATTCTCGTTTTGCAGAGCAAGGTGAGTGAGTTGTCAGACTTCTCCTGGCCCAGAACCCAGGGCTTGGAATGCCCCAGGAAGACCCCCACTGGCCCACAGGAGACCAGGAGCCAAGAAGAGGCCCCTTGCAGGGTCGTTGTTTTGCATTCTCCCCACCCAGCCTGACTTTAATTTGTTATTTAATGAATGAGCATTTACATAACAGTTACCATGTGCCAGGCACTGGTGCTCAACAAACACGAAAGCCTCTGATTTATTTGACTCCAGGCATATTTTTTCCCCCTGAGTTTATGTAAATTTGCGTGACTCGCGTACTTTGTAGGCTTTTTCAGTTTTGTCCAGATGCTGGTAGACTTTTAAAAGTTTTAATTACCCAACAAAAACTTAGCTTTGTCTCCCTCTCCCTGTTCTAAATATTTGGAGCCTCCTTAGAGGCTGAGAGTAGGGGCCCCAGAGCCCAACTGCTCCGACTGAAACCCCAGCTCCCCGCCTGCCAGCTGTGTGGCCTCAGGCGAGAGCCTTCATCTCTCTGTGCCTTGGCTGCCTGCTCCAAACGCAGATTATGGTGGGATGAGCTAGTGGGAGTAAAATGCTCAGCACGCCGCCAGGTGCGCAGGAAGCGCTGTACCCAGGTTAGTTGTGGTTCTTTTGCCTTCAAACCAAGAAATCCCCATCGATGTGTAACTGCTCCAGTTGCCAGCACTTTGCCTTCACCCCAAGGGCATCAGAGCTGCAGCCCCCTGGGTGGCTTTTGTCCTTGGGTTTTCCCGGAGGATCCTTGAAGCCAACATGAAGGGGGCAAAGGCCTCCCAAGAACTGTAATCAATGACTGGTGTGTGGCCCCAGAGTTCAGCAGACCTGAGCCAGTGTCTGGCCTGAGTCACTGATCTACAAGTTCCGTGACCTCCGGCAGATCACACCTCTGTGCCTGCGTCTAGTCTCCTCCCCGGTAAAGGGAGATGACGGTGTGGTATTTTTCTTGTGGGTTTTTTGAGGGTTAAATGAAACAACACATGTAAAGCACAGTGCTTGGACATAATAAACACTCAGCACATTAATTATTGTTGTTAAATTGTGTAAATAAATTATTAGAAGTAACCCACCCTGTTTCTTTAATGCTTAATGGGATGACCACACAAGGCCACACGAGGGCGCTGCCACGTGTGTTCACACACTGCCCTTTACTAGCGAGCCCAGTGACCTTTGCGCCTCTGCTCAGGTTTACCCAACTTTGTTCCCCCATTTATGTTTGTCGACATGGGAACCAGGGTTAGAAGGACCCTAGGAATTACCCACTTTAACCCCAGTGTGGTAAAGCCAACGTTCTGTGGGATGCCACCTACCAGCCACTTGCCGTGACAAGAGACTTTGAGGACTGGACTCTGTGCTGAGGGCTTCGCCGGGCCACCTTAGGGTTTCTCAAAGTTGCCCAATCCTAAATAGCACCCGTAGCACTTGTTTAAAACACAGGTCCCCAGGTCCTGCCCCTGGGGCTCTGAAGTGTTGGTCTGCAGCGGGCCCCAAGATTTGTCATTCCAAGAAGCATCTTGCAGATTCCCGGGCTCAGACAAGTTCAGGACACTTGTAATAGCATGATCAGCATTCAGCGTTGTCAAGGTGGACCCTTAGGGCCACTTTGCAGATGAGAGGCCTGAGCAACCTCTGCGCTGTCACACAGCCGGTGAGGCTTTGAGCTGGTCTCTCAGCCCCCAGGCCCTGCCCGCGCCCTCTGCTGCAGCTCTTGCCAGTGCCCAGGCACCCGGGGCCTCCCGAGGAGCATAGCACATCTTGGGTGGTCTGTCTGTCACAGTCCTTCCTTGTACTGAGACCCTCTCCCTCCTGGGTTCCTGGGGCCACATGTCTGCTTCTCAGCCTCAGAATCCTCAGAGATGGGGTGATCTTTTTCATTTACTGTGAAGTTTCTCTTTTCCAAGCTAAACCTCTCTAGTGTCTTCTCCTGTTTTGCTCACGGTGCCACCTCAGATCCCTCCCCTCCCCAGTCGCTCTCTCATGAGGCCTCCACATCCATCTGTCTGGTGGGGTTTCCTGTCAGACCTCAGGACAGTCCCCACCCCCTGCCATGAGCGGTTGAGTCTGACGGGAGGCCGGTTGTGGGACAATGAGTCTTACCACCCTCAGGTTCGAGAGCTTGAGAAACAGCTGGGACAGACCCAGAGCCGGTCTGTGGGGACAGCCAGCGACGAGCTGTCCATCTATCCAGACCCAAGGAAGCTGACGGCACAGGAGAAAAACCTGTTGAGGATCCGCAACCTGGAAAGGGAAAAACAGGAAGGCTGGGAGGTAACACATGCATTCCTGGGGGGACGTCAGCCAGGCACGGGGGACCCAGAGATCATGCCCGCCCTGGCAAGGACTTGGAGGCACCACTGAGAGGCAGGAGACACCCGGGGGTTTGGGTCACCTCTGTGCATGTTCCTCACATGCTGCCGATCCAGCTTGAGCCTCCCGATGGGCTTGTGAACTTTGGGTGGCCCCATCTTGGCTGGTTTGTAGGTAATGGATCCGAAACTTTCACAGTAGGACAGGGAAAGCGTCCCAGTCCTGGACATGTGCAGGGTGAGGTGGCCTTAAAGGAGGAGCGCTCCAGACTGATGAAAGAGGGGGCAGGCTGGGGTCAGCTCCAGGGCCTGCGTCTCCCTGGCCGAATGGGGAGCGTCAGAGCCAAACTCCACCAGGCCGATGCAGAAAGGAGACGTATTGGCCCTTGTAGCCAAAAAGTCGAAAGGTGGCCTCAACCCAGGCAGTTGGATCCAGATTTGGGGCTCGGTCTCAGTGCCACTTTCTCCTGGGTTAGCCTCAATCTTGCCCATGGGGTCTCCTGACTTCTCTCCTCCAACCCAGCCCCCACAAAGGGCTTCTCTTTCCCAGGAGTTCTGATGAAATCCCAGAACTGAGTGTCATTGGCTGGCTTAGGCCGTGTTCCCCTCCTCGCTGAGCCGATCACTGCAGCCAAGGGTGCCGGATGCTCTGACTGGCCAAGCTTCACATCCCCGCCCCTGGGTCTGGGGAAGAGCCAGCCTCCCCACACGTGGTCTGAGGGCGGGGATCTAGGGGCTTTCTTGACCAGGAGGTGAGGAGGTGCCAGCAGCCCGAGTGGCCCGCGTCAGCGGCCCCGGCAATGGGCTTCCTAGCAGCGAGGCCTAACAGGGAGACAGCCCCCCGTGAGAGCCCTGTGCCAGGCCCTGCGCTCGGAAGGCCATGGCCAGCCCTGTCGTCCCTCCCGCCATCCCAGACCATCAGGACTGAGGGAGGGAAGAGCGAGACTGGGCAGGCCCTGCGAGACCCTGTGTGCTGCCCAGGGGTTTGGGCGTTTACCTTAAAGGCAGCGGAGAACCGGCAAATGGTTCTAAGTTGTGGAGGGACCTGGTCAGGCTGCGTTTTGGGACGGTTATGTGGTCAGGCATGGGGTTGGGTTGGAGGAGGCATGAGGGGCAGGAGATGTGACCGAGGACCTGCACCAAGGCGGGAGGACTCAAACAGAAGGGCTGGACACCCGGGACACTGAGCATTGACTTTCTAGGGCTCAGCGACTGGTGGCTGGGGAGCGGGTAGGAGGAATGATGGAGGACTCTGAGTGGGTGTAGTGGGTGGGTAGGGAAGGCGGGGAGTGGGTTCCAGGGAGGTGGGAGCTGAGATTTGACACCGCTGGGCTTGCGGTGCACTTAGCTCAGACGTACACGTTCTCACAGAGCAGAGCATGATGGACGCGTCCGGCCGCCCATAAGCCTCAGTGCTGGCCCTGGGACCCGGCCTCCCGCGCACTGGCCCCGCCGGGTGCCCCCCAGAGCCTGCAGCGGGCAGACGGCAGCGCCACAGGGAGCAATGGCTGCTTCCCTGTGACGGATGAGTCTGGGAGGCTTGTCACATCCTGCTGGTGTCCATTTCTATGACTCACCTCACCAAGGACCTGAGAACTCTTTTCCAGCGATAATGCCCCTTTCAAACCAAACCAGAGTCTGTCACCCACTGCCCCACACCCTCCTCAGTGTCTCAGTCTTGGCTCTGAGGATTTACCTAATCTGGCCTCTGGCCCCTCTGCCCTGGGCCCTGACCTGCCGCCCCGTTCCAGCCACGCCTGTCCCACCCCAGGGCCTTTGCACTTACCCACTTCTCCTTCAGTCTCTGCTCGGACGCCACCCTATCGGAGAGGCCTCCCCTGTCAATGCTGCTCTCCGTCCCTCCCGCCCTTCGGGCAGCATTTATCACCCCGGGGCATCACCAGCCTCCCCCACTGGGATACCAGCTCCTTGGGGACAAGGACTCTGTTTTGTTCTCAGCTGTCTCCCCGGCACCTATAATGTGAAGCACAGAGTAGACCCTCAGGAAATATTTGAGAAGGAATGAATGAAGGAGAGGCTCCGAGGGCTCTTGCAGCCTGGAGTTCCCAGTTCGTGGCTGATGGGTCCAGGTGCAGCCTGGGGTGGTGCTTGAGGAAAGCGCGTGGCGGTGGAGCCTCCCTTCTTGCTCTAGCTGCCGCGGGGTGAGGCACTTCCCACTGAGCCCTAGACTGAGCAGGGCTTTCCTCTTATCCCCAGCTCAGGCAGGGTGGAGGGGTGGGGACAGCCGCTGGAGGATGGCCCCAGAGGTGGCCAGTGGGTTTCCTCTCGTGTCTGACTGTGGTCTTGAGCTGAGGGAAGGAGTGTTGTCACCCGTTAGTGACGTCAGCCGCGTGCTGGGGCAGGAGCTGGGAGGCAGGGCCCCGGCTCTACTGACTTGCTCCGTGGCCTTCGGGTAGCCCCCTGCCCGCTCTGGGCCTCGCAGTGAGCGGGCGTGAGGGCCCGCTTTCTGCTCCCAGAAACTTGCTGGTGAGCGGGACGCCCTCCAGAGAGAGCTGGAAGAGCTGAAAAAGAAGGCTGAGGGCGTGCGGTCCCGGAACAAGGTGCTGGCGAGCGAAGTGAAGACCCTCCGGAGTCAGATGGGGACCCTAGCAGAGAAGGGCCGGCATGACGACGAACTCATCGACGCCCTCATGGTACGGCCCCTCGCTCGGGGGGCGGGGGTGCGGCCGCAGCCAGGGCCCAGCCCCCGGGGAACCGGGCCCGGCCACGGGGCACCCTCCCTCACCCCCAAGTGCCACCTGCTGAACCCCGAAGCCCTAACCTGCAGAGGGGCCCCAGCCCCAAAGCCCCGCCCCAGGGCCGAGAGCAGCTCCGTGGCTGCCCAAGAGTGCGTAGAGGTCATGCTGTGTGACGTCTGGGCCTGTGGACCCCAAGGGAGAAAGAAACAGGTGCGGGCGAGGAGCAGGATTACTCCCCAGGTCACTTTTAATGAAGGAATGGAAGGGACAACCGAGGGGCCAGTACGAGTTCCTGTCAGTGTGGTAGCACAGAGCCCCGCCCCCTTCCTGCGCCCTTGGGGACGGTTTATACGGTTAGTGGCCAACAAAGGCTCTAGGGTCATATATTATAATCCCATTTCACAGATGGGGGAAGTAATTGGTCAGAGAAGTTGTCCAAGACCGCACAGCTGCGTGCAGCCCAGGCTTAGCTGACTAACCCTCTTCGATGAGCCTCGGCGCGCTGCTGCCCTGATCCGGGCCTGGCCTGTTCTTTCAGGGGCCTGAGGCGCCCCAGCGTCTGTCTCTGAATTCCGACTTGTGCTTGGGGTGGCCATGCCGGCTGGCCGGGGTACAGGGGGAACTCATGCTGGCTTAGGCACCGCCCCCCCAGCCCACGACCATTTCCCCCAGTGGGGCGGTGGGCGGGGCACCAGACCCTAGAGAGCGTGGCCCTGCCTCTGCTGATACCTCACTGTGTGACCCTAGGCCTGGTGCGTCCCCTCTCTGAGCCTCAGCTCCCAGTTTTAAAATACGGGTGTGGGGCTGGAGGTCCCCTGAGGTCCCAGTGTGCCACCATTCTTTGTCACTGAAGGTGGTGTGATGAGAGCTGCAAACCAGCCCCACCCTGCCATTCACCAGTGGGGTCCCCTTGGGCTCTCTGTGCCTCATTTGCCTCCACTATGAGATATGGACAACAGCCCCCTTTTGTCCCCAGTTGCTAACGTGGTCCTCTTTTCTCCTCAGCACAGAACTTCCACTTCCTAAGTATCCCCTGGGGCATCTTCAGGGGGTGGGACCTCGGCCAGGGGGTGGAGCCTCGGTCAGGTGGAAGAATTCCTGGGAGGGGTCCAGGTGTCCCAGCAGAGTGGGATAGGGCTTCTTTTTACCTGAATATTGTCCCTGCTGGCTGAGGGACCGCCATCTGAGCTGCTTTCTGTCGTCCCGAGAGCCCCTTGGATGTCCTTCTTGGCCCTGATCTCAGGGAGAAGACACTTGAGGACAGGAAAAGGGCACAGCTGTCACCTGCCTGGTGACCCCCACAGTATGCAAGCAAAAAGGTGTCCCTCCTGCTTTTCAGGGGAGAACCTGTGTCCCGCTGTTAGGTTCCCGCAGACACAGGGAATGGTGGGGTGCTGGCGGCGGCGGGGGCGGGCTTCCCTGGTCCTTCCTTACCAGGGTCCTGCTTGGTGCCCCAGGACCAGCTGAAGCAGCTCCAGGAGATTCTGGGAAGCCTGAGCCTGCAGGAGGAGAAGACGCGCGCATCCCAGCACCGCCTGGGCCAGCAGCTCAACAACGAGGCTCAGCAGAGCAGCAGCCTCGTGGCCCAGCTGCGCGCCATGGTGGCCGAGCGGGAGGCCAAGGTGCGGCAGCTGGAGCTGGAGATCGGGCAGCTCAGCCTGCAGGTGAGCAGGGCGCTGGCTCAGCCCGGCACCCAGCGACGTCTCAGCCACTCCCATGTGTTTCCACCTGCCTTTATTCAGGTCGCACCATATCCTACCTGGTCCCACTTAGGCTCCCTGCTTTCATCTGGCTCCCCAGCCCATTCTGCACACCCCTTTCCTCTCTAAGGCACAAAACGGATCATCTCCCTGCTCTGCATTAAGCCTGTCCGTGCCTCCCCATCACCCTGTCCTCACGCAGTCCTCAAGGGCCCGGGCTCCTTCCAGCTCACCCCTCACTCCCCAGCTGTGGCCCTTGTCCTCCTGATCCAATATGGTGGCTGGAACGCCAGCTTTCACATTCACATCCCAGGCAGCAGCAGGAAGTCGCACTTCCTCATTCAGCGTGCGGGGCACCACGTGACCAGCTCTTGCTGCCACCCCTCCCGCATCTTCCCTCCACCCCTCCCTCCCCTGCACACTCTGGCCGCAGCTCCTCACTTGGCCCTGCTCTCTCCCTGCTCCAGGCCTGTGCGCACACCTCCCCTTTCCGCCCCCACTGCCCTGCCTGGCCAGCTGCCCCACAGCCCTTGGGTCTTACTTCCCTAGCATGAGCGCCTCTGGGAAGCTCCAGGGCCGCCATTCTCTGTCATGTACCCGTCCTGGGCACTCTATGGACTCCCTGTGCATCCCTAGGCCAAACTTGTATCATACTGTGCCATCATTTTCCAGTTTTCTCCCCAAATCCCCCTGGAGGGACACAGACCGGAGGCTCAGGACAGGCGTGCTGAATGCATGAGCTCCTGAAGGTGTTTTCCTTGGCTGATGACCTGAGGGTGCAGCCTGGGCTGCTGGGGGTCAGGCACCGTGGCGCTGTGGGGTGGGAGGATTTGGTGACCTTTGGGGAGAAGGATTCCTGGACATCAGCACAGGTTTCCCAGTGACAGAGGCGCCTCACAGGCAGGTTGAGGCTCAGCCACAGGTGTGTCTCAGCGTCCCAGCCCTCAGTCCCCAGGGCTCCGTGGTCCCGTGGGAGGGTGGGAGCCCAGGAAGCCCTCAGTCCCAGGCCAGTGCTGCCTGCTGTTGGCGGTTTGTCCTGCAGCCACAGGACTGGCCACGAGGGACAACACCAAAGCCCCCGAAGCTGAGGGAGAGCCGGGGGCACGGGCAAGGCCTGGGCACAGGGCAGCGGTGGCCGTGAGTGGGGCATCTCCTCCTGGCCCCCAGGCTTGCCGGGGAGTGGAGTCTGAAAGGGCACCCTGGACATTCCAGCACCTTGATTGACCTCACCACCCTCCTGGCTCCAGGCACGCAAAAGAGACTGCTCCTTCCCTTAAAGGTCACCCGCCAGCTGGGGGCCGAACGCTGCCGGCCAGACAAGGTGGCGCACGCTGCGAGTTTGCTCCGAATGGATGGGGCTGGGGTGCGACAGGTTGTTTGGGGCTCATGCCAGCTGGCCGCTCCTTGCTGACCCCCTGCTGGGGCCCTCCACTGTTGCGGCCTCTGCCAGGCCTGGGAGGCCCAGCCTCCCCGCAAGGTGCCGGCCTCGCTCAGGCCCTGCTGGCCTCTCTGGCTCCAGGTGTCTGGGAGACGCAAGTGTCTCCAGCGGACAAAGGCAGCTGGCCTCAGTCACACCTGGCAGCGTAGGGGGCGCTGCTGAGAGAGATGGGCCCACTCAGGACGTCAATCTCTGATCTGCCCCGAAGGCCAGGCACTTCCTCTTGGGACCTGAATGTCCTCACACCGTGTAGCTCCCTTTCTGAAGGGAGCCATTGTTCAATGTCATTATCATGCAAGGAGGGCCTTCACCAAACAGGCCTCGCCTTTCACTCCTGAAAACAAGCAGCTTTCATGTCCCCTGAAAGCCCCGAAATCAAGCCAAGGCCCCCTTCTGCCTCATCCAGGCCTCTGAGACAAACCCTGAGAACCGACCCCATGCCTGTTCCCTGCAGTATCATCAGAATAAAGGAGAGGGTGAGGGGTCCGGTGAGCCCGAGGTCAACCCCACGTACACCACGTGCCTGGAGGACCCGGGCCTGGCCAAGGAGGCCGGCGATCACGTTGGCAGGCTTGGGTCTTCCCGGTAAGTAACACATGGGCCGGAGGGGTTGGGAAGTGAATGTTAATTATTCAGAAGACAGGATGTTTCCCACTGCCTCTGTTCAGGGAAGCCACGGGTGCACTTTTAAGATGGCTGTGGCCTTGTCCTTCCAGTCCGTGGGCCTCCCCTACGCCATTAGCCCTGCGCCTGCGTGAAGCGCTGCAAAAGCGCCTGGGTGCAGCTCCCTGTAAAATCCTCTCGGAACTCACCAGCTCCTAGGAGTCACAGCACAAGCCTGTGTTGGACTGTTCTCGGCTCTGACGTCTCCTGGTTCTCTCGTTTTGAGCAAGAGTTCTGGAGGGAAGGGCAGCAACTCCACAGGGCCGGTGCGAGGACCAGCGCTGGCCAGCTCCTCGGGCCGCCCCCTGCCCCCCGCTGGCCCTGCGCCCCGCCCAGCCGGGGAGCCCTGGCAGGGCCCAGCCTGCCTTCCCATGGTGATGAGCCCCTTCTCCTCCGCGCAGCTCTGTGACCAGCCTGGGCCACACACTGGTGGAATCTTCTCTCACGTGGCCTTCCCTGCCCAGTCCTCACGGGGCCTCGCCCAGGTAAGAGCCCTAGTTCCCCAGGCCCTCCCAGTCCTTCCCGTCCTGGAGAGCTCAGCCGGGATGGCCATCCCATTCAAAGGAGGGAAACTGAGGCCGCGCCAAGGCCAGCAGCTCTTCCGAGGTTACCTAAGGACACAGAAGGCCAGGGAGGTCCGGTGCCTCGTCCAAGCCGAGAGGCTTCAGAACCAACCGTGGCCTCTGATTGGCTGTCTAGTGTTCCTGCTCCCACAGAGTTAACGGGGACCTTCCAGGGCCCGGAACCCAGCACCTTCCCTTGTCTTCTCTTGCCCGCTGAAAACCAGTCTCTCGGGGAGGAATTCACGTCACATGCGCGCCTGCTGTAGGGCTCTGATATCCCCCCACTTCTCTGGCCCCATCTTTGCGATAGAATCAAGACTTGGGGCTAAAATGGGCCCTTTGTTCTTCTTGCCAGCTCAGAGATAAAGAGAAGCTTTGTCCTGCCTCCGAGCCCTGTCCTCAGCCCTGTCACTGGAGCCGGGCCCCTGCCGTGAGCCCCGCCCCACCCCCACCCTCAGGCAGGTCAGCTCAGGTTCCGGGTCACAGCCCCTGAGTGGGGCTGGTCCCTCCTCTGACTTGCTGTGAGGCTCTGGGCAAATCATGGAGTACCTGAGACACTTCTGGCCTGACAGGTGGCAGCACAGGGACCATGGGCCAAGGCTGGCCCTACCACTGCCCCACTCATCTGAGGGCACCTGGGGGCAGGGGGACCAATGGGGCTCATGCTACGGAGAGAAGGGACAGGCGCTGCCTCGCTGCGGTTTCAGCACAGCAGTAGGAGCAGGAAGATGGGCAGGATGACCCCTCAAGACCCCTTCCAGGCCTTTGTGGCTGGGACCTCTGCATTCCACAGGGATGGAGGAGCCCGTGCGCTCCTGGGCTGCCCAGTCTGCTGGTTCGCAAGCTTGTTTCCCCCACAACATGCAAATATTTACTGAACCTGGCCACGCGCAGGCCCTGCCTTCACGGAGCTTACAGTCCCCTCCCATCAGTGACAGGGTCAGCATGCGTGGGGGGCATGACCCCAGAGCATGTGTCTGTCAGGGAGGGCGTGGAGGCTGGTGGGGTGCCTGGGAGTAGGGTGGGGACTTCCTCCTGCCGCCCCTCCCTGCCATGGCACCCAGAGCAGCGGGGAGCCGCCAGGCTGGATGTGGGTTCCTAGGCAGCGGCAGGTCTCGACCAGACACTGAGATCCTGCATTTCCACCGAGCTCCCAGGTGACACCCCAGCCGCTGACTTGGAGACCACACTCCAAGCAGCAAGGCTTTAGAGTGTGTTCAGGAGCCAGAGTGTGCAGGAGCCTGCGTCCTGGAGCCCGACTCAGCCACCCCATTCCTGTGCGGAAGGACGGCCGGGGCCCAGAGACGGGGAGGGACCTGCCCAAGACCACAGAACAAGTCAGCCTCTGGGCTCAAGTGCCTGCATCCTGTGACGCTGGAAGAGCAAAGCCAGAGTCACCAGGGTCTCACTCAGAAAGGCGAGGGCAGAGCAGAGAGCAGCTTGGGACTCACGCGTGGCCTCCGGGGGGCTAGAGGGAGGGTGAAGCTCACCTTCTGTCCAGACCCCAGCTAGTGGGGGAGGGGCTGGCAGGCTGTCCCCATAGTAAGGAGGGAAGCAGAACAGACCAAGTCACAGAGCCGAGTGTCTAGGCCCACAGAAAGTGGGCCGGGCTGGGGCCGCGCGGGGACCTGCAGCGGGGTTGGGGCAGGGGGGTGTGGGGCAGGGAAGCCAGGCCCCCAGGAGCCAGCGCCCTTAGCAGCCAGGCCAATTCCAGGCCCCTGCAGGGGCCGGATGGGCAGGGGTCGGATGGGCAGGGGTGCCGATGCAGCTCTAGCTCTGGTGGGGCGTGGGGTTGGAACCAGCTATGGGAGGTCCAGAGACTTCAGCAGGGCCGGCGAAGGCAGGCTGACAAGAAGCCAGGGGAGAGGGGCCGGGTGTGCCAGGAGGGACTGGGGCGGCTTCCTTCCCTCTGGCGGTCTCTGAGGGCCCCTGCCTGTCCTCAACTCTCTCCCACCCTCACAGGGGTCAGTGTGTCTTCAGGTAGCCCTTCAAATGACTTCATCCCCCCGGTCCTGGTCCCCAGGTTCTCCGACTCCCCAGAACAAAAAGGCTGGCAGGCACAGGCGACAGAGTTCAAGGCCCTCTGGCAGGCGACCGAGGTCGAACGCGACCGGCTCACCGAGTTTGTCGCAGTCCTGCAGAAACGGTAATGCCTGGCCTCAGGGCCTCGCTTCGTGGGCCTGTGTGGGCTGGGGGGTTGACAGCCGGGCCCGCGGCATCCCTCTGGGACAGGGCAAGCCCCGTCCGGGACTGGAGCCACCTTACTGGAGAGTTCGGCTCCCACGGTGTTGATCCGGGCCATTCTCCCAGACAGACACAGCACGTGTCCCCACCCAAGTGCCCCACAACCTGGGGGTCCGATCGTCACCCTGTGGTTTGCCCTGTCCTGCATGCTCCCAATGGGGCTGTGACAGACAGGGGGACATGAGGTGGGCCTCTCAGGGGAGAAACTCTCTGGAGTAGTTAAATCAGTCAAGGCTCCACCAACATGGAAAGTCTGCAGTGAGGACAGCACTGTCCTGCGCGCCGCTGGAGGCGAGGCTGGTGCCCAGGCTTACACAGAGCAAGAGGGCAGCTGGGCGCTGGGAGCCGAGGCCCCTCGGGGGAGGGCGAGGGAAGCATGTGGCCTGAGGCAGCAGCCCAGGAGGATGGTTTTCCCCACGGGGCTGTTGACAGGCTTCCATTCAGATAAATCAGTGCTCCTCACTCAAGTGACCCTTTTGGCAAGAAATGCAGCTGCCCGGTCCAACACATGGCCTAACCACGTGACCTGCACAGTGACAGTATAAAGGACACCACCGAGTTTCTGCCTTAACAGGCCACCTCGCACATCCGTCAGGGCTGTTTGGTGACAGGCCATAGAAGCCAACGCTGGCTCAGTGGAGGTATTCGGACGAAGCTGGCGGGCCCCAAGGCGCAGAGCAGGACAGAAGCTCACGGAGGCCCAGGGATCTTGGTGGCAGGAACCTTGGGTGGTCTCCCCTGGGCCCCTCGAACGGTGAAGGCTCAGTGGCTTTCAGCTGCAGTGCAGTGGGTTCTGGAAGAGAAGGTCTAGCCGGCCTGGGCCGCTCTCATGTCCCTCCCTGGACACAGGCCAGGCATCGTGACTGGGAGAGCCTCCAGCAGCTGGCCGGTGGGGGAGGGGCAGCTTGCCAAAGAGAAAAAAGGAATACCGTTACCGAAGGGGTAAGGGCGCCGGCAGGTGATCAACAGAAGGCCACCACCTCAGCAGTGACAAACGATCAGCGTTAACTGTTGTCTTTTCCATAGTGCATAGGCAGGGTCTGATTTTCAGACCTACTCAGGTCTATGAGAAAGGTAACAGCAATTCTTTTCCCGTAATGGAAATGGAATGGGTAGTAGAAGCCTCTGGTCTACCAGATGGAAGAAATATAGTCCTTCCAGGCTTTCTCACCCATTCCCTTTGAGTTGTACCTGAGTTTGGTGGGGTTGTGAACCAGGATGACTCAAGTATCTGTTTCTGTTTGAGAAACCACACCAGGCATAGCGGCTTCAGACACAATGGTTTATTCTTCACTGAATAGGTCTCTTTTTAAAAAGCAGTTATACAAGATCTGTCCAGAAAATATCTGGCCATGTACTATGAAAAATAGATATTTATTGAAGAAGATACAAGATACAAGAAACACTGTACATAGGACAGTGATGGCTCAGTCCTCTTCAAAGTAGGCACCTTGGCACCTCACACAGTTCTCTCAGTCCCATCAGCTGCCTCATCATATTTTCCTGAGTGCCATTGATTGTCTGAAATCTCTTCCGTTTCAAAGGTGGTTTTAGTTTTGGGAAAAGCTAGAAGTCACAGGGCGCCAAATCTGGGCTCTAGAGGGGCTGAGTCACCTGGGTGATTTGATATTTCACCAAAAACCTCTGCACAATACACGATGCATGAGCGGGCACATTGTCGTCATGAAGCTGCCAATCACCAGTTGCCCATAGCTGCAGCCTTCTGTTCAAGCTTATCGCAAAATTGGGTGCAGATTCCTCGCTCTGCTCGCTCAGCCGTTTTGAATGCGACAGCCCCACAGTACACATGCTCACTCAGTGGCATCTACTGCCCCTACTGACTAGTATAGTGAAGTTGTCATTGTTCATACATGTGCGTTCCAGGCCACTCTCCTTGGCTGCCAGGTTACATCAGTGTTGTGCAAACCAGTCTCATTATATTAACAATGGCTGGACTTTTTCCAGGCAGACCTCATGTGTAATTTGCTGTGTTTGTTCCATCTGAGAATTCGTGTCTGAACAATAAAGATCAATACATTCTCATTTTTGGAATATTTGGAAATATTTCAATTATCTCAATATTTTCCATTTGGCATGATTTTTATTTGTTCTTTTTTCTTCATTCTTCACTCTTATAATATTGGATGGATCAAGTTTTATTTCTCTGTCTTGTATACCAGTTTGGAAGTTATGCATTCTCTCTCTATTCCTTTCGCACTTACCCTTGAAACTCAGTTTAAGGTCAGCAGGTTTTTTATAGCCACTTTGAGCAATAGAATGAATTTATGCTATGTTAAGTGAGATTTCCCCACGTGCATCTTTCATGTTACTATTTTCTAGAAGTTCTCTTCCACATCCTTTTTTTAAATCCTCTGAAATAAACTCTCCAAATTTGTCATGTTAGAAAACAGTCAACATTCACTTACTTTTACCAACATGCTTCAAAATGTCTTCCCACTCGTTGTTGCTTCTTGCATCTCAATCTTTTCTTTTTTCTTTTTTTCTTCTCCTCAGTTTTCTTTTACTGATGCACATCCTTTGGGCAGTTCAGAGAGGCCACAGGAAGGGCCAACTCTGAGTCTTTGCTTATTTTTAAATCTCTTTGTTATGCCCTCTTGAGAGTGAGAATACACTCAGGCATAGAATTCCAGAGAGATGAGTATTTTTTCTCAGCCCTTGGAGGCCATGATAGCCTGCTGTCTTTAAGCATCTGCAGTTGCTAAAAAGAAATGTGTGGTTGGCTTGATATTGTTACTTTCTGGATGTGCCTGTCCTTTCTCTCTGGCTGCTTCTTCAGAGATTCTCTTTGTCTTTGACATTTTGAAGTGTCGCTATGATGTGTCAGGTATTTTATTTTGATTTATTTTACTTATTTTATTTTATTTTTCCTACTTAGAAATTAGTGTGCTTTTCATTCCAAGGACTTACGTCTCTATATTGCCTCTCCCCGTTGTCTCTGTTTTATGTTTTATGGTTTATGGTTTATGTTTTTGTGTTGTTTCTGTGGGCTTATCTTCAGTGTATTTTTTTTCTCATGGGAGTTTCTTAGGTCATGAAAGTCCTTCCCCAGAATGGTCCTGCTTTTGTTTCTGTGGAGCTTTGGGGTTTTCTTGGTCACTGATTAGTCATTTAGGCTAATTTATTGGTTTAGATTTCCTGAACACATGAGTGTGAGCCCCTTTGTTTCCAATGTCCCCATGATGGGTGCTCTGTGCCCCGCTGAGGCCCTGGTGGGCTGCAGATGTCCTTACCCCGACCCTGGCTTAGAGGTGGAGACTGTCCAGTTCCTGCATCAGAAGCAAAGCACTCTTTGGGGGCTTCCAGAATTATGCAGCAAATTTACTTGCAGCTTGCTGTCTTACATGAGCCCAAGTTTTTGTCTTCTGCTCTCCTGCTGGCATGAAAACCTCTGAATTATGCTGTTAGAAGTGTTACTAATTTTACTATGACAAATGAATGTTACCTATTTCAAAAAGCCTCCTTTTCCAACCCCACAAGTTCTCATTCCTCATAGAAAAGAACTGTTAGCATTTACAAAATGTTTTCTTTGCACATCCAAAAATATGTATGCATGGGTATGTGTGTATTTGTGTAGGCACAAATATGTACACACATATATTACTAAAAGACCCACACTAGACATTTCTTTAAATATTTGTGAGAGTATATCTGTATCATGAATTTCTAACAGTGGAATCACTGAATGAAAGAGTATGTACATTGAAAATGTTTACAAATAATGGCAAATTGCCCTTTTAAAATGAATCAATTTATATTCCCATCAGTAATGTGAACTATCGACTAGTTCCTCCCCATACCTTCCCTATACTAAGTTTTATCAATCACGAACATTTTTGCCAAACTCCAAAAGAACACTAATATCTCATCGCTACTTTTACCTGCTTTGCTGTAACAAAAGTGGGGATGAACATATTTTTCACATGTTTTTGGCCCTTTAATGTGTTTTTTTCTGTTAAGTACCTATTTATACTATTGTCCATGTTTAGTCATTCATTCCTATTTTTTCTTTACATCTCTAAAGAGCTCTTTATAAATTATGTATACAGTATTATGTACATGATGTGTAATATTGATCTCCATAGGGATCTTGTATCATTAGTATTAAATTAATTCCTGGGTATGAGGACTTCCTTATCTAAGTATTCTTTGCCAATATCCCAACAGTTACAGTCCTTATGAAAGCAAAACATTTTTTAAAATTAATTATTTTTAGAGAGAGAGGAAGGAAGGGAAAACAAGAGGGAGAGAAACATTGATATGAGAGAGAAACATCGATCAGTTGCCGCTTATACATGCCCCAACCCAGGACCAAACCCGCAACCCAGGCATGTGCCCTGACCAGAATCGAACTGGCGACCTTTGGCTTTGTGGGATGACAGCCAACCCACTGAGCCACCCCAGTCAGGGCAAAAACAAAATTTTTAACATCAAAACATTCATTCACTAATGACTTAATTACTTAATAGTCATCACCTCACATTGTCATTTGGTCAAACTCTCAAAACAGAATGAAAATCAAGTACAAAGTGAAAAGGGCAAATCTTTAGAAATATTTGGAGTTTCACGAGGTTGATGCACGTGATGTCGGAGAGCTGGTAGGACCACGCTCCAAGCCATTCACAAACAAGGGCCTGGCTGGAGGAAAAGCTGTGGGAGCAGCCGTGTCCAGCCTGTTGGCGTCTCTGGGCCGCCCTGGAAGCAGAGTTGTCTTGGGCCACACAGTAAATACACAAACACTAACAAAAACCGATGAGCAAAAAAAAAAAAGGTTTTAAGTAAATTTACAGTTTTGAGTTGGGCTGCATTCATAGCTGTCCTGGGCCGCATGGGGCCCGCAGGCCACGGGTCAGACACCCTGCTAGTAGGGCCTGCTGATGAACTGGAGGCTGAGAGCAGCGAGGACCAAAGGGAAGGCAAGAGTGACTCCCAGGTTTCTGGCCAAGCAACTGCATGAGCCACAGTGACATTAATCAAGATAGGCACATTTTGGGGAGAAAGGGAGAAATCCAGAGTTTAGAAATCCCTAAATGTGGGAACATTTCATAAAGTACTTTAGCCTTTTATGTGGTGTTTACTGTTCATTTCTTTTATTATTTCCCCATCACAAATGGAATACAAACTTGTTTAAACAGGCACTAGTGAAAAATGTAACAGAAAAATGAGAGCCCCTTTCCCACAGATAACAAGTCAGTATCTGCTGAATGTTCCTCTGTTTCAAGACATGGGCGGACTTACATTGGCATTAGTATTGATTTGTTTGCAAATTCTTAATATTATACATTTTAAAGTTAGTTCATATATGATGCACAACCTTCTGCTACTTATTTCACTTAGTGATACATCGCAGACATTCCTCATGTCGGCACGGATTCTTCTTATGGTTGCAGAGTGTTTTATTGTGTTAACCCGCTATGATTTATTTACCACGTATTTACATGCGGGCTTTATACGGAATCTTGTGGCGCCTGCTTTTCTTCACCAGTTCCCTGACTTGGAGGCCTAGCGTGTCTGTACACACGTAGCTCCTCCTCCTCCTTCCCCGTTGCCAGAGCGGCGCTGGTCAGCGGGCCTTCCGTGAGGAGCTGTTCTATGTCTGTGCGGGCCAGTAAAGTACTCATTAGCCACGTGCAGCTCTTGAGCACTTAAGTGAGGCAAGTATGGCTGAGGCACTGAATTTTTAATTCTCTTTAATGTTCATTAATTTTAATTTAAGTAGCTGCCCCGGGGCATCCCGCCGGCAGCTGCTGCGCTGCACAGCACAACCCTCTCATACTCTATTACGTTCCGTGGCACGGATATGTTACCGCCTACGCTGTCTTTCCCCTGTTGATGGACCTTTAGGTTGTCTGGGTGTTTTGCTTAAGAGGCTGTCCCCTGAGTTCTTATCACGTTTTGTTTTAGTAGTTGTGTACTTTGCAAAATTGTCGCCGTTCAGTTCCTTCTCGACTCTTCCCCACGGTGCCAGGACCGCGTCCTTCAACACTGCAGGGTTCCCGGCAGCCACTCGGACCTGTATGTGCTTGTAACCATTGCCTGGGCTGAACCTCGGGGGAGCTCGGCCTTCTCGCCGAGCCTTTAATACCCGCAGTCTCCAGTGCCAGGCCCAGCCACGGGAAAGGCCTCAGTCCAGCCCCAGGGAGAGTCAACAAGTCCTTCATGTGCAACATCCAACCGACCAGGTCCTCAAGGCCCATGACTTCATGACAGGCGCACAGAAAATAACAATAAGAATAGCCGTAGACAATAATAAACAGAAAACAATTACTGACTCAAAGAGAAGCAACAATTAGGAAAGACAATGTAACCATTCCATTTCTGGGGTAGGCAGGATTTCATCCCCCCTGCCGCTCGCTCCCTGCCGTTGTGCCTGTGAGCGCTTTATATTATATGGCAGAAGGGACTACGCAGATGTAATTATTGTTATGGATCCTAACATTGGAAGATTATCCTGGATTACAGGGTGGGCCCAATGTCATCACCTGAGCCCTTAAAAGCAGAGAACTTCCTCCCACTGGGCTCTGGCGGGGAAATGCTGCAGAAGCCAGAGACACTGAAAGCACAAGAAAGCTCCTTTCCGGCTTTGAAGGTGGAGGCCTCTGAAAGATGATAATGACTCAGGCAACAACTAGCAGGAAGCAGGGACCTCAGTCCTTCTGTTGGAACTGAGTTCTTCCAACAACCTGAGTGAACCTGGAAGCGGACTCTCCCCCAGAACTTCCAGGTCAGCGAGCACCTTGATGGGGCTGGTGGAACCTGGGCGGAGACACCCACAGAACGCCCTGAACCCTCTGACTCGAGAGCCGAGATCGTAAATACATGTCATTGTAAGCTGTTATGTTTCTGGTCATCTGTTACGGCGGCAATACAAACAAATGTACCGACTACTGTTAATTCAGCCCCCCAAAATGGTATTATAACCATACTAGGAGGTGGAGAGGTGATTCTGCTGGGTAAGGGGGGAGTATTGAAATAAAACTAAGCTCTCGTGTTGCATGTCAGGAGGTCAAAAGGTTATATTTAACCCTTAAAAATAGCAGCATAAGCATCTGTGGAAATAAGGCAGGGAACAGTGAAGCAGCAGCTGAAAGTGTTATAACTGGTTGCCTCTGGCGAGCAGGAACTGGGAGCGCAGAGGAGAGGGGAGGGGGCAGGTTTCTTCATCTTAAGCCTTGGAGGATGGCAGGATTTTCAAGTGCCTGTTCCTATTGGAGTATGTCACTGCGGTAAAAGGGAAGGAGAGCCGGTCCCCCACCACTCGTGTCAGACGTGCGCACCCCTTTGGGAGCCGGAGCAGGTGGATGGAGGGGGGCGTGGGGGGGAGCTGTCCTGCCTGCCAGGGTGCATGGCAGCCCCTCGCCTCTCGTCTGGTCCCCAGGGCGGAGGAGAGCGACAGCAAGCTTCTGGAGTCGGAGAGGAAGCTGCAGGAGGAGCGGCAGCGCACCGTGGTGCTGGAGCAGCACTTGGAGAAGATGCGCCTGGAGCCTGGGAGGGCGGCGGGCTCTCAGAGAGCAGCTTCGCGGAGCAGAACAGGTGGGGCCAGGGACCGGCAGGGGAGGGCGTGGGAAGCAGGGGCCCCCCGCTCAGGGTGCGGCCGGCCTGCCCCTGCTGCTGCTGCTGCTGCGTGTCCTCCCCGCCCCCGGCCTCCCAGTCAGCCCCAGAGGGCCACGCCCCTGGGGGCCCTGGCCCAGCTCGCCTGCGAGCCCGTAGGGTAAAGTGGCAGGGCCCTCGCTGAATGTCTTCAGCCACCACCCCACCCCATCCCTCAACCCTCTGTCCCCACTGACTCTGGCCGTAGGGCACAGCGGGCCCGCCAGGGAGGCCGCAGACCGGTCCCTTGCCGCCTCCCGCCGTTGTTGTCGTAAGCGAGGCTGAAGGTGCCTCTCCACAGGCCTGGGGACCTGGGCTCCTCTGTCTGGTGCTCCACTGTCCTCGACGCTGAGCTTCCATCTCATGGTCTGAGGTGGCTGCATTCACTGCCCCGCCAGCAGCTCAAAGGGGACACCCTGCTCTTTGCCATTTAAGGCAGCACCCCTAAGGCTGCGTGTCACTTGTGCGCTCAGCGCCTTGGCCAGACCCCAGTCATATGACCACACCCAGCAGCGGAGGGGGCTTGCTGTCCTAAATGAAAAGGTGTATTGCTGTGACACAGTGGTTCGCAAAGGACAGCCGCGAGGCCAGCAGCCTTAGCGTCTTGTGGGGCTGGAGCAAGCAGGGGGCGCAGGATGCCAGAGCCAGGGCCTTTCTGGGGCAGCTGACCCGCAGGGACGGGGACTCTCCAGCGCAGAGGGGCTGGGCCTGCTGCCCTCTGACGTCCCACCCCACCCCCTCGAGGCTCTCTGCTGGAGCTGGTGTTCTGCCTCTCAGCACCCAGGACTCCCCCTCCCTCCCCCAGCCAAGGACACTCAGACCTTTGTTCCCCGCCCAGATCAGACCGCAACGTGAGACACAGTCAGGGAGCTGTGCCCTTCTCCCTTCTCTCGCCAGCAGGCCCCGGGCTCAAGGGGGCCTCCCGGTGCCACTGAGAATCCAGGCTCAGGTGGGTGCTGGGCTTAGCCCTGCTGGCCCTCCTGGGCCCTCAGGAACATGTCCCCAAGGATGTGGTGCCTCCAGGCCTTAGGCTCACCCGCCGCTGAGCAGCCAGCCCCCTACCTGGGAGGGCCGACCCCTGGCGGGAGAAACCGCTTTGATGCTGCCCGGACAGCCAGGGGCAGCTGCCTGGGAAAGCTGTCCACCCGCTGGCCTGTGACATGGGCGGCACATAGCGCAGCGCCCGTCTGTAAAATGAGGAGACCTGAGTCTGGGACTTGGCCCCTCCAGGCAGTTCCAGCCCAATGAAGAGTGAACGACATGACAGGTTAGACAGAAGCAGGTGCTATGGCTCAAAGCAGAGGAAGGGGATGGGTGGCCGGAGAGAGCCGCCATCTTGCACGGGGTGGCCAGCGAAGACCTTCTGAGGAGGGGACACCTGAGCAGAGGTGGGGGAAGGGGGAGGGGAGCCTGGAGGAGCAGCAGGGTGGCTGTGAGGCCACGATGGGGAGGGCAGGGAGCAGGAGGTGCGGTCAGAGGAGCCGCGGTACTCAGGCGTGTTCCCCAAGGGAACGTGTGCGTCCCCTCAGGCCTCACAGATTTCTGGAGGCGAGAACTGTTCTCGTTTTACAGGCGAGGACATCAGCTCAGAGAGGTTGGTGGTTTTCCTGAGGCCGCACAGCAGGGGGTGAAAACCAGGCCCCTGACGCCCGAGTGATATGCCCTGGGAGCCGCCTGCCTCAGGGGCCTTTTCACACAGAGAGTTTCTGGTGCCGGGATCCAGCCCACGTCCCCCGCCAGCTGGGCTCTGGTTCCCTTTCCTAAGCATTCTGTGGTCCCTGACCCCAGCCGCCCTGGCCCCTCCATGTGTATGGAGCTGCCGGCCAGGATGGGGACTGGACGGGGGGTCGTCGTGGTGTGAGGACATCAGATGAAGGGACTGTCTAAACTCAGGCTCAGCCTGCAGGCCAGACCTCAAGCGCAGCTAACTTCCAGAAACTTGTAAAGAACAAAGACAGACAGAGGCGTGAGGGTGAAAAGCCAGGGCTGCGGCAGAGGCCGAAGCCATGGTCCAGGGGAATGCGGAGCAGCTATCAGGGAGGGCTTCCCGAGGGAGGCAGGCCTTGTCCTGCACCTCGAAGGAGGGGTACTGTTTCCACAAGTGGGGAAGGCAGGAGGTGGGCAGCAGGGGGAGGAGTGGGAGAGCACAGGCCCATGGCCTGTCACAGAACGCCACGCTGCTGCCCCACAGGTCTGCCCAGCTCTAACACCAGGCACAACCCGATCGGGAGCGAGAAAAAGGACCCATCTTTCGCCCAGCTCTCCGGCATGCCCATGGAGTCACAGATGGAGGAGTTGACCACCAGGTGCTCCCTGCCCTGTCCTCCCGAGGGTGGCATCGCCTGGGTGGAGGTGCTTCAATGGGCAGAAGGATCGCGTCCCTCCCCTTAAACGTGTGTTTGCCCAGAAGGCTGGTCCTGCTGGGCCCTGGTGTGTAGGCCTGTAATTCAGCGACTGGCCATCAGGAAGCAGAGAGACTCAGCCATGACCACGTTAGCCCCAGAGCCCTATGAGAAGTTTTACGAAGCGTGGGTTGCCAGACCCCCTTTTCTTAGCTAAACTTTTCAAGGTTAAATGCAGTGATGGGAAAGGAAGGAGGGGGAACCTTTCCAAATTAGTACCATCCTTGGGGCAGCTGACATTTTGAGGAGCTAAAGGCCCAGGGCTCGGGGCAGGGCGCAGAGAGGAATCTCACGTGGTATTCCCCCAAGGGTCCATGGGAGGCTGGGATCGGGGAGAGAACCTGCGCCTGCGCAGCAGCTGTGCTGGCGGCCCCACCCCGGGGTCCCGTGTACACGCACGCACGCACGAACGCACACACGCCAGCGGGGGTCTCACCGAGCCCTCTCTCCTGTGGTGCAGGCTGGCCATCCAGGTGGAGGAGAATGAGGCGCTGAGGTCCGCCCTGGGCAGCGCCCTGCGGGGAAAGGAGGAGGACTTCCGCATGTACCACGAGACCCTGGCCCAGGTGAAAGGGGTCTTCCTGCAGGCCTTGCGGCAGCAGAAGGCAAACAAGCACTAGGACAGCGGCCCGGTATCCCCCAGGCCCCGGCTCCTGCTCCTGGAACAGGCTCCCCAAGGTGACAGAGCCAACCCATCAGGCCAGAAAGGCAAAGCAGAAGCCCTGGTGGAGCCCTGAGGGAGCCCCTGGGCGGACGTGGCTGCGGTGGGAGAGGCCCAACAGCCTGCCCGGCGGCGGTGGCAGAGGCGGCGGCAGCAGCAGCAGCAGCGAGAGTCTGGGACAGCAAGCTGGCCGCGGACAGATGTCACTGTTCGGACAAGGGCTCATCGTCCTTGTCCTAGGGCCCGTCGGGAGCCCCTGCATGCGAACGTGACTGGGCACGCGCAGGAAGGCCCTGGTGCTCCAGGCGGGGGGCATCCCCCCGGATGCTCAGCCCCACGCCACCCCCAGCAGGGCACACCTGCCCCCTCCGCGGCTCTGCCTGTGGCCACCCCCGCCCTCTGCCGGCGTGAGCTCGTGGCGCTCCCAGCCACATTTCAGCCCACACCTCAGGGCGCTTTCTTAGATGCAGACCCTTGACCTTGTAATAATAATGATTATTTTCATAATCGCTGCAGCTCCCAGCGCGTGGGCACCAGCTGTGGAAATCTGAGCCCATCTAGTCCTCTCGCGACCCAGGGGATTGTCACCATATTTTACACTTGAGGAAACGGAGACGTGCAGCAAGAAGCAGAGCCTGCCTGACACCAAGGCAGAGCAGAGTCGCCAGGGCCAGCCGTGCGCCCACCCCGCTGCTGGGCGGTCCGTCAGCTGCTCCAAGAGACCCCTGCATGTGCTACCAAAGGCTGCAGGGGTGGCTGCTGGGGGCGGAGGGCGGAGGTGGGGCTGGGCTGGAGCTTTGGGCGGGAGTCCAGGTGAAGGCGCGGTGCGCCTCCCTCACCGCAGCGCTGGGGAGGCGGGCTGCCCTGCATCAGGAGAGCCCCAGGCCTGACTGCTGACGCCATGGCCACCTCCCAGCACCCACAGGCACACACACACACACGCAGATGCACACAGATTCCCAGACCCGGGAGTATAGCCGCCAGCGTGCACTCGTGAACACACAGGCTGGGCTGTGGCCCCTCCACACTGGCCTGTGTGCGCACGGGCGTGTATGTGGGTGTGGACGCCCATTCCTGCACATGGAGACCAGCCCCTGTGTTGCTTGCGCAGTGACTCACAAACTTGGGAGCACAGACCATGAAAGCGCCCTTCCCCAGGGGAAGCTACCCGGGGCTCCTGGGGCCTGTCTGCTCAGGTCCTTCCTCAGGGACCCAGCTGTGGAGGGACTCTGTGCTGAACCCTCTGGCCAGGAGCCCCGACCTTGCACGGGGTGACGCAGGCCGTGGGGACGAAGAGGCGACTCTGATGGGCCTTACGGGTCCCTGAGAAGGAACAGCTTTTCTCTGGTTCCTTGGGAGGGGGGATGGAGGACAGAGAGGGAGTGGGAGGGCCTGTGTTGGCGGGGACAGCGTGACAGGGGCAGCGGGCCAAATGCAGAGCCAGGACACTGGGCTGCAGGGCTGGAACCTGTACCTGCCGGCGAAGGGGAGCCCCAGAGGGAGACCTGAGCGTGCGGGATGCGGGCGCTGGTCCTCCTGGCGGGGAGCACGTGTAGGACCAGCCTCCCTCCTCGGGGGTGGGCAGAGCAGCAGGGCCACCTCAGGGGAGCGCGGGGTGGCAGGCCTTGCACCGTGGCCACTCAGGGGTGGTTTGCCTGCCCTTCCTGGTGCAGGTCTGGGTCTGGGCGAGGAAGGGGCATCCGACTTGGGGTCTGAGGAGGTGGGGTGCGTGGGGCAAGTCCCTCTCCCCACTCACCGACTCTGTGGCCTACCTCTCTGAGCCTCTCTGTCCTCTGTAAAATGGGGACAATAATAGAACCTCCCTCCTGGGCTGCTGTGTAAGAATCAGTCAAAGACATGCAGCTGGTCATTAGCCTGCTGTTTATTACTTCTGTACAAGGGACATGCATCAGTAGATTGAATTCGGTCCATAGAGATACAAACAGAACTTATGTAAGAGAGGAAGGGGGAGCTTGCAGTCAGGCACAGTAAAGAAAACTTGTTTGCACATTTCAGGGTAAACTGATTCGCTAGCATCCGGCAGAGATCAGTCCGGACGTTCGGGCCTTGTTTAGGCCACAGGTGTAAAGACATCTGTTTCAATTTCCAGGCCTTGAGGGCGTGGCCAGAAAGCTGTGGGCGGGGGTCCCTGCCACGTCTGCTGGCACCTGCCCTCAGCACCCCGAGCTTAGTCAGACCAGGTCTGTGCCATTTCCCATTGGAATCTGTCTTCAGGAGTCACTGAGTTACAAAGTGCCAAGTGCTGGAGGGGCGGCTGGCACACGTGAGCCTTAGCGTTACCTCTGGGAGTTCAACAAATCCAGCGGCTCCTTTGCCCTGGGCATGGGGGTCCCGGGTGAGGCGGACTTGCTTCCTGGGCTCCAAGAAGTCCCAGGCCACCATGCCCTGAGCTGGCCAGGCCGCAGGGTCAGGGAGTGCCGGCTGCAGGCCAGCCTCTCCGGTGGCCAGACTTGCTGCTGCTCCCCAGGAGCTCCCGCTGCGGTCAGAGGGCCCGGGAAACACAGGGCCACGGTGGAGCTGTGGAGCCGTGGAGCCGGCGGCTACTGGTCGGGGTGGGAAGTGCAAAAACAGAACGTGGACCCCAGAGCCTCCACCTGCCCTGCTATGGCTCCCAGGCTCTGCCCAGCTCTGGGCGGGGAGGGGCTGTCCACAGCTCCCTGAGGTGCGGGTGGGGCAGGGAGGAAGCGAGAGGCCCAGGGGAGCCTGGGAGCGGATTTTTCAGGGAAGGAGGGGTTGTCAAAGGGGCCAAGGACTGGGACCCTGAAGGAACTAACCCAGGGGGGCCAGGTGGCCAGTGGGGCAGCCCGGTCTGCCCAGGTTAATGCCACCTGTCCCTGGGACCCTGAGGATGACATTCCGCAGCCCTCAGGCAAGTGGGCAGCAGGGGGCTGGACTTGCCTTTCACAGATGAGAGCGCACTGGCCGGAGCCACTGGGTGGTGGGGGGAGGGCCAAGGACAATCAAAGAGGCCTCACGTGAGGGCTCTCCTTGGCTGCACCCCAGGCCGGTGCCCGGGGCCTGGGTGCTCAAGTTCCTGCACTGACAGGTGAGACCTGGTTGAGCCACGGGTGTGGCTTGGCCACTGTCCCCATGGGGCCTCTGGGACAACACAGCAGAGCGAGATAAGACTGCAGCGTGGCTCAGGCCCGTTCAAGCCCCAAACACAGTCCATGGCCCCTGGGTCTCTCCTCCGGGCCCCTGCACCCAGTGTGGAGAGCCAGCCTGTCCCCTCCACCCCTCCCCCAGCCAGCCCTCCGCTGGCCTGCAGGGAAGTCTCTGCCCGCCTGCCCCTGCTCCACATGTCTCAAATGTACACACACAGTACACACACCACACACATCTATAGACAACACGTGCTGTAGGCAACATACAACAAAAAACATGCACACAGACCCACACACAGCCAACACAAAACACATTAATACACACCCAAGATACTTGCTCCACATTTTTACTTTGAACAACAACAAACCTAAGGGACGAAAAGAAGCTCTACCCACTGCATCCTTCCTGGCAGCTCTTGTGGCCCCAGGTGCTTGTGCCGGTCTTATCCCAGTCGGCTTCCTGCCCCTTGTTGTGTGCACTGGCCACACTGGGCACTCTCCCTGCGCGCCACCCTCACACAGCGTGCAGCTGGCCTGGGCCATCCAGCCCCTGGTCTGGGGGCCTCCCGCCCACTACCCCTCCTGCCCTCTCCACATGCCTGGCCCCCTACAGACTCCGCTGCGAGGGGGTCACCCAGTAAACATGTACTGCACATGAGTTCTGCCTCTTGAGTGCAGGGGTTTCTGTCTGTTTATTTTAAAGACTCTATTTATTTTTAGAAGGAGGGAGAAAAAAGGAGAGAGACATCAACGTGAGAGAGAAACGTCGATTGGTCGCTTCTCATACGTGCCCCGACCAGGGACTGAACCCACAACCCAGGCATGTGCCCCGATGGGGAATCGAACCAGCGACCTTTCGCAGGAGGATGCCCAGCCCACTGAGCCTCACCGGTCAGGGCTGCCTCTCTTTATGAGCAACTCAGAGAGCCAAGCCCTTGCTCTGGAGTGAGTCATCGAACCCCGCAAGAGCCCAGCGTGGTCAGGGCCAGAAGCCCGCCTGTTTATAGGTGAGGACCTGAGGCACAGAAAAGTGGTCACACCAGTGAGGTGCAGCTCAGGTTCACGTGAGCCGGCTGGACCCGCATGCTTCCCTGTGGGGCCAAACCACCCTGCCTGCTTCCCTGAACCTTCCTCTTGTGCCTCAGAGGACGCCTGCTGGGGCAGCTAATGGGGCTGACTCACTGCTTAACCTCCCGGTGCATCAGTTTCCTTTTCTATCAACCAGGGCTAAGGGCGACACCTTCCCTACAGGTTGTGGGGAGATTAGAGTCGATCCACGCACAGCCTTAGAACTGTGCCTGGCTACTGGGATTAGCTCACTCCTAACGACCGTTCACCCTCTCAGGACGCTGCTCAAGCGCCCCCTCCAGTCCAGGAATCCCTCCCGGACTCCCACCGGCACCCCTCCTGGGTGCCGGTCTCCTCCAGGGCCCAGGACCCCGGCTGCAGCGCCCCCCCGAGCCCCCGTGCTGTGCTGCTCCTGCTCTTCCCACCTCTTGGGGTCAGGGACCGGTGGTGCAGGCCTCCCATAGCTGCGGGGACTGTGTGCTGGGTCCCCTGGCTTCTTCCTCTGGGCGGGTGCGCCTGCATGCTTGGGAGGAAGCCCGCTGCCTAAAGGCGCTGTGGGAGGGCCTGGGCCTCCTTCCCCTCCCCACGCCTTGCTCAGGTCCTCCTAGTGCCCCTGCTGGGGGTGGGGGAGCAGCCCCTTCTCCCCTCGGTTGTACCTGAGCCCATGGCCGCGGTTGGGATCAGCAGCAGCTCCAGGGCCCGTCCCATGATTGCAGTCCCACTTGTAACCCCAGACCCCAAACCCAGGCCTTACACACACATGCGCGAACAGTCCCCACATAGACTCTGAAGCGCTCATCCCAGAGGGGCCTATCAGAAGTTCTGGACCTGGGGGTGGCCCATCAGGCGGGCTGTGTGGAGGCTTTGGCTGCCCCTTCCCAGAGTGGGGGCACTGGCTCCCACCTCACTCCTTCCCCCTAGGAGTCTGCTCTACCCTGCCATCGGGAGGGTGCCAGCCACTCCAAGCACCCGCTCAAGCCTGGCCAGGCAGCCCTGCTAGCACCCCTCCCCCAGGCAGCTCCCCAAGGGCCAGGGCTGGAGGCCGGGGGGGCCCCCTCAGCCACAGGCGAGTAAAATCCCCTTAGGCAAGCGAGTCTTCCCCCAGGCCTGACGCCTGGCCAGCCAGGACTCTCAGCCTGATGAAATGGACCGGAGCAGGGGCGAGGTGGTCTGCCCTGGGCCAGCCCCTGGGAGCTCACATGTAAAGGTGCAACCTGGGGTTCATGGAGCTGAGCATGAAAGTGTGAGTGTGCGCGCACACGCGCGCGCGCATGTGTGTGTGTGTGTGTGTGTGTGTGTGGTGTGAGCAGGCATCACAAGCCTGGAGAGACCAGTAGGGGCCACCCGGCAGGCTTCCTGGAAGAGGGGAGTCCTGACCAGCAGTGAGAGGGAGGTGCAGGCCCTACGGACCAGGGGAGGCAGGTTGAAGTGAGGCCCAGGTGTCCCTGTCTGAGCCACCGGCCACCCCCTCCCCTCCGCCCCCCTCCCCCCGCTGAGATCCTCCCTGCGGCTCCCTGTGGCCAGCAGCTCTGCAGCACTCGGCTCTGCTCCACTCCGCTCAGCTGCGCTCCAGGAAGGCCACCTCCTCCCTGCCCTCCTCCTCCCCCGTCTCCTGCTGTCACCACTCACCTCTCATAGCCTCAAGGGGGTGGGGACCCCAGAGCTGGACACACTCCACCGTGGCCCCAGAGCCCAGCTCGTCGGACGGACAAACGGTCGGACGCAGGGCCCCGGAGCCCTGAGGTAGGCAGTGTGCCAGGGTGCCTCGCAGCCTCGTCAAGGTCAGTGCCCAGCGGGGGTGCGGCCGCTGTGGGGTCCTTGAGACCTTCAGAGCCCACCCTCTCTCTCAGACCTCAGGTGCCAAAGCGGGCTCTGACCCCAGGTGTGCCTGAGGCAGGCAGGGTCGGGGGGCAGGGGGCACCCGTGTGTCCACCAGCTGGCCTAGGTCTGGGGGTCTATTGGGAGAGGTCCCAGGCTGGGGACCAGCCCTGGCTCCACTCACGGAGGCCTCACTGGGGACACCCCGCTCTGGCCATGGGGAGCTAAAATTGGAAAGTGGCGAGTGGGAGGCAGCTGACAAAGCTATTTCGCGGGCTCTTCACCGTGCTCCGGTTTCAAGCTCCTGCTCCATTAACCTGATCCTCGGTGCCTCCCTACCCCCAGTGCCGCTGAGGAGGCGGCTCGGGCCTCCGGCCGGCCGGCCGGCCATGCAGAAGCCAGGCCCACAGCCCCTGGTGCAGGAAGGGGCGGCCGTGGTTGGTTTTCTCTGTGACTCCGGAGAGGCTTACGGAGGACACTCGATCCTGTCCCAGTTTTGCTGCATGACCTTGACGGGTTCCTGCGCCCCTCTGGCCCATGACCCCTCCACCTGTGTACAAGGGAGAGGGCCAACCTGGGGGAGCTGTTTGCAGGCGTGGCGGGGGACTTTTGGGAGGGGAGCTAGGGTGGGTGACGGAGCCGTGCCTGCTACCTCTCGGCTCAGCCCAACCGGAAAGGGTGTCGAGAAGTGTTCCTCCTTTTAATTTGGGCCCTGAGCCTGTTACCCATGGGACCCATAGGAAGGTCTCAGGCCAGGCTGGAGTCAGGTAAGAAGGGAATAGGTGCTAGCTGCAGTCCCAGTTCTGCTAGATGGCCCAGCAGAGAGAGCTCCTGGGGACGAACGGGGCTCTGGTAGAAGGGAGTGGCTAGGCTCACCCTGGGCCTGATACCGGTCAGCACCTTGGACAGCGGCCAGCACCCTCCCCGGTGCCCGCCTGGCTCTGCTCCCGCTTCCCCAGGGCAGCTCTTCAAATAGCACAGCCCGCAGCCAGCATCCAGGGCCTGAATACACCGAGCACCGAGAAAGTGGCCCGGTGTGGCCACGGACAGAGGCAGGAACCAGGGACGGGGCAGGCGGGAGCTCAAGGTTGGGGCAATGGGGGTCAGCGGGAGGCTGGAGGCTCAGTGCTGGGGGCCGGCCCTGGGGAGGTCACGGAAGGTCCAGGTGGCTCAGGAGGGTACGGGAGTCAGGGGAGACGGCGGGGAGGGGTGGGGCTCAGTCAGGCACTGAGGGAAGCTGTCTGAGGGTCATGGGGACGCTGGGGGCCAGAAACAAATTGAGGTGGTGCAGACAGGGCTTCTCCACATGAAGGGCATCCGAGGCCATGGCAGGAGCAGTTAGAGCACAAGCAGGGGCCAGCCCACCCATAAGGTGTGGGGAGCAAACAAAAGTGAGGAAGGCAGGCGGAGGGTGGAGGCTACGCCTTCCAGACTTCGGTGGGAAAGGCAGGACCCAGAGCAGAGACTGGGATGGGGGCAGGGAGAATGATGGCATGAGTCCCCAAGGGGCCAGGGGGACAGTCTGCAGGATGAGGTCCTCACCACCCTGGCGGGGGACCATAACGTGGGGCTAGGCAGGGCTGGGGGGCCAGTGTGCCCTCACCCAATCTGTCTCCCCCAGCCCCTTCCAGGCTATGGGCGTCAAGACAGCGCTGCCGGCAGCGGAGCTGGGCCTGTACTCCCTGGTGCTGAGTGGGGCCCTGGCCTATGCTGGACAGGGCCTGCTTGAAGCTTCACAAGGTAACAGCTGGGCCCTGGGGCAAGGGGGCGGGACTCTCCTCTTCCTGGGGCCTCAGGGTCCCAACAACCAGCAAGGCCAGAAACCTAGAGGCTCCAGATACAGAGTATTCCCTCTGCCCTGGGGGCTGGGCTGAGCCAGGTGCAGTCACGGGGAGACAGCTGCAGAGACGTCGGCAGAGATATAAATGCGGAGCCACAGAGAGAGACAGGCAGACAGACAGAGACTCAGACGCTTAGGGAGGCCCGGGCCCAGACACACAGCGAGGCCCAGAGGGAAGCAGAGGCGGAGGGAGGCCCAGGCTTCCCAGGGTGGCGGGGGCGGGGGGGGGGGGGCGCCTCGTGCAGGGCGGCGTGGCCTAGGGGAGGAGGCCCTCCCCCTGAGGCCGCACTCTCTCCCTTCTCAGATGGGGCCCATAGGAAGGCCTTCCGGGAGTCCGTGCGGCCCGGCTGGGAGTACATTGGCCGGAAGATGGTAGGTCCTGGCACATCTCTCTGATCCTGAACCCTTCCCGACTCTCCCCTATTCCAGGTGCTCAGAGGGCTCCCAATGGGGAGGGTCTCTGGCTTGAGCCTCCCCTGCCCCGGACCCTGCTCATTTAGGAAATAAATCAAGACAGGCCTTAGCAGCGGCCTCAGGCACTGTCCCTCCCAGGAACAACGCAATAATGCTGGAGTGTCAGGCAACGTGCCAGGGAGAGAGGGAGCTTTGAGGGGCGGGGCGGGGCGGCCCATATGGTGCCCCTCATTCCCCTCTGTCTCCCCGCCTGGTACTTCCCTCAGAGGGGAAGGCAGGGCCCTGCAGCCATGGCTCTGCTCTAATGTGTAAGGAGAACATGGGGGCTGGGACGGTGCTGGGACAATGCCGGGGCTCTGACCTGCCTGCCGGCCAGCCCACCCCGCTCCCCTGCCCCACCCTAACCTGCCCGGCCCGCCCCAGGACGTGGCCGACTTTGAGTGGGTGATGTGGTTCACCTCCTTCCGCAACGTCATCATCTTCGCCCTCTCCGGACATGTGCTGTTTGCTAAACTCTGCACCATGGTAGCCCCCCAGGTGAGCACGACCTGAGCCACCCCGGCCTCGCCCGCAGCCCCTCCGCAGCCGCAGGGGCTCTGGAAAACCATACTGGGGTCCCACCCCCATGGGTGCGGCTAGGTCAACGCAGCCTTCTCCCTGCCCGCAGCTCCGCTCCTGGATGTACGCTGTGTACGGGGCCCTGGCCGTGGTGGGCACCATGGGCCCTTGGTACCTGCTGCTGCTGCTCGGCCACTGTGTCAGCCTCTATGTGGCCTCGCTCTTGGGTCAGCCCTGGCTCTGTCTTGGCCTCGGCATGGCCAGCCTTGCCTCCTTCAAGCTGGACCCCCTAATCTCCTGGCAGGTGCGCAACAGGGAGGGGCAGGGGTGGAGGGTGCAGGGATGGGACACCCAAACTTCCCACCCCATCCAAGGCCCTTACCTCCCATGTCTCCTCAAGACTTTCCTCCACTTCCCCAGCTGTCTCTGAGCCTTTGAGCCTGGAGTATGCCTTGCCTACAAGGTGGTCCCCCCCACCAAAGCAGGGACATGTCCAGCTCATTCCCTGCTCTGTCCCCAGCACTTAACACAACCTTGCCGTGAGCAGCCACTGTTGCCTGGATCTGGAGAGAGGAAGGGGCGGGACCAGGCTGGGCCTCTGGGGCAAGCTGGGCAGGCTTCCCAGAGACCAGGGGCACCTGGTGAGCCGGCGGCCTGTTCTCTCCTATCCAGAACGGGTTTGTAACGGGCACTTTTGATCTTCAAGAGGTGCTGTTTCACGGGGGCAGCGGTTTCACAGTGCTGCGCTGCACCAGCTTTGCGCTGGAGAGCTGTGCCCACCCTGACCGCCGCTACTCCCTCGCCGACCTGCTCAAGTACAACTTCTACCTGCCTTTCTTCTTCTTCGGGCCCATCATGACCTTTGATCGCTTCCACGCCCAGGTGAGGGGACATTCTGTGGGCCCCCAGAGCTGGACTGGCTCTCTCGCTTCAGACAGGGGCTCCCAGCCACTGGTAGGACTCCCAAGGTGGGCTGAGTCCCCATCCGCAGGCATGGCTCCCTTCCTCAGACCCCAGGACTGGGCCACATTTTCCCGAGACTGGGATCACAGGATGGAGACGCCTCCTCCCTCAGACAGGACTCTCCTCCTGCTCCGCTGGGTCTCCCCCAGCAGGCGGCGACCCCCGTTGAGTGTTTCCACCCTCAGGCAGGGCTGCCAGGATGGAGCCAATTCTCCCCAGGCAGTGGGTGACTCTCCCCGGGGACACTTGGCACCCCCAGGTGAGCCAGGTGGAGCCGGTGAGGCGCGAGGGCGAGCTCTGGCACATCCAGGCCCAGGCGGGCCTCAGCGTGGCGGCCATCCTGGCGGTGGATATCTTCTTTCACTTCTTCTACATCCTCACCATCCCCAGTGACCTCAAGTTTGCCAGCCGCCTGCCGGACAGTGCCCTTGGTGGGTGCTGGGGGGCCCGGACCAGGGATGGGATCTTTGTGCCCTCTGTGCCCCCACGGCGTCACCGCTGGAGAAGCTGACGCCTCGAGGGGCACAGTGCCTACCTGAGGGTGTGGGAGCGGGGACCTCTTTGAAATGTGTGGGACTTGTTCGCTTTGTCCTGCAAGGCCAGGCTGATATGGGTCAGAGCCCTTTCCACCTCCCTGGGGCCTCGGACTGATCTCCACATTGGAATGGGGTCTCCCTGGGGCAGCCAGGGCCCAGAAGTGGGGAGAGGGTGCCCGTGGGCGTGGTCTGGGCAGCAGCACCTCCCCCAGGACCTGGGAAGATGGTGTCAGAAGCGGAGGGTAGCCCACCTAGACTGGGTGTCTGGGGTGGGGAGGCCGCTACAACGACCCATAGGCAGTGACAATGTGCTGTCCCCAGCTGGCCTCGCCTACTCAAACCTGGTGTATGACTGGGTGAAGGCGGCCGTCCTCTTTGGTGTCGTCAATACGGTGGCGCGCCTTGACCACTTGGACCCGCCCCAGCCTCCCAAGTGCATCACAGCACTCTACGTCTTCGCAGAAACGTGAGTGACAGCAGTGGGGGCCACGCCCTAGGGGCCCTCCTTCCCTTAGCCCCTCCCCCTCGTCCCGGGAGCCCTGCTCCTGGTTGGCTCACACTCAGCCGCCCTCCTCCTACAGGCACTTTGACCGTGGCATCAACGACTGGCTTTGCAAGTGAGTTGGGGTGGGCAGGGGGATGGGCACAGTCATGGGGCAGGTGTTTGAGTGGACAGTGCCGAGACTGGTCCGTGTTTTGAAAGATTCCCCCTGGCCCAGAGGAAGCAGGGAGGAGGGCGAGGAGGTCGTGGCACACAGGTCCCGGTGAAGGACATAGAGGTTTGGAGTTGGGTGGAGCCCGGGAGGTGAGAGAAACAGTCGGAGAGGAGACGCAGCAGGCAGCCTGGACGGGACTCGGCTGTGCGTTGCAGGCAGCAGGAGGGAGAGGGCAATGACTCCCCAATTCCTACCTGGAGCCTGGGAGGATGGAGGGGTGGTTTCCAGAACAGGATTCCATCTGAGAAATGCCTGGTTGGAATCTGGCAGGTCCAGGGAGGCGGTTCAGAGAAGTCTGGGGGATGGATGGAACGCTGAGCTCACGGGGGAGGGTGGTCTCTAGGCCTTAAGGGCCCCAAGGAGAGATGAGTCCCAGGAGGGAGGATGGAGTGAGGAGAGAAGGGGTAGCCGAAATCCGGCCTGGAAGAACGCTGGATGGGGGAGAAGAAAGAACAGGCAGAAAGGACTGAAAGGGGTGGTTACAGGAGCAGGAGAAAGGTCAAGGCCATGTCACATCCTGGGACTAAGAAGCCCGTCCAGGTACGGCGGGGGCAAGGGGGTCAGGCGCTGCTGGGGTCAAGGAAGCTAGAGACTGAGCGGTAGTGTTGGTGGCGGTACGCAGCCTCTCACTAAGAGCAGGGGCAGGTGAGGAGCCAGAAGCACCTGAGGAACTACAGGGGAATTCTTGTGCGGACAACTCCTGGAAGGAACCTGGTACTGAAGGGGAAGACAGAGGGGTGGCTGAGGGGATAGTGGGGTGTCTAAGAGACAAGATATGGCAGACAATGTGTGGGTGCTGGGGCGGAGAATTATTGCATAGAGAGGAAGGTGTTGGTGATGCAGGATAGAGGGCTGATGGGCAGAGCGAGGTCCCCGAGGAGGGAGGAGGAGGCGGAACCAGGCAGAGGCCTGGCTCCAGGTCAGGGAGGAGGAAGAGAAGCCGGCATGCTCAGGAAGGATCGCAGGTCTGGGTGGAAGGGTGGAATTTTCTCCACCCTCCTGCCTAGGTCCCCACTCATGCTGGGCAAGACGGGATAAGGGTGGTGTACTCGCTGCGGAGCACGGGAGAAGCCGATTAGAGAGAACTCGGCAAAGAGAGCCCAGGTGGGGTTGGAGGTGGTGGATTCATAGGCTCTGCTCTGTGAAGGTATACGGGTTTCCCCATCAGCACTTAGCTTCCTGGGTGCAGGCGAGGAGAAAGTGGGTGATTGGACGCTTCCAGATGGGTGAGAAGGAAGGGGTGAAGGGTTTTTGGTTGTTTGTAATGATGACTTGCTGGATGTAAGCCTGTTAAGGAGGAGGTCACAAGATGAGGAAGGGTGGGTATTAATGAGATTGATAGCTGGAGCTGGGGGCCGGGCCAGGAGGGGCTGGGCGAAGAAGAATGGGAATTAGTGAAATTTCAAGGGGTGACAAAGTTGGGGTGTGGCCGTGGGAGAGGGTGGCTGAGGTGGAGTGGACAAGGAACCAGTGGAAACGAGGAGCTCAAGGACATTACTCAATGGGTCTTCTACTGCATTTACTTAACAAATACTTATTAAGCACCTACTATATGCCAGGCACTGTTCTAGGCACTGGGGACACAGCAGGGAACATGGCAAAGTCCCTCAACTCATGGAGCTTACAGTCTAGTGGGGAGAAACAGACCTTAAACAGGTAAACAAACACATAAGTAATTTTAGAGAGTGGTAAGCATTATGGAAAAAATGAAACAGCATCATGGGATAGGAGTTGGCCACAGGATCTGGGCAGAGCTCTGTGAGATGATGTTTGAACTGCGACTTGAGTGACAAGGGAACCTGGGGAAGATAATTCGAGATAGAGGGAACAAGTGCACGGGCCTCGAGGCAGGAACCTGCTGCGTCCGAGGGTCAGAAAGGCCAATAGGCCGGAGCAGAGTGGATGAGGACAAGGATGGCGGGTGATGAGGTCAGGGGGCAGCAGATGCCAGAGGACTGGGGGTCTTCCAGCCACAGGAAGGAAAACTGAGTTTATTCTAATTGTAATGGTGGGGAGGCACTGGGAGAGGGTTTGATTGTGGAAGAGATGTGATCCAAGGTACACTCTTAAAAGACGCCTCGAGCTGCAGTGTGGGGAGCCGAGGGGAGGGGGCGAAGGCGGGAGCAGGGTGATGAGTTAAGAGACGTGCAATCGTCTCTGTGAGAGAAGCTGCCCCGACCGGGGTGGCGGTACGAAGGAGCTGAGCCGCAGCCAGGGCTGGGCGGAGCCCGTAGGATTTGCTGGCTTGGATGCAGGTGGGGGTGGGAACGGAGAATCCCAGCCGGCATTGAGGCCCAGCCTCCAAAGGAATGGATGGCAGCGTCGTTCACTGAGATGGGGATGAAGCGGGTTTGGGCAGGGATGGGGGAATCGGTCATTCAAGGGAGATGTCTGGTGACAGTTGGCGAGACAAGTCCAGAGGGAGACTGAGCTAAAGACACAGGCGTGGGGCTCAGCAGGGAGACAGTTCTCAGAGCTTTGGGTGTGGGAGAGGGCGCCGGGGACCGAGTGAGCATAGCTAGAGGAGACCTGGAGCCCAGGCCGAGCACCCCACAATCTGACAGGAAGCCACCTGCGAGTGGGAATGTTGAATGTGCCGGATGACGGCATTGAGGAGGGCTGTCCCTACTGTGTCCCCTTTGCCCGTCCCCTGCCTGCCCTTTCCCTCACTGCCACTGGTCCCTTCTCCCGCCTTTCCCGCAGGTACGTGTACGACCACATTGGTGGGGAGCACTCTGAGGTAATCCCAGAGCTGGTGGCCACAGTGGCCACCTTTGCCGTCACTACTCTGTGGCTTGGGCCTTGTGAGATTGTCTACCTGTGGTCCATCCTCAACTGCTTTGGCCTCAACTTTGAGCTCTGGGTGCAGAAGCTGGCAGAGTGGGGGCCCGTAGCACGAATTGAGGTGAGCTGGGGCTGGGCTTGTTGCTCTCTGGAGGCTTCCAGCCACACTTGGTCCCCAGTCCAGAACTTTCTCACCGCTGCCGTCCTGGTTGTCAGGACAGTAGCTCACCCTGCGGGTATCTGGCGCCCCCATCCCCCGCCGTTACTTCTCTGGGGTGTGGCACACCCAGGCCCGTCTATGTTGGTCAGGCGCTGCGCTCTCTCCAGTCCTCAGTTTCCCCATCTTAAACAATGACAGAGAGCTGACCTGGGACTCTCAGAGACCTCAGGGACCACGCGGGCAAGACCTCTGACCACCCATGTCCTCTTTCCCCTGGGCCTCTTGCCGCACGGACAATGCCTTCCTGGACCGGGCAGGCCTCTCTGTCGGAGCAGATGTCCCGCCGGGTCCGGGCCATCTTCGGAGCCATGAACTTCTGGGCTATCATCATGTACAACCTTGTAAGCCTCAACAGCCTGGAGTTCACAGAGCTGGTCGCCCGGCGCCTGCTACTCACAGGTGAGGGACGGAAGGGCGAGGATACAGAACAAGCCAGGCAGCAACCTCGAGGACTGTGACCTTTTGAAATGCTTCCACCTCCCCCCCAGTTCCCCAGGGACTCAGCGGGAGCGGCATGAGAAGAGAACAGTCACCGAGGGCGGGGGCCGCTCCCAGGCTTCAGTGACAGCTTCCCTCCACAGGGTTTCCCCAGACCACACTGGCCGTCCTGTTTGTCACCTACTGTGGTGTTCAGTTGGTGAAGGAGCGAGAGCGAACCCTGGCGCTAGAGGAGGAGCAGAAGGAGGACAAATTGAAGCCGGAGTAGGTGGGAGGGGGCAGGGACAGCCCTGCTCAGCCATTCCTGGGCCCAGGCCAGGCCGGGCCAGGCGGGGCCCGACGGAAAGAATAAAAGACTTTTCTACCACAGTTTGGCTGGTCCCTGCCCATTCCCCCAGCATTCTCCTGCCTCCTCGTCTGTGCTGCATGAGGAGCAGGGAGTTCTGGGCCACAGGAAAAGGGTCAACTCTTGCTGCATGCAGGGTGTGGAGGAGACATCATGTGGAAGGCAGGGACCACCAACCCGGAGACCCCAAAAGCTGAACGTTAAAGCCCCGGATCTTCAAACTAGCTGCTCACTCTCTTGGAGCGCCTGATTCCAGACCCTGAGCTGCTTGCTCGGAAGGCACTTTATTCTTCTTACGGAAGGAGACTTATCTGTGCTGCAGGGGGCACTCGATGGGGACATTCCCCATGAGACAGGCGAGGACCGGCTCCTGTGGGGAATTTACTGATGCGTGCAGCCAGGCTGCGGCAGGGCCAGGATGCAGCCTCCTGGGATACGTCCTTGTGTTGCTGGCTCAAGGGCCAAGAACGTGGGGGATACGGAGACATTGGAGGGGCCTCAGGTTCCTGTCCCTGTCCCCAGGCTGGGACTGGCAGTGTGACCTTCCCTGGCTGAAGCAGCCACTCGGCCATCATGACAGCCAGGTGGGCTCTGGCCCCTCCCAGCCTCCTCCCTGGAGCCCCCAGAAGGCCCGGCCTGTGTGGGCCGCAGGGCACTTGGTTCAGGCCCTCCAGGCTGGTTACATCTTGGTCAGGCGCAGCACGTTGAGCCGCACAGGTAGGAAGGTGGCGCCCGTGGCGTAGGCAATCTCCCGCAGCACACCTTCCCACTTCTTCTCATCCTCATTGTACCTGGGGGTGGCGCAGGGACCAGGAGCTCGGTCAGCGAGTTCAGAGGGAGGCCCAGCAGGCGGGTGCACTGGGCCTCCCTGGCCCCGGCTGCGGACAATGGTCGGCTCCGGGAAAGGGGCCCCCACAAGGCCCATCCCCAAAGAACACCCGCCCCACATTCCAGGTAGGGCCACCTCCCTCCAGCAAGGTCTACCTCTTCCCTTCAGATGTAGAATTTGCCAACTCAGCCCTCTAGGAAGTACCCCCATCCCCCTCCCGACAGCACCGCTCCTGGACGCCGCCTGCAGCAGTGGGATAAGGAAGGGCCCAGGGGCAGCGCAGGCGGCTGGAGCCGCTCCCCTGCACCCCCAGGAAGGACCAGCCATGGGAAGCAATGGCTCTTCGAGGCTGGGGTCCAGCGACTTCTCAATCCTGGCCCTGTCCCCCTCCCCCTCCCTGAGCATCCAGGAGGGAGGGGAGAGGGAAGGCCTGGTGGCCTCCTCAGGGCCTCTCTGCTTCGGAACATTTCCATGGTTCTGTGCCCTAAGCTTGGGGTCAGCTCCTGACTGTGACATGTGACTCTGTTGGGGACCCACAGTGGGGACCCATGGTGTCATGTGTGTGGGCCCAGACTTGCCCCACCAAATGGAGGGAACCTGGGCTGAACAGCACCCACTGTGGGGAATCTTCTGTCCCTTCCCCACAAGAATTGCAGAAGAGAAACCAGCTCTGCCCCCAGGTGAGCCTGCCAGGCACCTCGGGGCCCGGCCGCAGAGCTGTGGGCCCTCAGCCCTGCTCACGATCCCCCTCACCTCCCCGGGGCCAGGCTCACCTCCAGATGTCCGTGAGCTCTGTGGGGACCAGCTCCCCGGACTCAGTCTCCAGAGTGGCAAAGCCACCAATGGCATAGAGGGTGCCTGCCAGGCTGACCAGGCTAAGCGAGCTGCGCTCCTGCGGGAAGGCCTCAAAGGATGCCCACCTGGCGGGGGCGGGGGGGGGGAAGACGGTGAGGAGGTGCGTCACCGGGGTGCCTCAGTGAGCCCAGCGGCTGTCCCACCCTGGCACCCACAGCCTCAGCCACATGCCCCTGAAATCCAGACTCTGGGCTCGAGCACAGCCTCCCGGTCTGGGCCTTTTGGGGATGCCCACCCGGTGCCTCTGCCAGGGCCTCAGAGCATCCCTACGCTGTTCTCCTCCCCCTTCCCTCTGGTCTTCACTTCCTTCCCCATTCTCTCTGCCCCTCCCACTGCCCTTCACTGTCCCTTTGACATGCCATCCAACCTGCCCCCCGAAATCCGCCACAGATCCCCCCAGTGTCCCTCCTCCTCTCCTGAACCAACTCCCACTTGCCAGCTCAGAGGCCGTCACGCTCCCGGCCCCTCGGACCCCTGCCCGGTCCCCTTCTCCCACAATTACTCTCGAGGTGCCTTCACTCCCGTCCCAGGGCTCCTGTTGTTGAGGCCTCGTCTCCACCCCCGCACGGCTGGCAGGCCCCCAACCACCGCAGGGCTTGGCGGCCGAGGCCCAGCGCGCGCACCCCTGCTGCCGTGACTTGCATTTTAACACGATCTCCCGGGGACTCGTGGGCACGTTACAGTGTGAGAAGCCCTGGCCTGAAGCTTTCTACGGGGCACCCCCTGTGCCCCTTCCCCTCGGCAACCCCACCTCTGGGCCACCATCACCTCTTGCTATAAAGCAGCATCCCTGCCTCCTGGGAAATTCCTGATTTCTTATCTACACCAGCTGTCATGAGGCTTCTTAGTAAAACCCATTAGAGGAATTTCATTGCCCTCGGCCTGCTCACGGCCTCCACGGCCCCAGCAGCCCCTCCCCACCTCCGTCCACCCTGCGCGCTCCGTGCAACCTGAGCAATGGCCTTTCCTCCGATGGGCCTGCCTTTTTCTGCTAACTGCCTGGGCCCCCACCTTCCTTTCCCTGGCACCCTTCTCCCACCCCCACGGTTTTCTTCCTGGCCCCCAGTGCGGGGCGGCTGGGTCACCACTGCATCCCCAGTCCCAGGCCAGTGCCAGGTGTCAGTCTGTGCATGAGGAACCGGCATCTCGCCCCCCAGCCCTGGGAGCTCTCCCCTGCAGGCCGGGCCGGCCCGAACCCTCGTGCCGCCTTAGGGGAAGCCCACCTCACTACTGATCAGGGGAAACGGGCTTTTTCCGAGCCGATGTCCAAGCTCAGCTGCAAAAATCCAAGGCAGGAGCTACGCTTCCCTCGGGGCTGGCACAGAGGGGGCGGGCACAGGCACACAGCCAGGGGTCACAGGGAGGCCCTCAGTCCCTGGCCGTCCTGCCTGGGGAAGGGGCGGGGGACACACAGGAGTCAGGCAGCCGTACTTGTTGTCCGCGATGCTGTACACCTCGACGGAACTGGTCAGCCCAGTGTCTGTGACCCCAGCCGCCACAAAAATGCGGCCATCGTGGACGGTGGCCCCGAAGAGTGATCGAGCCGTCTGCATGGGAGCCAGCTCCTTCCACTCGAACTTCTTGGGGTCATAGACGCACATCTTATTCAGGCACTTCCTGTGGGGTTGGGGGCAGCCAGTGAGAGGGAGGGGGCAGGAGCAGAGCCCCTGTCCCTGTCCCTCCCCCGCCCCCGCCCTGCCTCCCTGGGCAGCCAGGACAAACACCCGACAGCCCCTCGGAGCTCCTGCTGCTGCTGCTCTCGCTGCAGGCCTGAGCCTCACCTGTTGCTTCCTTTGCCGCCAATGACGTAGACAAGGTCCATATGGGAGAGCACCGCGTGGCCGTACACCGCGTAGGGCAGCGGGTCCGATTCACCCCATTTGAACGACCTGGAGGGGAGGGGAGAGAGTGAGGGCACTCGGTCCCTGTCGGCCTCCACCGACCCACGCAACACGTATTCCGTATTCCGTATTCGGGGTGCACCCGGGAGATTACCCGAACTCCCCAGACCTCTCATTTCCTGGCTCAAGTCCCACCTGCCGCCCGCCCGCCCGGCCCCTACCCAACCGGGTCACTGCCCTCTGCGCGGTCCTAGACCGCCCCGCCTCCAGGTTCCCGCCCACGTCCTCAACCCAGGCCGCGCGGCCCGCCCCCCGCCCGCGCTCACAGCCTGTCGTAGCACATGACCGAGTCCAGGCTGCTCTCCCCGTCCTTGAGCTCCCGGCCTCCGACCACGTAGATGGAGTTGAGAGCCTCTCCCAGGCCGAAGAGGCAGCGCGGCGAGGGCAGCGGCGGCATCCCCAGCCAGTCTGAGTCCAGGTGGTCAAACTGCGGGGAGGGGGCGGGGAGGCAGTCAGCTACCGCCCTCCACGCCCCCAGCCCCAGCTCCACCCCCAGCCCAGCCCCATCCGGCCACCCTGGGTCACAAAGGAGTCCAGGCGTCCCAGTAGGGCCAGCGAAGCCTGAAGCTGGTTTCTGGAGACAGCGCCCCTCCTCCGATCAGGCTGAGAACAGCGGAGCGCGGCAACCCCCACCGGGCCCGCTTCTGAATAGCCAGAGGCCGGGAGATCACCGTCGCGGCACCGGCGCGGGGCGGCTCTGCCAGGGCCTCCGAGAGGGGGGCCAGCGGTGGCCCTGGCCCTTGCCCAGCACGGCCCGTCCCACCGCACAGCCCTGCCACTCGCCCCTTAAAACCTGCAGTGTGAGCCCCTCGCCCTGTCCGCCTGGACAGTCTTATAATAATATTAGTGGCTCATGTTTTTTTAAAGTTTCCTGAGCCCCGTGCTGATGAACACTTTATACCCACCATTTCACCTTCAAACAACCCTACCAAGCAGGAAGAATCACGGAAGCCCAGAGAGATCAAACCACGTGCCCACCTGGGCCTTGGCTGGTCACTGGTGGGGCTGCCCCCGCCCCCCAGCTTAACCCTGGCATCAAGCCACTCCTCACCCCTCACCCCTGGCCTCACTGAGCACACCGCTCACAGGCTCCTTCCCCCACCCCCGACCCCCTTCAGGTCTCCAGATGCCACCCACCTGGCTCACACTGACAGAGCCAGTCCCCAGGAAGCCACTTCTGCACTCCGAGATCCCACAGTTACACTACAACTTGGACTGGGCACCCCACTCTCCTGGTCCTTCCGGGGCCCTCAGTTTGCTCATCTGTGTAACAGGAGGACTAGGCAGGATGGTCCCTTTGTCTGGGATGCTCTCTCCCACACTCCAGTCTTGGCCGCATGCAAAGGCCCTGCCCAGACCCCGACACTGATCTTGCTCCTCCTTCTCGCGGTGCCTGACCCCACGCCCTGTGCAGGGCTGGTGTCCGCGACACATCAGACTGTCCTGGGGCTAACATTCCCCCAAAACTAAAACACCATAAAGTTACGCAGCTCATTGCCCACAGCCTACAACTGCCTTCAGCTTTCAGTGGCTGTCAGCAAACCTCCTTGGTCTACATCTCACCCTAGACCAACGACATTGACCAAGAAGCAGACACAGGTCGCTCCTGGGCCTCAGGGCTGACGCCAGCGCCTAGCACCCAGCATTGGTCACCCCCTCCCAGGACTGCCCAGGCACCTGCAAGAAGTAAGCACTCATGGGGTCCTCTTTGTTGTCCTCGTTGTAGAAGAGGCCCCCAGCCACGAAGACCTGGTTCTCCTTTGTCGCCAGGCTGACGTGGTTCTTGGGGATCTGGGTGGAGAGAGAGGCACAGTAACACTCGTTGGCAGCCGGATCGTAGGCCACGGCGCCCTCCTCGCTGATCATGAAAATGAGGTCCTGCAGGAACATGCCAAAGCGCAGCGTGTCGTTGAGGATGCCGGGTAGGACACGCTCGTCCTCCTCCTCCTCGTCCTCTTCTGCCTTGGCTTCACCCGTGCCCTTGTCAGCCGCCTTGGTCCCAGCTGCCTCCTTCCCCTTCTCCTTCTTCTTCTTGCGCAGGACAGTGATGCGGCCCTCGTGGGCATCCTTCACCATCTGCACTTTCCGCAGCAGCTCGGGCTGGGCCCGCACGAGAGGGTGGCGCTCCACGCGGCTCTCCAGGAAGGCGCGCGGCAGCAGGCGGAAGCGCACGCTCTCGAAGACAGTGGGCAGCGCGCGCTGGCGCTCGGCCTTGGCCTCGGCGTCGCCGCTGGCCGCCCACCGCATCACCGCCTCAAACACAGCCTCCTCCTTTTCCACGTTGAGGTTGTCGCTGGAGATGATGGCGATGAGCTCGTCGGCCGAGAGCCCGAGGAAGTCGTTGTCGCGTGACACGAGCGAGAAACGCGCGCAGATGAAGTCGCGAGCGGCCACGGCCAGGCGCGCGCAGTCGAGCAGGAGCCCGAGACGGAAGACCGCCAGGCAGTTGGAGAGACACAGGCGTTTCTGCAGGAAGGACACGCAGATGGTGAAGATGGACGGGATCTGGAAGCGGTGCGCCGCGGCAAACAGATCCTGAACGCTCGCCTCGTCCAGCGAGATCTCCGACGTGTACAGGTAGTGCAACACCTGGGCCACCACGTCCGGGGACACCTCCTCCAGGCGCAGTTCGCCTGCGTTCTCGGGCTCCGCCAGGAAACGTGCCCGGAAGTAGGGGCTGCAGGCGGCCAGCACCAGGCGGTGGCACGGGAACTCACGCTCGCCCACCCGTACCACGCAGTCGAGGAACTTGCCGTGGTCCAGCATGTCCTTGAGCCCGTCCTGCAGGAGCGTCTGCTGGTACAGCCGCTGCTCCTCCGCCTGCTCCAAGCCCAGCGCCATGGTGGGTGGCCTAGGCCTAGGGTGCAGTGACCGAGGGTGCCAGGGGCTTCCTCTCTGTACTCCCTGCTTTCCTGCTGGGTCCAGCTCAGCCTATGCAGCTGTCTTCCTGGGGCTATATATAGAGGAGGACCTGGCCCTGTAAGGCGAGCTGCCTGGCCTCCTGCACATGACGCAGAGGGGACAACTGGGCAGAGGCCCCATCCCAGAGCAGCCTTGACTCAGCCCCACGGGCTCATGGGACCGGAATGGGGTTTCTGGGCCCTCCGGGAAAGGTGAGGGCCTCTCTGCCTCATTTCTAAAAGGGGGCACGGGGTGGTGTTGACCGCATTCCTTGATTGGGCAACGGCCCTCGGGGGAGGGGCTGCCCCAGCCTCTGCCCCTTACATCAGGGAGGGGCAGACATCGAAGTCCCACTTGTCCCGGTCGCCCTGCCTTCATGCCTCCTGTGTCTTCCCATCCAAGCGCCTCTATCTTCGTCTCTGGAGTACCTCTCACTCCAACCCCCTCCCAGAGCTTGCGTTTTGTGCTCAGTGAACTTGAGCATGGCATCCGCTCACTGGGGGCCTTGTTATCCAGCCTTTTAAATGGGAAGATATTTTCCAACCTTTGCCCCGGCTCAGATACCCTCTTTCAACTGTGCAAGAGAGTGCGTGAGGTGAACTAGGTGGCCACTTTTCTGTGGAGCCTGGGGCAGGGCAGGGCTCTCTGTGGACCCTCAGTTTCCCTTCCTACTCAGTGAGGAGGTGGAGGAGTTGGACTCGGAGGCCGCAGCCCGTTCTGCTGAGGTTCAGAGGCACTGAGGTTCTGTATTGCTAGGAGCGCACAGTCATAGGGTTTGAACACTGTTAGGCGTCTGACATGCTAGAGTAATTTCCTAGGATGTGACTATTCTAGGTGTTTAAACCCCTAGGGTTTTAACATTCTGGGGGAGTGACATTCTGGACTTCAGTGTTCAAACAGTGACACTCGAGGAGTTTACTATTCCAGGACTTTAGCTATATGTGCTCATTGGTCTTTGTCCATTCCCCATTCTTGGCCTGGCCTGAGCCTGCCCGGCCTTGGAGCCCCTGTGCCTAGTCTAAGGGATCAGGGTGGAGACCCAGGACAGCCAGCCCCTATGGCCACGCTGCTCAGGACTCCTGACCAACCCCCCTTCGCACACACAACAGCCTCCACCACCAAGATTAACTTGTTCCCAAAGTGCAGGAGGCTGCAGCTGTGGGTTAAATTTAGCCCCCAGGACACTGGCGTGAACTGTTATGGGGCATTCTCCCATCATTCCTCTGAGTCACTTGTTTATAATCTCAGGCTTGGGGGGTGGAGGGATTGGAGAAGGGACCTTAGGCTGGGCCAGGACTGAGTCACCTCCCCTTTTGTGATCTCAACGACGTCACTGCCGGGTCCCTCCTGAGCAGTGCTTTTGACCACCGCTGGCTCGCCCCACCCCGAGCAGACCCCAGAGGGCACAGCACCTGGAAGGCCCTGACGGTGGTCCTGTCCGTCTTGCAGAAACGACAAGGAGCGCAAGTGGTGGGCATCCAACGCAGCCCTGGAATGGAGCAAGTCCTGTCAGTGACACAAGGCTCTGAGAGGCTCGGCGACTTGGCCAAGTCACACAGTTGACAAGTGACCCGGCCAGGATTCAAGGGGGATCTGCCTACCTCCAAGAACTTACTGCTTCCCACAAATTAACAACAACAAGGTCCATTAATCATAGTTTCATTTTCCAAAGACCCGGACAGAAGGTACTGACTGAACAATTAACTTATATTTACCAAGTGACTCCACAATGTATTTTTAGATTATGATGAATCTCATAGTGCTCACTCCCTACCAGGCATTCCACTAGAACATATATATGTGGCTCATTCATTCACCGAGAACCTTCCGGGGATTCAGCAGTGAACGCATCAGGCAAGAATTCCTGTCTTCATGGAGCTTCCATTCAGCCGGGGGTGGGGGAATGACAGCAACAAATAAATTGTTATACAGCATGTCAGCTGGTGATAACTGCTATGGTGACAAACAGCGGGAAACAGGGTGTGGGGAGTGACAGATGGAGGTGGTAACAATTTTAAGCGGAGGAGGCAGGATGGACTCACTAAAAAGACTCCATCTGAGCCCTGGAAAAGGAGGGTTCCCGGCAAGGGGGCGGCTTGAGCAAATGGCCTGAGGCAGGAACGTGCCTGGCTCCTGTGCGGGCTGGGGCAGCGAATGAGGAGGTGAGAAGGAGGGAATGAGGACAGAGAGGAACGGGTGAGGGGACCGTGCAAGACCACGTGCAGTTTCCCCCTCAGTGAAACGGGATCCGCTGTTTACGTTTTCACTCGAGTTATAGAAAATGCAAACATACACAGAAGTAGAGAGACAAGGACGCTGAACTCCCTTGTGCCTGTCACCTTGCTGCAGGTCATGTCATGGCCAGTCCTGGAGCACCTCTGCGGCACCCGCTCTGTGCGTGACCCAGGGAGAGGCCCGAGCGCTGGTCGTGGGTGCAGGCGAGAGAGGGGGACAGCAGGGCTCCACCACTTGTCGTCGAACCGAAGGAAAATGTCATCTCACTTCATCCCTTTAATTTTTACTCATTAAATCGTTACACCAAAATCATGAGGTAAGTATTGGAAACTGAAATGTAGGTGGCCAGCAAATAGGGATCAGTCTTTTGTTGTTTATAAACAGCTTTGTTGAGGCAAAAGTGACATCCAGTAAACTGCACATATGGAAAGCATACCATCTGATCAATTTTGACATATGTATATACACCTGTGAAAACTACCACCAAAATCAAGGTAAAGGATATATCCATCACCCATGAGTTGCCTCGTGGGACGGGTTACCCCGAGCTCCCAGCCTGGGGCACCCAGTCTGTTCTCTCAGACAGCAGAAACAGAAACGAGTGACAATCTGTCATTAGAACCTCAGCCCGCAAATGTCGACCTGGGCCCGCATGCTAAACCTAAGCAGGGCAACTGCTTGTTTAAAAAAAAAAAAAAAAGAACCCAGAATCTTCTAACGTAATAGCCAAGATGTCCAGGATACAATAAAAAAAATCACCGGTCATAATAATAACCAGAGAAATCACAACTTGAATGTGAAAAGAATCAACTGATGGCAACACTGAGACGAGTCAGATGCTTGGACGGTCTGCCAAGGGCTCTGAAGCGGCCATTGTAACAACGCTTCCACGATAAATCACACGTTCTCTGGAAACAAACCCAAGGGTTCTGAAGCAGCCATAGCAACAATGCTTCCACGATAAATCACACATTCTCTGGAAACGAGTTTGTATAAATTGAAAATCTTAGCAAGGACATGAGAGTTATACAGAAGAACCAAGTGGAAATCAGAGAACTGAAAAATGGAACAACAGCACAGAAACTTGCCAAACGGTCTCAGGAGGAGAGGGCAGATGACAGAGGGTAAGATGCCCGTGAGGACAGATTAATAGAACATACCCGATCTGAAGAACAGAGAGAGTGTGGAGTGAAAAATAAAAAATGAGCAGCATCTCAGGCCCACAAGACAAGAACAAAGGATCCAGCATTGGCATCATAAGGCTCCAGAAGGAGAGAAGGGGCTGAATACTTCCAAAATCTGGTGAAAGACACAAACACGCAACTTCAAAGAGCTGAGCAAACTCCAAACAGGATCCGTGCCACGACACGTAATTAAACTTCCAAAAACTGAAGACAAAGAGAAAAACCTTGAAAGCAGCCAGATATAAACAACACATTCCCCATAGGGGAACACCAATTTAAATGATGGTTGATTTCTCACCAGAAACCATGGAGGCCAAAAGAAAGTGGCACAACATTTTTTAAGAGCTGAAAGAACTGAAAATGGTGAATTCTATATGTGATGAAACTCTCTTTTAGGAATGTAGGGGAAATAATCCCAGGGAATCTACAAAACAAAACAAACAAATGAACAAACAAACAAAAACTTCCAGGAAACTAAGAAATGAGTTCAGCAAGGTTGGAGGATATAAGATCAATACACAAAAATCAATTGCATGTCTGTCTATGCACAATGAACATGTAGAAACCAAAATTGAAAATATAATAGCATTTATAATCACTCTAAAGAAAGTGCAACATTTAGGAGTACACTTAACAAAATGCATGTAGGCTCTGTGGACTGAAAATTACAAAACGCTGATGGAAGACATCGTAGGAGACCTAAATAAATGGAGACACATACTGTGTGTGTGGATTAGAAGACGCAACACAGTAAAAATGTCCATTCCCCCCAAACTGAACTATAGATTTAATTCAGCATCTTATTAAAATCCTAGAATAGTTTTTAATAGACATAGACAAGCTTATTATAAAATCCATATGGAAAGGCAAAGGCCCTAGAATAATAAAGACAATCTTAGCAAAGAAGAATAAAGTGGGAGTAATCACTCGACCTGGCTGGAAGTTTTCCTATGTGGTTACAGTGATCAGGATTTTGTGGTATTGGCAGAAGGGCAGACACATAGATCAATAAAACACAATGGAGGACCCAGAAATAGATCTAAATATGCTCAGCTGATTTTTGACAAAGGTCCAAAACAACTCAATGGAGGAAGGATAGACTTTTCAACATATAGGGCTGGAGAAATTAGACATCCATAGGAAAAAAATAAAAAGCCTCTACCCAAATCTCACACTTTGTACAAAAATTAACTCAAAATGGATCATGGACTTAAAATGTAAACCATCTAAAACAATCTTGAAAAAGAAGAGCAAAGTTGGAGATCTCACACTTCCTGATTTCAAAACTTACTGCAAACCTACAGGAATCAAATCAGTGTGGTACTGGCATAAAGACAGGTACACAGACCACTGGAATAGAATAGAGAGCCCAGGAATAAACTCGCACATACATTGTCCAGTGATTTTTAACAAGGGTGCCAAAACTATTCACTGAGAAAAGGGCAGTCTTTTCAGTAAATAGTGTTTGGAAAACTAGATATCCACACGCAAAGGAATGAAGTTGTCTTATAGCATCTGCAAAAAGGAACTCAAAATTCAAGAGCTAAAACTACAAAGCTTTTAGAAGAAAACAGGTAGAAGCTTCATGATGTTGGATCTGACAGTTTCTTGGATATGACACCAAATACACGAGCAACAACAAAAAACAGATTGCATCTAAACTTAAAGCTTTTGTACATCTAAGGACAGAGTTGATAGAAAAGGCAACCCTGGGAATAGCAGAAAATATTTGCAAATTGCATATCTGATAAGGAGTTAACATCTACAATATATAAAGAACTCCTAAAATGTAACAACAAACAACCTGATTTAAAAATGGGCAAAGGAACTGAATAGACATTTTTTCAAATAAGATATATAAATGGCCAATAAGCACATGAAAAGGAGTTCAATGTACTAACTGCTAGGAAAATGTAAGCCCAAACCACAAGATACCACCTCACACCCCCATTAGAAAGGCTACTGCAAAAAAACAACCAAACAACAGGTATTGGTGAAGATGTGCAGAAATGAAAAGGCTTGTGCGCTCTTGGTGGGAATGTAAAAATGGTAGAGCCACTGTGAAAAACAGTGTGGTAGTTTGTCATAAAATTAAAAATAGGATTACCAGTAATCCACTTCTGGTTATATACCCAAAGGTATTGAAAGTAGGGTCTCAAAGAGAGAGAGATTTGTACACCTGTGTTTGTTGCAGTATTATTCACAATAGCCAAAAGGTAGAAGTAACCCAAATGTCAATAGACAATAGAGAGATGAATTGGATAAATAAATTGTGGGACACACACATATACGATGGAATATTATTCGGCCTTTAAAAAGGAAAGGAGTTCTGCCACATGCTATAACATGGATGAACCTTGGGAACATTATGGTAAGTGAAATAAGGCCATCACAAAAGGACAAAGAATGTATGATTCCACTGGCGGGAGATATCCAGAGTAGTCAAATCATAGATGTAGAAAGTAGAGCGGGGGTTGTCAGGGGCTGGCAGTGGGCAAGGGGAGTCGGGAGTAACTGTTACCGGGGACAGAGTTTCGGTTTTGCAAGATGTAGAGAGTTCCATGGACGGGTGGAGGCAACGGCTGCACAACGATGTGAATGTGCGTAGTGCGCTGCACCGCGTATGCAGCCCGTCCCGACTGACCGACCAGCCACGACTCTGCAAAGCCGCAAAACCGGGGAGCAGGTCCACGGGCACTGCCAAGCCAGGGGTGCATCGCTTCCCATCCCACTGGCCCCTGCTGGGCCTTAGGCAGAAGGAAGTGCAGCTCCCCACCGCAGGCCGGCACTGCTCGGACGTGTGCTCCAGGCCACGCGGAGGAGAACGAGGGCTTCTGAGAGGCCCACCGTGGTGCCCGCCGTTCATGGCCCGCGGCCACCCGGCTGCGGCTGCTTCCCGGCCTCACGTGGCACGTGCCCAAAACTCTCTGGAGAGGCAACTTGGAAATACAGTTGATCCCTGAACAATGCGGGTTTGAACTGCATGGGTCCTCGTATACATGGAGTTTTGTCAACAGGTACATACTGTTCCGTAAATGTATTTGATGATTTTCTTCATAACTTTCTTTTTCTAGTGTATTTTATTGTAAGAATACAGTATATAATACATATAACATACAAAATATGCATTGATTGATTATTAGTGGTAAGGCTTCCAGCCAACAGTAGGCTGTTAATTGTTAAGTTTCAGGGGGATCAGAAGTTATACGCAGATTTCCGACTGCATTGTGTTCAGTATCCTTGACCACCACGTTGTTCAAGGGCCAGCTGTACTTTGGTGATGAGGGTGGTGAGGTGGGGCTGAAGGAAAGGACGTATAGAGAGGTGACAGGCAGACAGGTGGGTAGCAAGAAGAAAGAGAGCAGAAACACAGAGAAGCAGACCCCTCCCAAAAGAGACCCAGGTTGAGGGGCGCGGCTTGGCCCTCGCGTCTGTCAGTGAGACTTTTTCTAGGGTGGCCTGAGTGAGCCCCAGTTCCTTTTAGTCAAGGAAGGGGACTGTGTGAAAAGAGTGTCCACACCCTGACGACCGGCTCCTCCGCTGGCTGGTTAATGAATCCACCCACCAGCCTCCTGTCCTCCCTCCCAGCAGACCCCTCCCCCGGAAGCAAACCAAGTGACGCCAACACAGGGGCCTCATTCGCCCCGTATCCCTGGGGCCTAGAAACCACCGGGTATGGAGCCAGTGCTCAGAGGGCCCAGGGGAGCCACAAGCTCCCCCTCAGAGGGCACTACCTGTCTCCCACGTGAGCATCCGTCCTCCCAGGCACCCATGACAGCATCTCCCATACCTGGCCCCTTCGGTCTCACCTGCCCATGAAGGGATGAGTCCACACTGGCCATCGCAGTGTCCCCCAGTGCTGAGCATGAGCAGGAGGGGCTCCTGCGGCCACACCCCTGGGGGTCCTGGAAACCACACCTGCAGAGGCCCTGACCTCCTGTGGCACCGCCTCCGGGGCCTCCGGCCACTGGCCCCAGGACCTCTCCTCTTTCCAGCCCAGTCTGCACCCGCCCAAGCCCCAGCATCAATCTGGGGGTGTGCCTCTGCTCTTGCCTCAGCTCCTGACTCTGGGCGTTCCCCGAAGTCTAGCCCACCCTAACGGGAGGGAGATGGGGTCCAGGGCACGCTGTCCATGAGGTCTGCGGCCGAGCCGTCGCACTCCTTGCCCTGGTCCAAGTCTTTCTGAGCAATAGTCTGGGCAATCAACACATGAAGAAGAGGCTGGGCAGCCCTGGCCAGGTGGCTCGGTTGGTGAGGGCACCGTCCCATAAACCAAGAAGTCTGCAGGTTTGATTCCCAGTCAGGGCGCTTACCGAGGCTGTGGGTTTGATCCCGGCCAGGGGTGTGTTTGGGAGGCAACGAATTGGTGTTTCCTGCTCCCCGTTCCTCTCTCTCTCAAACAATAAATATGTCCTCGGGTGAGGATAAAAAGAAATTTTTTCTTTAAAGAAATAAAAGAGGCTGGGCCAAGGAACAGTTGTATGGACTTTATTCCCCTCGCTCCTCTCACTCGCCTGCCTGCTGTCCCCCACGTACTCTGTGGCTGTGGGACGGTCACACATGACCAGGGGTCCCCAGGCCCGGGCACAGCCATTCTACCACCTCTGTGAGGGGCACTGTGGCAGCACATGCCAGCGCCGGAGGCTCGGGCTCTGAGACCAGCCCCGGGTCCCACAGCTGTGGTCACGGGGCTTGCAACGGGTCACCTCACCCCCCTGGCCACTCCCCCGACCTGGCCCAAGGCCAGGGAGCCCCAGAGGAGCCGGGGCAGGGACCGGCCCAGGTGCCAGACCTGAGGTCTGGCCACATGGGTTGAGAATCCCACTGCACAGAGGGGCCTCCTCACAGCCAAACCCCAGGGGGAGGGGACGAGCCTGAGCACCCACCCCACCCCTGCAGCCAGCCCTGGGGGTGGGTGTAAAGCCCAGTCCCTTCGGTCCAATATCCGGGTGCTTGTTAATTGGTTGTTAAAATAAAAAGGAAATGGAAAAGCTGGTAAAACAAGAACCCCATCGTACTGGTGCTGCTGAGGTTCCCTTATTGCTTCAGGCCCTTGTGGTCTGGCTGGAAAGGAGTTCCCTCCCACCGTGGCCCAAGGGGGAGAGCATTTAGCACCAGGGACACAGGGCTCCCGCCCCGAGGGGACAGGGCCTCCGGGAGCGGGCTCGGCTGTGCCTACCTACACGGCTACATGACCATTTTGACCAGAGCCCAGTCTGCTGCCCGGACCCCTCTCCTGCCATCAGAGGGAAGATATAAAAGGATAGGGACCCCCAGCCTTGGGACACGGTTTCACTACCGGCTCCTCCACACCCACCTCTGGCCTCTGCTTGTCCAAGTCTGGCCTGGCCAGGGCCCCCAGGCTTGCTAAGGCTGCAGTGGGGCTAGCAGGTGTCAAGGCCACCAGCCTGTACGGTAGACCCTGGTGTGAGTGACAAGGGGTTGGGAACCCACAGGGGTCCCGGCCTAGAGCCCGCTGGGGAAGATCAACTTTCAGGTGGGGGGGAATGTGAGCCAGCTCGGGGGAGCTGCCAGGCACTGGGACCAGAGGTTAGAAAGAGCAAGCGTTGGGGAGCGGGGAGGGGGGACCCTGAGGACGTCATGGAAGCCCAGAGATAAGGGGTACAGGAGAGGGAAAGAGCTTCAGTAAAGCAGGGGCCGAGGAGGCCCAGGCTGGGGACGGGGAGCCGCAGAGCTGGGCGCCAGACGGGAAGCCTTCCCCTCAGGGAGGGCCCGCTTTCAGGCCCCCGAGGACAGCAGGGGCCCCGAGGGTGTGTCCGCAGGCGCTGGCCCGGCCTGCTCCTGAGGCAGAGGCAGCCCCAACTCAAGCAGGCCGGGGCGCTGCCCGCTCCGTGCCCAGGCAGCAAGCAGCCTGTGCGGCTGGGATCACAGACCCTCAAATCACTCGGGCTCCTCGGGCCTGCCCACGTCTGTACAGAATAAAGTGCTTCGTTTATTGATGATTAAAATGTGCCCAGTTCCCTGCCCCAGCGCCATGGGTCTCACAAAGAGGTCAGAGGGGTTCCGACCCCTTCAGCCTGTAGGCTGATGGGGCCCAGCCCCCCGTGGTCCCCCTGGGGCTCAGGCCTCTTCCCACTCCAGTTGTGCTGGGAAGGTGGTGGTGTGGGCGTAGTCGTGGGGGTTTAAGGTGCAAAGAGTATAACAAACATAACCGCATAAACACAATAGGAAAGAGCTTAACTAGGAAACATGTAGCTTATGGAACCTTCCTCCCCATTTAAAAGGCAGGAATAAAGATGTTAAATGACAACCAAAAAGGGTGACCTGTTAGTGCCGGCCTCCGGGGGCAAGCAGTGGGCACGGGGAGGGGCTCCCCCCACCCCGGACCCTGCCTTGCCCCCGGGAACGTGCAGGTCCTTTCACCAACAATGCCACAGGCACCCCGCCACCGGCGCAGGGGCCCAGGAGGGACAAGGACGCTGGATGCTAGCCAGGGGCAGGTTGTGGCAGGGCCTAGGAGAGCACGAGGCCTGGCATCGTCTTCGGGGAGCGGGGACAGACGCAGACATACACATCTCCTCTAGCGTGGGAGACACGGCCAGGGCAGCAGCGAGGGGCGGGGTGCTCTGTGCGTGGGAGCCCCGCCGGCTGCCCCACTGATAGCACCTTGAAACCTCCAATCACGTGCCTGAGCCTCCTCCTACAGCCCTTCCCCTGCAGTCCACTCATTTGCAGGGGCTCCTGGGAGCTGGTGCTGCGGGAGCCGACCCACCTGCCCAGCCAGGACCTGCCCACAGCCCCCCAAGGCCCAGGCTGATGGGCTGATCTCGGTGCGGCCTGGTGTGGGTCAGGGACCCCTGCTGGCAGGGTGAAGGGTGGGGAAAGCAAACGCCTGGGGTCCAGCCCCTGCCTGCCCCACTCCACACGGTGCAGAGCTGGGTCTGAAGTCTTCACGCCTGGCCACTCCCCACCCACCACGCTCACGGGCATGCAGACTCAGGCCCCTATTCGCTGTGCACAGTCCTCAGACCGAGTCCACAACTGCTCCAGGGGGGCTGGCATCCCAAGTTCTCCCCAAACCCTCCAGGACAAGGGGGCAAGGTACAGGGCACAGGGGAGGCAGGGCTGAGCGGCTGAGGCCGGCCGGGCTCCACCTGGACGGCCCCTCCAGCTCAGGCCTCGGCAGAGCGAGAGTCATACACCTGCCCTCCAGACCACCCCTTCCACTGTGCCCGCTGCCTCCAGCGCCCCCCTCACCTGGAGGGGGGTACTGCAAATAGTTTCCTCTCTTCTTTTTCCTTCGCTTTCAAAAAAAGAAAAAAAGGAAAGGCTTCAAGGAGTCACTGAAAGGGAGCACTTGGGAGTGAGGTGTCCTCCACCAGATCTGGGGCGCCACCAGCCTGCACCCCTGCTAGGGGCAGGGGCCTCAAGCAGAGCGTGTCCAGCCACCTCTGGGGGTGGGGGGAACGGTGCCAGGCAGGTGTGCCCTCCCCCAAGGCGGGGAGGACCATGGGGTGCTCCCAGTCGGCGCTGGGCTCCAGGTCCTGCAGGCGCAGGGCAGGGTTAGTTGTTGGCGTTCATTCGCCCGCCGCTGTTGGCAGTGGTAGGGAAGAGTGGAGGTGGGGCGGGCAGGTGGGGCGCGGGGGGCAGGGTCTGGGGCATCCCTGGGAGCAGGGGCAGGGTGGGAGCCTGAGGCGGGGCAGGGGGCAGGCCTGGCGCAGAGGGGGGGCCGTCGCCGGCCAGCGGGTGGCTGACGCGGAAGCATTTCTCCTTGTGGGCCTTGAGCATGTTTGAGAAGCGGAAGCGCTGGCCGCAGACGTCGCAGGGGTAAGGCTTCTCGCCTGTGTGGGTGCGCCGGTGCCGCTTCATGTTGGGCCGGCTGGTGAAGCTCTTGCCGCAGATCTCGCAGATGTACGGCTTCTCCCCTGGGGGTTGGCGGGGGACAGTGGGGTGTCACTGGGGGTCACTATACCGCAGCCTAGGGCCAGCCTCCCTGCGCCCAAGGAACCGCAGTGGGGCTCGGCCCTCGCGCTAGGATCCTCCCCACCCCGGGCTACTTTGTCCCAGCCTCATTAACCTTGGGAGGTGGGGAGCGTGGCCCTGAGCCTCAGAAGGGTAAACTGAGGCCCAAGGTGGAGAAGGGGCGGGGCCATCCCAGGCCTCCTGAGCAGGGCTGAGAAGGGGTCCCAGGCCGGGCCTACCTGTGTGGGTCTTCATGTGCTCATCAAAGTACTGCTTCATGTTGAAGTCCTTGCCACACCACTGGCACATGAACTGCTTGTGGCCAATGTGGATGCTCATGTGCGACCGCAGCTGGTACTTGTACTGGAAGCGCTCGTTGCAGTTCTGAGGGTGGGGTGGGGCGGGGCGTGAGGACGGGGACTGAGCAGGGAGCAGCTTTCAGGGAGGGAGCCCACCCCGCTGTTCCAGCCCGGGCAGCCGAACCACCCTGAATGTGTGCGGATGGGCGGGGGCGGAGTGGCAGCGCGGCGCACGGTGGCAGGGCAGGCCGATGGGTGACCAGGTATCGCTGGAGTGGGGGCGGGGGCACAGACATCAGACAGAGCGTCCCTCTCAGAACCCTGCACCCCGCCCCGCCCCCGGCTTTCACCCAGCTGCCATCCCTGACCTCAGTCCTGTCCGGGGCGGCTCCAGGGGCAGGGGAGGACGGGGACTCACCTCGCATCGGAAGGGCTTCTCCCCGGAGTGCTGCAGCGAGTGCACCTTGAGGGACATGCTGCGTTTGAAGGACTTGCCGCAGGTCTCGCAGGTGAAGGGCATGTCCTTGGTGTGAGCTATGGGGCATGCACCATGGCCGTCACAGCTCTGGGGGGCCCCGCCTGCCTGGGGCCTGCCTCACTGTCTCTGTCCCAGGACCTGCGGCTGCCTCCCAGGCAGCACCCACCATCACCCCTGTCCCCGGCGGCGAGGTCTCTGTCCTTTCTGAAGTCTGGTCAGACGAGCATGGTGGCCTTTCTGGTTCTTTAGCCTCTGGCCAAGAGAAAGAGCCAAGGCCACTCGCCCTGCCCCCCACGCCCCCGCTGAAGTTTCAGGGAAAGATGGAAGCATTCCAATAGAACTGGGCCCAGCGCAAATCCGGGCCCAGCCGCCGGCTCCCTGCACGGCCTCCGTGGACCTCAGCGTCCTCTATAAAGGGAGGCTAGGAGTGATACGGTGCCTCAGTAGTAGCTGCACTTTACGGGGGTGGCCCTCCTAAACGTGAGCTGCATGTGCCCCAGGACCCACGGACAGATGAGGGAAGAGGTCAAGGAAGAGGTCAGGGAAGAGGCGGTCGGAGGCAGGGAGGGCCCCCTCAGAGCTCGCGGCTGGTGACCCTGAGCCCAGGGGGCACCGCCAGTCCTGGGTTACCCAGCATCTCCAGACCTAGCCCCAGGGGTCCCAGCTCCCAGGCAGTTCATGCCGGGGGCCCCCAGCACTGTCTGGTGGAGAGTGGGGGTAAGGCCCCCCTTGGCCACCTTTCCTGCGGGCCCAAGTCCATGAGCGGGCCAGGAAGGGAGAGCTGCAGGGACCCCGGACTCCCAGCCAGGCCCCCCTAGAAGGGAGGGACAGCCACGTCCAAGGTGCAGGGGCGGCCCAGCCCGCACTTGGGGTGCTTCCTTGCTGTGTCCAGGCTTAACCCTGGGCGAAGGGTTCCATTCGGAAGGTGAGAGGCACGGCTGTCCTCCAACAGGGCCTGTGCTGGTTGGACCCTGGACCCCACCTGCCATGGGGTCCGGGAGCCCTTGTGCAGCGTGCGGCCGGCCTAACTGAACACGGCAGCCCTGGCCCCAGCGTCTATCCGGTCCCGCCTGCCGCTGCAACCCGCCATCCCAGGCCTTCCCGCTGACAGGGGCCTCCTCACTCCTTCACACCGCCCTCGCCCTCGGGTGTGAAGTCCTTCCCCGCACACCCAGCGGCTGGCCAGCTCTGTCCTCAGGCTCCGTTCCCCACGGGCCTCGACTTACCCACCATGTGCTTGCGCACGTGGGCCATGGTGTAGAACTTCTTCTCGCAGATCTCACACGAGAACTTCTTTTCCGCGTAGCCATGCACGATCTTGTTGTGTTCATGCAGGGACCACAGCTTCTTAAAGGCTTTGCCGCACGTCACGCACTGTGGGGTGAGAGGACTTCAGGCCCTGGGGCCGAGGTCAGGACCCTGTGATGAAGGGCGCAGGCCGTGGCCCTTCTCTGGGCCTCATTTTCCTCACCTCGGCTGCGCTGGAGAGAGGGCCCTCGAGTCTGGGGACCCGCCAGATCTGACGCTGTGGGGGTCGGGGGGGGGCACCTCCCTAAACACCTACCCACAGCCCGGCTCGCCTTCATCCTTAAACTTAACTAGGGCCGGGGTCTCCTCTTCCAGGGGGCCCCTCCTCTGTGCCCATTCCAACAAGGCATCTCCTTACAGAGGGGAGGGCATGTAACTGGCTGAAGGGCCACAGCGGGTGTGGAGAGGCCCCTCTTAGGTGCAGACATCAGCTCTGCTGCCTCCCCGCTGGGACCCAGGCCCTGACGCCATGGAGATCACCAAGGAGACAGGTCTCAGAGGGGCGGCTGCGGGAAGCGTCCGTCCGGATGGGGTTGCTGCAGAAAGAGCCCGGTCCCATCAGGCAGTGCAGGGCGGGGGGATCCTTAAGGCTCCGCTCCCTTCCTCCTCTTCCCCCAGGCCCTCGTCCTGCCCACCCTGCAGGACGTGCCCACAGGTCTGGAGGCAGGACCATGGCGCAAGCAGAAATTGGCTCCGGTTGGTCAGGGTGGCCAGGTCGGAAAGGGAACAAGGGTCTTTCCCCTGCGGAAGGGAGGCGCAGCTGCGTGGCAGGTGGAGAGTCAGAGCAGCCCCGCAGGCAGGCAAGCGGGAACAGGTACGTGAGGGTGGGGCAGGGGACCAGGTAACCCCCAGGTAACACTTTCTCCTCGGGCAGCTGCAATTAGCAATTAGTTGAGGCAATTAGCACCCGCCTACCTGCTGCCCTCACCTCGCCACCTCTCAGCCACAAAGGTAAAAACCCTGTGCTGCCCACACCCTGAGAGTCTGGGCTGGCCCGCTCTTCCCCTGCTCTTCCCAAGTTTCTATCCGGTCCCTCGTCCCCAGGCGCAGGCCAGCTGGCATCTCCAAAGAGCCGAATGCAGGGACTCCTTCCTACCCGCTGCCCCTTCCTCTACTCAGCCTTTGTGGCAAGGGGAAAATGGCACCCCCCTCAGGGTCAACCCCTCCTCCCTTCATCTGCGCTTTTGTGCACCGAACAATCTGTGAAACGCTACACAGTGGCCCTGCGGGCCCATCCCTCCTCACGGCTGGCTGTCCCCATCTCATGGGCTCAGGCCACTCTCTCATGCTCCCAAGTCCATGCTCCCTTGCCCTTCGGGCCAAAGGTACTGTTTGTTCCAATCCTATCTGCATCTTTCCATTTGTCAAAGCCCAGTGCTATCCACCTCCTCCAGAAAGCTCTCCTTGACATTCTCACCAACCTGGGCCCTACTCTCTTGACTTACCCTGGGCTTGGGCTGGTCCCCCCCAGGCTGGGCAATGCAGTCAGCAGGACCCTTGGGTGCCCAAGTCCAAGCTCTGGCCTGGCCCAGCCTAGGTGGCTGTGTGGCCTCCGCTGGCCTCCTGCCCCATCCCGCCCCGTCCCCCGCACGAAGCGCCCCCCAGGCCCACCTGGATGTTGCGCTCACAGTCTGTCTGCCGGTGCAGCAGCAGCTCACTCTCCAGCAGGAAGCGCTTGCCGCACTGGTCACAGATCTGCATGCGGCTGTGGGTCACGTTCATGTGTTTCTCCAGGTACCAGCGGTTGTTGAAAACGCGCGGGCACTTCTGGCACGGGTGGTGCTGCTTCTCCTCCAGCTTCACCTTGGCCCCCAAGCCATCAGGGGCCTGTGGCCCTCGAGCCGGCGCCGGGGCCGCTCCGGAGGGCTGCTTTGGCCTCTTCCCACCACGCTGCGCGGCCTCCTCAGGCTCAGGGGGTGCCCGACGCCGGGCGTTCTCCCGGGACCGTGTGGCCATGCGACTGTGGGGAGGGGGCTCTGCCCGGCTGCCCCTGCGCCCCGCTGGCCCCTGCCTGGCTCCCGCCTCCCCCTCCTCCTCTTCCTCCTCCTCCTCCTCTGAGCTCTCTTGATCCTGGTCACTGTGTCCTTCTTCCTCCTCCTCCTCGTCCTCCTCCTGTTCGCTGTGCCCTTCCTCCTCCTCATCCTCCTCTCCCTGACTGCCACCTTCCTCTTCCTCCTCCTCCTCCCCTCCACTGCCACCACCCTCCTCTTCTTCCTCCTCCTCTTCCTCCTCGTCCTCCTCATCCTCCTCGTCCTCCGAGTGTCTCTGCAGCCCGTCCTCCCGGCCCAGCACCATGGTGGCAGGGCCCGTGGCAGCGCCCGGCTTCCCCTCGGGCGTCGTGGACACGTGCAGCGTCTGGTTGTTGAGGTTGACCTCCACGATGATCTGAGACTGCTCCTGGCGACTGTAGGTGCCGGAACCGCCCAGCTCTTCCTCCAGCTCCTCCCCACCCTCCAGCTTGCACAAGCTGGCCGGGGGCCCACCAGCCTCCTCCGTACCGCCCTCCTTCTCCTCCTTGAAGAAGGGCTGAGCTGGCCCAAGGGTGGCAGGCACTGTGCCACCTGCAGTCCCTGCCCCGTCCTCAACACGCACAGAGTAGGGGTCAGGCCCCTCGCGGGCGTAGATCTTGGGCAGGCCTGGGGTGTCGGCCTCCTGCTTGATGTCACAGTAGTAGGGCGGCGCGGCTGGGGCACAGCTGGCGGCTGGCTGGGCTAGAGCCACAGCAGTGGGGCCTGGGGGGCCCAGGGAGCGGGCGTCCAGCAGCTCCTGGCAGGACGCAGCGATGTCAGCCATCTGCAGCAACGAGGCGGCGCTGAGCACCTCGTGGACGTTGGCCGCGTTGACCAGCAGCTTGGATGTGTAGATAAAGTTGAGGATCTGCTGCAGGCCGCCGGGGGCCAGCGCCTCCAGGGACAGTTCCACCCGCTGCAGCTGCTTGTTCTGGGTGAAGAGCGAGTGGAAGAACTGGCTGTAGGCGGCCAGCACGCCCTTGTGCGCCGGGAAGACGCTACGTTGGGGCACCAGCACCAGGTCCACGTCGCAGAGGTCAGGCTGGAAGAGGCGCTGCTCATTCAGACGGCCCATCAAGCAGGCGAAGTGCAGCGCCACGTCCTCTACCAGCGAGAACTCCGCCGCCGGTGAGTCGGTTGTCTTCTCAACCAGCAACTGCAGGGCAGAGGGCACAGGTCAGGTCCAGGCCGGCGGGGCTCCGGCCAGCCCACCTTCTCAGAGGCAGCGATGTCAGCCCCCTGGTTCCCCCATCACTCCTGGTTCCATGTTACAGAAAAGGAGCCGACGCTCAAGCAAGGAGGTGGAGGAAGAACCAGGATTCAAGCTCAAGTTCTGAAGCCCCTCAGAGCTCCAACTCCAACCGTGACATTCTGAGGCCAAAGATCAGTTAACTTTTCTGGGCCTCCAGCTCTTCCGCTGCAAAACAGGAAGTCATCCGGGGAAAGAAAGAGGAAGAGGGGAAAAGGGACTAGGGTGGCCCCCTGTCCAGGTGTGCCAGCAGCTAAGGGTTTCCCAGGATGCGGGGCTTTCAGTGCTAAGCCCAGGACCATCACAGGCAAACGGGGACCAAGGGGTCACCCCAGCAGGGACACAGGCACTTCCTGGGCTCCATGAGTTCTCTCTCCCCCACACTCACTCACACAAATAAAACCACAGCCGCCAGCCCCAGACGCCTTGAGAAGAGAAGCCAGGCTCACTCGCCCGCTTCCCGCACTCTGGCTACCGCAGCCCAGGAAGTGGCCGCTGAGGGGAATGCTCGCACCCATGGCGCTGGGCCCGCCTGGCCTGAGCGCTGCAGGGTAGACACTTCTGTGAAGCACCCCCCACCCAGGCCTGCGGCTTCGCCCGCCTGAGAGGAGGCTGGTGCGATCCAGCCAGCCTCTCAGCACTTGCCAGAGCCTGGGCCAGCCGGCGCCGCAGGCCTGGCCTCCAGCAAGTCCCCCTCACACAGGGGTCCTGCAGGGCGGGAGCCCAGGCAGCCTGCGTGGGCCCCCAGGCCTGCCCCAGGGGCTCTGAGAGGGGCCCATCTTGGAGGGCCACTTCATCTAGGGCCTCCGCAGCTGCCGGGGGGCCCTTGAAGTCTGATGGGTCAGGTTCTCTAGCTCCCGTGAGCCGCGGCAGTACGGACGGGCATGACCTTTCCTGGCTCCACCACAGTGGCCTCCCCAAAAGGTGGGCCACACAGACAGGCAGGCTGCCCAGTCCCTTGCTTGGGTCCAGTGCATGGCATATGCTCACATATTCTGCCAACCGCCTGCCTGGCTGGACCGAGCCCACAGGTTCCAGGCCCTGGCCCTCCTCGGACCCTGTCCAGCTGGGGCAGAGCATCCTATATTTGAGGACCTTGCTCCACTGCCACAAGGCCATCATCGCCCCTGCCCCAGACAACTCCCTGGAGGCCCTGGGATGAAAGCCGGGTCCCATCCGTCCACAGCCCACGCTTACCTGCCCCCCATGTCCGGCCTCCCACTGCTGGCACAGCCATGGGTGGGCCCAGACTGGGGAGGGGGTGTGGGGGTGGGGGGATGTCTCTTCTCAACTTCTCAGTCACTTGAACGAGAATCCGCCCTGGGCCTCAGAGTGGGCCTCGAGGAGCTACCAGGGCCGGTGGCAGTCCCCGGGGACACCCACCCAACTTGCACTTGGGTCCCGCTCTGGCCAGGCCCTCAGCCACGGACACGATCTCCCTCGAGCTCTCCCACCACACCTTCTGCCTGCCGGCCAAGAAGCCACGCGTCTGCCCCTCTGCCTCGGGGCTGCTAGCCTGTTCCGGCCTGGCCAATCTCACTGGGATATAGTGCCAAGCCCCTCCCTCTTCCCTTCCCTGACTCAGTCTGATTCATCTTCTGGGACCAACTGAGATTGCACAGATGGGGAAACTGAGGCTCAGAATGGGAGAGTCCCTAGGTGAGCAGTAGCAGAGCCCCTGGCCTCCCAGCTTTTCCGAGGCCACCCTTCCCCGCTGGGCTGGATACTGCTCCATGTAGGCCGATTTCTTGACCTTTAATGACTTAAAAACAGGAAGAGGCATCGGGGACCCTCTCACCCAGGGGACCAGCTGTGCCTCCTCAGGCTCTCCCCGCCTCAGCCTCCTCCCCAGAGCTGCTGCCACCTGTAGGTCAGTGAGGGGTCAGGGTGCAACTTGAATAGTAACAGGGGCTCCTTAAGGGGCTCCAGTGGCCAGATAGGGGCAGAGGAAGCGGCTTGGATCAGGGCTTGTCAAAGCCAGGCCTGTTGTGGGGAGCCCGCCCCAGGCGACGGGGCCTGAGCCACCCTGCTCCCCATCACAGAACGCCCTGCAGTGCCCAACCTTCCTGTGTGCAGGTGGGGACCCAGGGCCCAGGCGAGGCCCGGTGAGGCCCTCTGGCTTCAGCCGAGGAGGGGCGGTTGGCCGGCAAGCTCGTGCTGCCCCAGAGGCCCCACTCACGAGGCAGCACCCCCGGCCAAGCCAGCAGCATCCTTGTCGCCTGAGGGGCCGAGAAACTCAGGACCAGGCCCTGTGACTGGGCTTCATTGACAAGCACACAGATGCTGCCTGAGTCCATAGCTGGCAGCCCTTCAGCAGGGCACAGCTGCCCCCTCGCCTGGCACCTTCCATGCAGCGCCCACCAGCTGTGCCCGCCTCCCCAGCCAGATGTGCCAGTTCCCTGAAGCTGCGGCTGCCCCTCCCCATGTGGCTGTGCCAGCTGCAGCCACACACCCCACCCCGAACGCCAGGCCAGCCTGGCTAAGGTGCAGGACCAGGGGAGCGGTCAAGCGCTCCTGTTGCCGGGGGGGGGGGGGGGTTCATACCCTCAAAGCCTGGCCCCCAAGCCAGGCCGAGAGGAAGCCAGGTGCCGGGGACACCTGCCCAGGCGCTCAACCAGGTCAGAGCTTCTACACCTGAGGGGTGCCCTGCATCATGGCCAAGAAGCCGCTGCCTCCCTAACCTGCCCCGCGCCTCCCGGGGGGCCCCAGGATGAAACCTGGGCTCCATCTGCACCCCAACTCCCACAACAATCCTTCCATGGTCCGGCAGCGGTGGGTGGGCCCAGTCTGAGCAAAGGGCACAGGCTCACGACTTCCAGGCTCCTCCTTTTGGGGACGGGGGTGTCTAGTTCAGTCTCCTCAGGGCTCATGCCCCCTCCTTCCCGGGGAAACAGGCCCAGAGAGGGAGGGGGACCGGCCCAAGGTCACACAGGAGTTCGGACTGGAGCTGCGGACGGCCCCCCCAACACCCCGCTTGGCCCAGGAGCCCCGAATCCCCAGGCAGGGCGGCTCCAGCGCCCACGTGGCCCAAGGCCCAGGCGGGAATCCGACCTCCCCCTTCCCCCGACACCCAGTCCGAGGGCGGCGCCGTCAAAGCTCAGGGGAGCGCCCCCTCCACCAGCGCCCAGCAAGACCTCAGCCTCTCGAGCCCGAGGCCCCCACCCCAGGAATTTAACCCCCTCCCCGCCGAGGGCCGCACCAGAGCGCAGCAGTCCGGGCCCGCGGGGACCCAGAAGGGGTTCGGGAGACCCGGCGAGGGGGAAGACCCTCCACCCCGAGTCAGCGGGCCGTGCGCTCGGGAGGGCAGAGAGGGCAGGTGGGCGGATAAGCGGGGGGACAGGCAGGGCCTTGCGTACCATGGTGCCGTGGCGCTGGGGGCTCACAGGGCCCCGCGGGATCGCGCTGCCCCCGGCGGCCAGGCCGGGGCCGCTCCATGAAGCGCCGCGCTGGGGGCCGCCCCCGCGCAGGGCCCCGCGACCATGGCCCCCGGGGGCGCGGCCGGGCGGGCGGAGGCGCAGGGCCGCAGCGAGTCCAGCAGCCGAGCAGCTGCGGCCCCAGAGCCTCGGGCGCGGCGGGCGGGGGGCGCGGGGCGCCGATTGGAGCCCGCGCGTCAGCTGGGGCCGCCGTCTGGACGCTTAAAGGGCCAGGCCGCCCTGCGTGCCGGCGCGGGGCATGGACACGCGTGGTGTGCGGCGTCCCGAAGCTGCCCGCTCTGCCTCGGGCCGCTGGGGCCCTCAGCCAGGCCCCGTGCTTCCCATTCTAGCGGATGGACCCCGGCCTCACTCTCCCGCGCTGAGCCCCCTTTCCGCCGCCGGGTTGTTAGTCCCGGAGTCTAACCTCGGTGCCCTCCAGCTGCGCCACAGAGGCGGGGTCGGAGGAGGAGGCGGCCCTGAGATCTAGAGGCTGGGCGCGCCCGCCCCCCGACCAGCTGCAGAAAAGGCTTCCACCTGCTCCCCCGAGCGATCCCACGCTGAGGAACAGAACCGGCACCCTAGCCGCGCTCACCACCCCCACCCTCTGTCCTGGGCTGCTCTGAGGGTGAGTCTGGGATCTCCAACTGGCCGGGCCGTCACGGCTACCCCAGGGCAGCCCAGGGCTCGTTTTGCTCTCTGCTTCCAGGACGTGGTTCTGGTCACCCCGTACCTACCTGGTGGCCTCCTCTGGCTGCCCAGGTCCACCTAGGGCAGGAGATAACCAGAACCGGCAGCACGGCGATAGGGATCGAATCCTTTACGGTGACTGGCCCAGGAGAAGGAGAGACGCCAGGAGTGGGGGCCAGCGGCCCAGGCCCCACTGCGCCCCCAGCCCGGCGACCTGACGCCTGCTCATAGCCTCCCCGCTCAGTCTCTGCTGGGGAGATGAAGCCAGGCCTGCGGAATGCTGCTCTGGCACGGACACCAGTGGGGGCAGGGGGCGGGCTGTGCTGGCAGGAGGCTACAAAGGAACGCTGCCAGGCTGAGCCGGCGGCAGGGTGGGGACCACCGCGCGCTGGGCCTGGCAGGGTCCAGGTGGTGGCTGGACCGCTACTGTGGAGAGGGGGCCTCTGTGGGCCTCTCCTGGGGCCCTGTCATCATTCAGATGCGCCACCCCCGCCCCACCCCACGGTGACTGGTGACCCATGTCCCGTCACCCTCCCATTGCCCCATCCCGCCAGTACCACTCAGTCCCTCCCCGCTCCCCCCACACTCGCACTTGTGCTTACCCACCAGCCGCAGGAGTGTCCCCTGCGTATGCCACCTTACTCACGAGTGGGCAGGGACTCTGGGGCCCGTTCAGAGCGACGTGGTTCTGAGTGCCAGGGGAAAACGAGGCAGAGGCACAGTCCCAAGGCAGGCACCAACCTCTCCTCTGATGGCCTGACCTGCACGGCGGAACGGGCCTCTCCTGAGGCCAGAATGGGGAGGCCAGTTATGACTAGGCTGTCCCAGAGCCAGGGAGAAAACGCCTCGGGGCAAAGACGGGTGTGACCAAAGGGTGCCAGGAGGAAGGGAAGAAACACACCCAGCTGGATGCAGGGTCAGGAGAGACCCTGGTGGAAAGAGAGATGGGGAGAGAGGAAGGGGCACCGACGGGGACCTGCCCCCCAGAGGGAGCCACTGTGGGCATTTTGCTCTTCTGTGGCCGCGGTAGGTGCGCAACAGCTGGCTCAGCTCCCACTGGTCTCGGGCTGAGGCCAGGCCACAGCGGCTGACGTGCCACATGAGCCCGTCACCTCAGCGCTGCCTTCCACCTCTTCCTCCTCACGACCCACCTCCTCATCTGGTTCCGTGGGTCCCTGCACCAGCCTGGGAGGTGGCAAGGGAGGGATTGCGTAGCCTGGGGTTGGATAGGGACAGTGAAGCCCAGAGCAGGACAAAGCATACAGCCAGGCACCCGCATCGGGAGCCAGGGAAAGGGGAGGCAGGGAGGGGGTGGCCCCCCCACGGTGGGGAGGAGCCTGGCAGAGAAGACTGCAGGGACGCTCCTGGGCCCACTTCCCAGTCACGGCTTGGGGGCCGGCGTGACCAAGGTAGGGCTGCTGGCCGCCTTGGGATTGGCCCTGGTTGCGGCAGTCAAGCCAAAGGAGGGGCTAGAAGTTGGGAGAGAAAGGAGGGAATGGTAGGGTCTCCATAAAGACCCCAGATGTTCTTCTTGCTTCTCTGGCCTACCACCCATCTGGGGGAGCCCTGGGCAGAGCCTGGACTCTCTAAGAAACTATGGGCTCTTGGGTCACACTAGAACTGGCAGGAAGAGGCTATTTGAGGAGCTGAGTCTGGTGGGCTCAAAAGGGGCCGCTCTGAGCTGATGCCTGCAAGTGGAGTGAACGTCAGTTAGAGCAGGGGGAGAGGAAGGGCCCTCCAGGCAGCAGAGAGCAGCGGGGGTTTAGCGTGTGCAGGGACTGGAGGTGATTTGATGTCATGGAGTCCAAATTCTAGTCGGATTGCTCTCTGGGCCTTGGCAAGGGCCCTGCCACTGGAGCTTCACCGCAGGCCTGGTCAAGGTTGGCTTTCTGGAGGGGGAAGGGGTGACGCTGGGTTCCTGGAGAGGAGGGATCCTGGGCCAGAGTGGCATGACCCAGAGGGAAGCCAGGAGTTTGTGGAGACGGGGGTTGGGGGGGGGTGAGCTTAAGGAGCCTTCAGACCCGTGGGGCTCGGTGCTGGCAGTCAGCAGCCATGCCCGTGCCTCTAGAGGCCAGCTCTTGGGTTTTCCCACAACTTCCCTAAGCACCTAGCCCCGAGTTGCTCCCCCGTGTTAGGGAGGAGGAACAAACAGACCCACACAAGCAGCCCCAGGCTTGGTTGGGGAAACCAGGCTCACCCCTACTGAACCTGGAAAGACTGGGTTGGGGGGCGGTGTGCGTGCGGGCATGCGTGGCTGCGCAGCTGCACACGTGCGGCCTTCCTGGGCACCGTGGAGCTGTGTGGCTGCCGTAGCTGAGGCGGGGGAAGGAGCAAGTCCAGAGTGGCCATTTGAGCTGGCACTTCAGCCCAAGGCCATTCAGGGCCTCCTGCAACTAAAATCCTTCACCAGGCCACATCCCCTGAGAAAGGAGCCCACTGGCCACAGTGCCTCTGGCTTAATCTGACTTTATTTAGAAGATACAAAGGGCCCCTATGAGCACCTATTCCATGGCACAGTCTTTGAGGCTTTGGGGCCAGAGCCAGGCTGCCTGGGTTCAAGTTCTGCTGTGCCGCTTCCTAAAGTCGGGTGACTTTAGAGAAGTAGCTTGGATTTTTAGAATTCAGCTCCTTCTCTGAAGCCCTGGACACTAAGGCCTCCTCCCTCCTAGAAGTGGATTAAATGCTTAGAGCCAAGCGGTTCAGGGACGCTGGCCGCACGGGCTTGCCTCCAGGAGGATGGTGGGAGGCCATGGCTCCACGTGGAGGGCCAGGCTCGGTCGCAAATGAGAGGCCTGGGGTCCCTTGACCCACAGGGCGGGAGAGAATCCCAGGCACAGCCAGGGAGGCCTCGAATGCCAAGGCCGTGACGTCTGTGCTGCAGGAGAGAGCAGGGCAACCTGCTGGTTTGAATTAGGTCCCCACCCGCCAGCAGCTGTGGCCTATTAGTGCTGAGCTCCGAGCTCCGAGGGGGCAGAACATAAGTAACGCCCCTGCAACCCCCCAGCCAGAGACTCAAGCTCCCCTACCCTGGAGGGCCCTGGGTCAGCTGGGGTCTCCCCGCCACCCCACGGACCCCGCCCGCAACTTTCTGATTCACAAGGAGGAGGAGGCAGGGGCCAAGGGAGCATGCCTTTTTCTACTGAAGCCTTAAAAAATAAACACCCCAGACCTCTCAGGCCCCCTGCCCCCTTGTGCAGGGCTTCTCACCTCGCCCTCATCGGGCACTGGCCTGAGCTGTCCAGTCTGTCCCCAGGCAAATGGCTCCCGTCTCCCATGCGGCCGCGGGACGCCAGGCTCTCGCCTGTGAACGTGGGCAGCAGCAGAGCGCGCCCTTGTCCAGGCCTCTCACCTGGTCAGAGGCTAAATCTGCAGGCTTGTCACAGCACCCAGTCTCCTTGCCCTTCTGGTGACATGGTGGCCCGTGAAGGGTGTGTTCCTCAGATTCTCTTGCCTCCTATTCGATGCCCAGCTAATTCAGAACAGTCAAGACCAAAGCCCTTGACACCTTGCCCCCCATACCGCCTGGCTGATGAAGATGATCACTATCGAATGTGAATCAAGATCCCAGGGCTCACTAGAAAGTAAGACCCTGAAGGAACCTCGCTTAGGGATTTTCCGCAGCAGACCTGCAAATTTTCCTAACATTTTAAAGCGACGCATCCAGATGGGACTGTCGTCAGGACCTGCATGACTTGGGCAGCAGAGGGGCCTACTAATGGCTGAATTTTGCAAACGGAATCTCTGCAAGCCTTACTGGGAGAGGTTATGTTGTAGTCACCATGCAAATTCCTTGGAGTCCTGAGGAGAAAAAAGGTAATTGCATTTGCTCTGCCAATTCTCCTGTGGTTGCTAAAAATACCCCACGAATGTTTCCCCCCGGGAGCAAGTGCCGTGTGCCTGGCTGGGGAACCGTCAGGATGGAGGTGTGGGGGCCGTGCAGGTGGGTGAGGCAGGTGAGCCACTGTCCCTGGGCAGCAGCTCGCAGAGGGGATGGGACACACTCCTTCCGCAGCATGGACACCTGCACGTGGTTGCAGCTGGGTGACCACGATGACTCTGGAATTCCCAGGGGAACGCGGAGCATCCCCGGAGAGGCCTCCTGGGAAGGTGCACAGCTCCGCGATGAAAAGGAGCCCCAGAGGTGGGTTGGCAGAGACGCGAGGCTTCCTCCCCCGCCTCAGAAGCACTAGCTCAGCCTGGATGAGTAACGGTGAAGCACGCAGACTCCGACTCAGACTTAGACTAAGCATATATTTTAATTTCTACAAGGTGCCCCTTTCAAGTTTTAGGGGAATTTAAATGAAGTGTATACAAATTAGACAGTGCTGATATGTACAAAAGTTCTTCTAGTTTTTAAACAATACCAGCTATATCATGTTTCATTTGCAGTAAACAGGATGTTACAAAAACAGTCCAATAATGCATTTTCTATTAAGAAGCACAATACGCAACATAATTCAATTTTGTTAAAAATTAACTTAAAATACAGAATAATCCCCTTAGGAAGGAAAGCTGTCTCTGTAGTTCATTCAGTAAACACACAAGTTGAACGCTGCAGCTGAGGGCTGTTCTTTTCCAGAGAGAACCAACGAGGCTCCCAGGACCCACGCCCTCGGCCCCGGTGGGCAAAGGGACTGCCCGAGGGAGGCAGACTGCTGCCCACGCCGCGCCCCAGCCCGGGAACCTGTGCACGGTGGGGGGGCGCTCCTGTGAAGGTGTTTTATGACCTTAAAGTGGGGAGGCGATCTTGGTGGGCTTGATGTAATCACATGAAGCTTAAAGCAGAGGAGAGAGGAGGAGAGATCGGAGGCATGAGGACTGGCCAGGCCGTCACTGGTTTGCAGATGGAGGGGAGCGCATGAGGAGGCGTTTGGGCAGCCTTAAGGAGCTGAATGAAAGGCCCCCCAACAGAACGGAGTACCGCCAACTGGCTGAGCCCACCTGGAAGCAGCTGCTTTCCTAGAGCGGCCGTAAAGGGCCGCTGCCCTGCAGGCCCTCGGATTCACACTTGTGAGACCCTGAGCAGAGAGTCCAGCCCTACGGAGCCAGACTCGCGAGCTTCGGAGCGGGGAGCTAAGGAACGGGTATTGTTTGAAGCTCCTAAGTTTGGGGTGATTATTTACAAAGCAACAGAAAATCAACCCGCTGCTCAACAGTAATTTTCTTAACATAATGAGATTTGGCAGTTTTTGTTTGAGTTCTGAATGCAGATTTCCCCCAGAGGATTATTAAAGCAATATTCTCCACTGCAGGCAACTTTTGAAAACCCTTCACATGGACTGCAATGTTTTGCAGTCACTAGTGAGTACGTCTATTTGACTCCGGTCTTGTTTTCTAATGCACTCTCGTCTGTCAACATGGCGAAGAGCTGACCCCTTAACCCTGTTTATGAACCTTTCTGAGCAATGGTTTTGAATCCATCCAAGGTCGTCCCTCCATGCATCAAGGGTTGCCAGATCTCTCCAACTGAGGGCTCCCCCTTCCCAAGCACACCGGGCGCAGCGCCGAGTTCTCTCTCAAACATCCAACACGAATTTCTCCCGCATAATTGGGCTGAACTGGCACTGAGGTGATTAAGTACACTTGGGGGAAAAAAACTGCAACTAGATTAAAAAAAAAAAAAAAAATCACACCGGTTTTTACGGGCCAAATCATTTTTGGAGGAACTGCCCAAACCTGTGAAAATGCATGGTTTACACTGTCCCATACACCTTCTTTCCATGTCCTGGGTTTCCTTGTGTGGTGCCAGGCTTCACTGGGTCGGTGTGGTCACAGGGAAAATAGGCTGGTGCTGAAAGCCGTTCAACTACTATTGTGGCCTCTCTCTTACTTGACTTAAAAGCCCCGCAAAATGTCCAGGATGGTGGCAGTTAGGTTTTGCTGTTACATTGGACGTCTGTTCTTCAATCCGTTCTTCCAGACATGGTCACGTCAGTGACATGTAGTAGACCTGCGTGGCCATGCAATCCCTGCTGCCAACCCTGCCCGGTCCAGGAGACCCCCAGCCCACACCTGTGGCTTGAGAGAACCCCTCCAAATATTCAAAGTGAGTACAGCTCAGAAGGAAACATGTTTGGTGCCAGTGGTTTAAAAAAAAATTTCATCTCTCTCTCTCTTATGAGACCGTAATGTACAGTAGAGAAGTAGAACAATGCTTAAAGGGGCACCAAAAGGTACCAAGCACCAAAGGGTGAATGGGAATAGAATTGTTTTTACAGTCCGAACCTCTGATCAAATTTATTAGAAAGCACATGAAATACTAGGTCCTTAGAGACAGTAGGTACTTCGAGTTAAGGCTGGTTATTCTCCTTACCCTCGCCTGCCAACCGGAAGTAACACAGACAGCAGGCTGTACAGTGATCACTTTCCTGGTCCTTGCAGACAACGAAGAAGGAAGGAATGGATTAAGAGCCCCAAAGCCACACCCCCACGCCTGGCTACCGTCAGCAGGGACCTGGGTGGTGGGTTCTTAAGAGCACACTGCGTCAGGCTCTGTGATGGGTGCACAAACACCTGGCTGTCTCTGACGAGCTCCCACAGGTCTGTGCTGGGCAGCACATGTGCTAACACCTGAAAACGGGCAAAAAGAATTTGTATTCTAAGGGATACGTGAGAGAAAAAGGAAACAGTCTATCTAAAGTAATATTGCAAATTATACTAAGATTTCATGGTTTCTTGATTCAAGAAAATGAAATTTCACTTCCATAGTTGGCTACTGTAAAATGTGGCATAAAAATATTTTTAGGAGACATATCTGTATTTTAAATTCTGCACACAAGGAACAAGTAACAATTAAGAAGTGTCTATTTTTGAAATTCACCTCTAATATTGAAACAGAACAACAGACTGACTTTAAGTTTCTTAAATTTTTAAGTTACCAGATATTTACAAATAAGATATAATTTGTATCAAAAAAGGGGACATTTTCAACTATATCTGCTGCTTTCACTGGGACTCCTGCGATGAGAGTAACTTCGGTCACTTTCGCTGTCAGAGCCGTAAGATCTACAACTCCTGTGTAACAAAACAGAACAAACACACAAACACCTTTAGCTGTGAACCCTTTGAATTCCTCTGGTAGATTCTTTTTCCACAAGACTGGCGAAAAGCCCTACAAGGTGGCGTACAGCGCGGTGGGTGGACCGGGGGTGCTGGCTGTGGTAGCACTGTGGACTTTTCAGAGATGTTTTAAATGAGAGTAGTACTACCAAGGCTAAGATAAAATACAGAAACATCCGTGGCTTGAAATCCACTCATGCAAATGAGAATAATTTTCCATGTTACCCAAATGAACATCAATACTGAATTAATTAGATTGAGAAAGTAAAGGGAAACAGTGCATAAAGAACGTTTTCTTAAAGATACGGAAATCAAAATGGTACCCAAAGCGGGCAGGGGAGACGGCGCGGCCGGCACGGAAGGAGCACTGGGACAGGGAGTCAAGAGGACATGGTCATGGTCACCATCCAGGTATTTTGAAAAATGTTCACTGAGAGCCAGTTACTTTGTAGATACTGGACGCACGCACGAAGGGGACCAAATAGTGGTCCCTGGGCTCAAGGATAATGCAGGACAGTGGACGAGACAAGCCAGGTGCACAGGGACGGGGACGGCCTACATCGGGGTCAGCAGTCAGAGGGCTTCCCCGGGGCCGCAGGCTGCCATGGAGACCTGCAGGGTACATGGGAATCGGCCATTGCAAGAGCCAGGAGAGGTGTCTCTCGACAGAAGCAAAGGTTCCAGCACAGTAAGGGGGGAGGACAGAAAGCCCGGCCGGAGCTGCAGGTGAGAGGGCCTTGGCCAGGAGGGCAATGCAGACACAGCCCCTGAAGAGTTTCGAACAAGGGAGTGTCCAGAGAACACTGACTTTCTACAAGGATCATTGGCTGTCCCTGCAGTGGATGAGGGAAGGGTAAGACTGAAAGCCACCAGGAAAGGGTCATTATAAAAGGTCACGATAAAAACTTGCAGTACTAGGCATAATGTTACATAAAACACAATATTTATAAATAGAGAAAAAGCACATTTCCCCCAAATAAATGTCAAGATATGAACCTTAATCCTGCTTCTGAAGCAAATGACCGTAACATTTTATTATACATTTTTTAATTTAAAAAATTGACAAACTGGCTTTCCCAATTTTAGCAACGAGCTCTGTTTTAAAAAATGGGCCTCGGTTTGGGTGGACTTCTCTCTTTACTCCTTCCAAGAGAAACGTTTGTCCAAGGATATGTGAATATTTAAAAACCCATTTCAGATTCAAACGTCAACACGGACCAACAAGCATCACCCAGCAACTCTTAGCACAAAGGCCACATTTGTAGCTGCCTGTGGGTTGCTGAAATTCAAGGGGAGAGAGGACTTCTGTCCTGAGATGTCCATGCTCTCTCCTAGGTCTCCCGCCTCACACCACATGCCCACAGGACCGGGCCGCGCTCTAAGGAGACACCCACCTGGACCGCCTGTTGTAGCTTCTGCCTCGGTGGTAGCTGTCGCTCCTCTGGCTTCTGCTGCGGCTCCGGCTCCTGCTGTAGTAGCTGTCGTAAGTGTAGGACCTGCTTTCACAGCAACAATAAACACTAAGGTTTCCCATTCCAACACTCACACATTCCCATTCCCTTCTAGGAGCTTAAGAGTGTCCTCTTAGAACGTGGGCACTATAGGACAGGGAGACACTTGCATAACAAGCACTGGAAACACTTAACAACTGTCCCAAGTCAGACTTACCATATGAAACAGAAAAATGTTAATTTCTGTTCTGCGTTGAGAAATATCACAAAATTAACACTGAGTCAGTTGGCTTGAATCTGGCAGACACTGGGCATTATACTCAGTAACACCTGCCATTTACAGTCGGACATCAACTGTGCCTTTTGACACACAGCACAATGGGCCAACAGGGAAAAACTGTCAAAAAGACCTCATTTAGAAAAAGTCTGATTTCATGAGGCAAACGCATGTGTTTAAGTTGCTCGATAAAATACACCCCATTTAAAGGGGGTCAGGGCTCCAAGGGCCAAGGCCTCTCCACTCTGCTGCAGGCGGCTCCCCAGCCCCGCGCATACCTGGAGCGGCTGTGGGGGTCATACGAGCTGCTCCTGGATCTGCTCCGGCTGGACGTCCTAGGACGAATCACATGAGGGACCGTCATCTTGTGGATCAGGGTAGGCTACATAAAAAATCTAGACATGTATTTACCCATCAAGAAGAAAACACAATGAAATCCAGCAGCTGTTAGTCTTTATATCAAAGTATATTGGACTTTTTTAAAAAAGCATGTTGGATTGCCTAAGAAAGGTTGAGCTTCATGCTATTCTTCTATGAGGTGCCGCTAAAGAAAGCCGCTGGGGAGGCTCTAAGCGGGTGATGGCGGAGGGAACAAAGGTCTGCCCAGGCAGGACACTAAGCCATAAGCAAAATGAAGCTGCAGTTGTGGAAAACACCTGAAAGGCAAGTGTGGGTGCGAAGAAGCTGGGAGAACTAGGCACCTGGGGTTACCCCTGCCAGACTTCTCCATTTGGTCCCCCTTTAAAACTCCTCCTATGCTGCCCTGGCTGGTGTGGCTCAGTGGACTGAGCGTCAGCCTGCGAACCAAAAGGTGCTGGTTCGGGCACAGGCCTGGGTGATGGGCCAGGTCCCCAGTAGGGGATGCACGAGAGGCAGCCACACACATTGATGTCTCTCTCCCTCCCTTCCCTCTGCTCTGAAAATAATAAAATTTTTTAAAAAAACAGGTGTAGAGTTATAACACAAATAAATAATACAAAAAATAATGATACAATAATAAACTGTTTCCTATACTTATAACTATAAACCTACTTTGGGAAAAATAAAACTGCTCCTGTCCCAATCTCTAACTCAAGTCAAGAGGTGCACACCATGGCAAGCGCAGGTGAAGGCAGGTGCGCGGGGGCACGGGGTGGAGGTAGCGGTCAGGGCCCCTCTCAAATATTCCCACTGCGCCTTCCTCCCCACTCGGGGAGATTCTGACCAGCAAGGCTATGACTGTTCCCCGAGACGGAGCTGGATGAGAAAGCAGGCCTGCCTGGCACCGAAAGGCCACTGGGGCGGAGACCGCACAGGAGGCGGGACTCGCGAGCTCACCTGTGACTTTTGTAACTGCGGGAGGAACTGCTCCGGCTTCGTGTGCGGCCCCAGCTGTACCACCCTCTGCTCCGACTTCTGGAATAGCTTCTTGATCTACAATTAAGAGTGTGAAACCGTAATTATATCAACTCCCCATGCTGTTAGAATTACTTACTTATAGGGCGGGAAGGGGAAACACAGTAAGAAGAAAGGCCAGGGCAAGGTCTCCCATGAAGTCCTCACAGTGTGGGTATGATGGTGACAGCGAATAAGGCTTTAAATGGAACAGAATGACACAAAGAAAAACCAGGAAATGCTGACACATGTATGTGTATAAGAGCCCCATTAGTAATAACAGAAGAGGAAGTAGTCCAGCCTCCATTAATGGCAGAGTGGGCTAAATGGCAGCATGGGCTACAGCTTCATGTATCAACTGAGACATCTCTTTGGAACACAATGTGGAGTGAAAAAGCCAAATGTAGAACATCTATACATAAAAGGATTTTGTTAGCAAACATGCAAAAGCAACACTGTGTAAGGATAGAAACGTTTGAGGTGAGACTACAGAAAAGCAACAAAACTGCAACAACAGTTTAGAACAATGTTTAACTCACAAGGTAGGATAGCGCTGGGTAGGGCTACATCAGGTATGTCAAAGCTCTAACAAGGTGAGGTGACTTTTTAAATTACTTGTTATATCATAATCATTTATTTTTGTATCTATTTAATACTTAATAAAACAAACACTTAAGTAACACAGTCCTGCCCTCTGCATGCGCGTAGCCCCGGCCCCTCCCCCACTGCTCTGTGCCTGTCGCTCAGCATCAGGACAACAACCCTATGCGTAGGCTACTTAGGTAAATACCGCCACAGGTTTTACTCAGTTTTGAACCCACTGTGTTCTAATAAGACTCTAGTCATTTACTCAACAATTGTAAAGCAGACTGGGAGGTGACTGAAAGAGGAGCAGGAAACAGTCTGTGGATTAGCAGACATTCAGTCCATCGAAACCGTCCATAAGCATATTTGGCTGATGTCAAGTGGCCCTTGGTATTTGGTCCTCTCAAAACGATCACACTCAAAAACATCCGAGTTCAGGTAATTCATTTATTTGTATTTTTGACTTAATACGTAAAAAACCTATCATGTTTTAGTGCCCTGACATTGCAGCGGGGCTGTCTCGCCAGCGACAGCCCCCGTCTCGTCTTGGTCGCACAGGCGGTGATGGCGCAGGGGTTAGGCCGACAGATCAGCTGACATGGACCAAATGTCTCCGCGTGTGTTTTGGGCAGAACCAAGATGTTCTGCAAGGCAGCCCCTCACTTCAGTGAGGCCACAGCCTAGGAGGGACGTCGGGCCCAGGCAGGCCACCAGACCAGGGAGGCAGAGTTCGGCTCTCTCAGTCTACTGCCTTGGCTGAAGAGCTGAGAGCAAACTGCTCAGCCTCGCTATGCCTGTCTTCATTTATGAAATGAATCACCACCCACCCCAAAGGCAGACGTAGGAGGTGCTAAATGAGAGTGGCCAGCGTGACCGCAGCTCAGAGCTGTCAGAGCGCAAGTGGGAAGGCAGGAGCTGAGCAGACGGGAGGCTGGGGGGCAGCTCAGCAGGTACTGCACCCAGAACTGGCAACGCCAGGGTCGACCAGTTCTCCGGGCCTGTCGGAGTCGGGCAGGAGGAGGCAGAGGAGCGTTAGCAGAAGACTTCCAGAAGGTGAGGACTGAAAACCGGCTACGCCGCAGAACCTGGACACCTCAGTCAGTTCAGTGAGACGGGGGAAGGGAGGCACAGAATACAGACGGCAAGCAGCTGAGGAGTAAAGGGGAGGCCGCTATTACAGCTGGCAAGTGCCGTTTCCTATTTTTAAAGAAATATGGGTAAAGGGAGAGAAACACTGACAAATAACTGGAAAGGGAAACAAAAACACTCAAAGACTGTTATTGTATTTTAAGTTTAAGGGAAAACCAAGAAATATTTACAACACAAAGAATACGAATGACTTATTCCTATCACCATCACCACTTTTAAGTTAAAAAGAACCTCCATCTGGGCTGATGACAAAAGTTAGGTTCAGCCTGAACAGAAGAGCGAAACCTATCTAAAGATGATGGTTGCTGCCATCCCTCCAATCCCATCCCAGCCTTGAATAAAGAGCACCTAACTGGGCAAAAAAGGTAACGGGATTAAGACGTACAATTTGGTAATTAAGAAGCAGTCATGAGAACATCAAGAACAGCCTAAGGAACATAGTCAATAATACCGCAATAACTACGGCTGGTGCTCGGGGGCACTGGAAATACCAGCGGGAATACATTGTAAAGCACAGGACTCTCTCACTACTGTGCTCTACGCCTGAAACTAATACAACATAAAATTGCATGTAAACTGTAATTGAGAAATAAAATTAAAAAAAAGTGAACTAGACGCTTGCCTTGAGCAGGCAACTGGGTCTCTCTGGTCCTCACCCCCTACTTGGGTGAAGTTGAAGGGTCAGGCCAATGATCTCCAGAGCCCTTCCATCCTGCCAATGGAAAACCCCTCACATCCCTAAAGAAGGAGCCCTTGCCACCTATCACGGCAACTGATTTCTGCTGCCAGAGAGCTATAGCAGAAAGTGAGGGCTTTTCACACTGAGCCCCAATTTCTTCCCTGAAATCTGCTCCGTGTCCTCAATCTGCTCTCTGAGTCACACGGCACAAGGCTTCTCCTTATTCACCTTCCAGATATTTGGAAATAGCGATCTTGTCCCTAATTCTGATGTTCTTCCAAGCTAAACAATAACAGACTCTCTTTGGGAGAAAAAAGGAAAGAGAATATTGCTCACCGATAAGATGATGTGGAACTTCGCGATCGACTTCTTGAATGACTGTAGGAGACAGACCTTGTTCTGTGTCTTGATTTGGTTTCAGATTTACTTCGAGACCGACTCGGACTCCTGGACTGGCTATCGCCATCCCGACTAGGTGTCTGCTCGTCGCTTGAACTCTCCTGATTTCTCGGCCTCCGGTTTAAGCGTGCCGTCTTTCTTACTTCATCAAAGAGAGACCCAGGCCGCACTTTATTTTTGCTTTTAATTTCTATTCTCAAGACTTGTGGCTTCATTTCAGGCAGAGCAGTCAACGTCTTACCTTCCACGGCACTGGAAAGGGCAGCCGCCGGTGCTGTCAGGTTCCCCGCCCCTTGCAGGGGCTTCCATTTGTTATCCAGGAGGCTGAGCTGGCCCCTTTCGGCCACCTCCTTCCTCACTGTGCCTTCCACCGCACCGGCCGGGCCCACAGAGATGCTGTCCTGTGCCCCCGCCTCACCCCCTGGGGGGCTCTCAGGCATGCTGCTGTCTTGGCTCCCCGCCTCTCCCTCAGGATGCTCAGCCTGTACTTCCTGCTTCACAACGAGGCCTACATCCAGGGGGTCAAGCCTCGAGTCTCCTAGAGGGGACGCCCCCTCCACCTTTGCCGGGGAACTCCTATCAGGAGTGCAAATTTCCATGTTGTCATCTGCCTGAAGCACATCCTCCACTCTGCTTGGGACACTGTCTTCGATACGCTGAATGTTTGGGGGAGAACTGGCCACACTCTCCTCGGTATTTAAAGGTGTGGGAGAAGTGCTGAGTTTGCTATCAACTTTGGCAGGCTGCTCAGCATCTGATGAAGCCGTTACTGTATTCTGTTTACCTGACTGACTGCCGTCTTCACAGGGCTTCTCAGTTGGGGGGATATTTTCTTTTGTGGCTTCACTGTTTTCAGAAACTTGTTTTTTCTCTTGTGACTCCTGAGTCACTTGCTTTTCATTAATCTCCTCCTCCTCCTCTTCACCAAATTCTAGTGGAGGCTGCCAGTGAAATGCTTGTTTTCGTTTTGGAGCCTTGTGCTTTTTGTCTTTTTTCCCCTTCATTTTCTCTTTCACTTTTTTGGTGTGTTCCTTTTTAAGATTTTCCTTTGACCCATGTTTGTGCTTCCGTGACTTTCCTCTAGGGTTTTCTGAATTGCAGGACCCCTCGGAATCAGAGGTTGATGACCGCTGTTTGCTAGACTTCCAAGCACCATTACCATCAGACTGTGAAGTACTCGCTGAAGACTTTGTTGTGGGTTTGGCTTTGATGTGAATTTCACCAAACTCTGATTCAGAATCTGATGTGGCCTCACCTTCCTCCTTATCAGAAGATGGCCGGGAATTATTTTTACTGTTTTTAGTTATGTCTCGTTCAGAATTTGACTCAGAGTCCCATTTACTCCCAGCGTAATTCTTCCTTTTGGGCTTACTGCCATTTCTAAAGTGTTCGGAAAGACTGCCTTTCGAAGTTCTTTTTTTTGAACGAGGACGTTCCTGTTCGGGCTTGGATTTCCCTCCATCTCTGTTTTTCTCTTGTTTATTATTTGTTTCCTTTTGGACTTGCTTCCCTTTTTCCTGGGCTGACTGTGTCACCTGAACACTTGACCGTTCACTGTCTGAAGAATAATCTAAAGATGACCTGCTTTCGCTATACTTCCTCTGAGACGAAGACTTATCTCTGCCTTTCACATATTTATTGCGAAATATCTTTTCAGAGCTGCTGCTGCGCCTTTTATTTGAAGTGTTATTTTTTTTCCCACTGGGCCTAAGTTTTCTCTTGGCTCGCCTTCCGGCGTCACTGCTGACAGAAGAATATGAAGACGACCTACTGTACTGTGAGCGATCACTGTACTTATTTCGTGAATGAGATCTAGAGGAGGGAGACCTAGACCTTGAATGGGAACTAGCTACACTTCGTGACCTTGAGTACGATCTGGAGTAAGATCTACTCCTGGAGGATCTGCTTCTTGACCTTTGTGAACTTTCTGAACTTCTATCACTGTATTTTGAATAAGCACTCCGATCACTTTCTGAATTTTTTTCTCTTTTATGGTAGGATGATGAACTACCAGTCTCTTTAATACTTGCTAAACTGTAAGTGCTTTGGATGGGCAGCAAATGGGTTGTTTTTGCTTTCATTTCCTGAATTCGCTCATAAGAGGGTTTCCAGGGCTTCTGCCCAGGCTTCCACCTTGAAGGAGGGGGACTGTCACTCAGTGGTATTACAGGAATATTTTCCGCCACCACTGGCTGTTGTACTATGATGTTTTCATTTTGTGGCACGATCGCTCTTAAAGGTTCTGCTTTAACTGGTTTGTTTTCGCTTAGCTGAGAGGCTGTCCTTCTCGGTGATTTTGATGCCGTCCGTTGGCGCCCTGACTTGGAACTCGATCTGGACTTTGATCTACTTCGAGAATGGGATGAGGACTTTGATGGCGTCCTTGATCTTGAGCTTCCTCTAGAATAAGACTGCGAGTGAGATTTTGATCTGTATGAGTCCCTGCTGGAATGAGTTGAAGAGCTCTGGTCATCCTTATCAGATTTAGACCAATCCCTCTTCAGCGAATGATGAGAGGATAGCGAGGAAGATCGCGACCTCCTTTCTCTGTCACCAGAGGGTTTCATTCGTCGGGTGGAAGACTTTGAGGATTCTATGTCAGACGGTACAATAATCCTTCTCTTCTTAGTCTGTTTGCGTCTCCTGCAATGTTTCTGCTTTTTAGCTTTCTTTTTATGCTTGACCTTTTTCTCTTTTCTGTGTTTTTTATGGTGACTGTCAGAGTGTCTCGCTGTACTAAGGTCTGAATAATATCCACTGTAAGACCGTGACCTTGATCTTTGGGACAAGCTTCCTTCATCCCATCGGCTTGAGCAGGGGTCACTTAGCCTGCAGAAAGAACACAATACACATGCAGTATTTGCAAGCATGATTTCTATGCTTTAAAATTAAAACATGTTCATTGTCAATACAAATGCATTGACAAAGGCCCAGTTACCCACAGAGCACTGACCCCGTCGACACTTTCCGCACACGTAGGAAGGACAACGCACTTACTGGTTGGCCTGGTCCTGACCTGACAACTGCAGACCATGGACAACTGCTAATGGAGCCACTTACAAAAGGATTTTTTCCAAAGCTAAGCATAGCATTTCAACTTTGATAGGAGAATGGTTTTGAAAACCAAACCAACCAACCAGGAGAGCACTGCTGACCTCCTGAGTTCCTGGCTGCGGTCATCTCCTAACCCTCTGCCTCCAGGAACAATGTCCAGCCAAATTCCCCAACAATTCTGTTGGTTCTCTGCCGATACAGGACAGCCGCCTGAACCCTAAGAGAAACCTCTTTTGCTCCAGAAGCTAACAAGGTTGTTGCTTTATCTCAGCCCCACAGAGTAATCAAGGCCTTCCCCTAAGGCTTAAACTATTTACTATGGGCACTGGGGGGAAAATTCACGAAAATAGACATGGGCTTTACAGTCCCACTGGCTGCGTCAGGGCTCTAAACCAAGAGTTCTCAGGGCCACGGTATCTGAACTGTTTCCACACAGCGGTGCGCCTTTTCCTTCCGTTTCCAATTTCAAATATGCTATAGGGCGCCCAGGCCAATCAAGAAAATTTTGCCATAAACAACTATAGAGGGTCCCACTGGTATATTTTCATTTTTTAGTATATTTTCACTAGCTATTCCAAGGCCAGTCCCATTTCTAAAATAACTGTTCCCTTGTGGGGTGTCACTGAGAGTAAGAGACGCATATACTTCTGAAGAAGCAACAGTCCCTGGGTCAGAAGTTAATGCACATGCTGGGTACAGATTTTCCCATCTACCAAGTCATTCATCAGTAACTAAGAAACCTTGCTGTTAAAGTACCTGCTATATAATTTTAAGTCCTGATTACTTCTAAAATTGAACAAGAAATCTGTAAGAGATTCAGCAGGTTTATAGTCTTGGGAAGAGAAAACAGAACACCTCTTGGAGAATAGTACTACTTTCACTAAGTATTCCCAAATGTATTTTCTGGTCGCTGACTCATTTTAAATGTAAATCTTCAATGAAAAGTCCAAAATTAAGTCTCTAGCCCCTGAACACTTAGAATACAGCAGATATTGGATTGTGCGCAGACTCAAAGCTCTTACTTATCTCCTTTACTCCATTTCTCCCCACTTGGCGGTCTATATGCTCTCAGCCTCTGCATCTCCTCTTTCCAGTGAGGGGGTGTCTCGCTGCTGTCGTCGTCATCTGACTCGGAGCAGGATCTGGATCTCGGAGGTGTGTGATAGCGCTTTCAAAACAAAGACAGGAGCTGCTGTTTTTAAAATACCCCTCAGTCACAGGCCGCTACAGGACAGAGTTAGGTGTAAGACCCAATCTCAGACCCCACTCAAAGGCAATAATGACTGCAGTACAAAAGGATGATATGAAGTTATGTCAGACATAAGCAACTAAAAGAAACGGGAAGGGCTGAGATTTACCTGTAATCACACGTGAAAATTTCCTCTTCGAAGTCCCAATGGTTACATTCATTAGCCTAGAGTATTCAGCATACTAAGGTTTCTCAACATACTCACTGGTTGTTTCACATGTTCATTTCATACTTAAACCCATTCAAACATGGTAGTAAACTGATCTAATAGCTATACCTTCCCATAATTGTGTAGAATACAACTAGCTCCTTGAACGGAGTTTGGATTATACCTATAATCAAAGCTAGCATTTTGCCTACAGGTGAAAACATTTTACTGCTTAGATAATTTGAAAAAAGAAAAGTCTTAACAAACATACAATTGTACCCCTTCCTTTAATCTTCCGTCCAGACTTTGATACAGATGGTTTCTGATCACTTACAGTGGGTGTAGCATCAGGAATCTTCCTGGAAAAGGTGATTGAAAATTAAAAATAAGCAAATGTAGGCAGTTTTCTTAATGTTTACATGTAGAGTTTATGCTCCTATGATACAAAAACACTTCATTTAGATCCAACACTTATGTAGAACAAGACACTCCACATGACCTTATTTTTCAACCCTTCAAATGCCAAAACTTAAAAAAAAAGAAAAGTAACCCAACTGGTTAGAAATACACGATACTAGTATTTATCTTTTTAAGCACAGTACTATTTTTAAACAAAATCCTCTTTTAGAAGTCTCATGTCAAAACAGTAATGTTCTAAGGGAATCCGGAGTTGTCCCTGACTCATGCTTAATTATGGTTGGTTTTTCAGTTGGTTTTTCTTTTATGTTGTATTTTTTACAGTTCATTTGTCTATACTTCTCTACTGCTAGCTGCCCCTCCCTCACTGCGCTGAATCTGCTGCCTCACCCTACGGGCAGTTTTGAGAATATGAACTTTGTGGCGGCCACAGTTCTCCACGCATATTTAAATATGCGTGAATAAGCATGAAGCTTATTCATGCCTGTTTGTTTTGTGTGTCATTATTAATATAATGGCTAGTTTTCACTGAGTACTTACTATATGTCAGGCATTATGTTAATAAGCATTTTTAAACATGTTTTTTATTGGGTAGAATACACATAAAGTAGAGTTGGTTCTTTTAACCATTTTAAAAGCGTACAATTCAGTGGCATTAGTTACATTCACAATGTTGTACAACCATCACTCCTATCTTTCCAAGAGTTTTTCATCACCCCAAATCAAAACTCTACCCATTAAGCTCTAATTCTCCATTGCCCCCATTCCCTCAGCCTCTGGCAACCACTAATTTATAGCCAAATAATGAGAGGGAGGGAGGGAGGGAGGGAGGGAGGGAGGGGAGGGGGAGAGAGAGAGAGAGAGAGAGAGAGAGAATGAGAATCATTCTTGTATGGATGGACACTTGGTTTGTTTCCACCTTTTTCCTGTTGTGAATGTTGCAATGAACTCTGGCAAACAGTTATCTGTTTGAGTCTCTATTTTCAGTTCTTTCGGGTATAGAGCTAGCAGTGACATTGCTGGGTTACATGGTAAATCTATGTTTAATTTTTCAGGAAGCACCACACTGTTTTCCACAGCAGCTGCATCATTTTACATTCCTACCAGCGATGAATGAGGAGTCCTAGGGTTTTATTGTTTTTTTAATTTTAGCCATTCTAGTAAGTGAGGAGTCATTATCTCATTGTGGGTTTGATCTGTTATTTCTCTAACAACTAATGATATTAAGCATCTTTCCATGTACTTACTGGCCATTTATATATCTTCAATATAAGAAGTCATTGCCAAATCCAAGGTCGTTAAGATTTATTCCTATTTTTTTTTTTCTAGGAGTTTTATGGCTTTAACCCTTACATTTAGGCTGTTCACCCATTTTGAGTTAATTTATGCATAGCATGTGAGGTAGGGATCCAACCTCATTCATTTGCATGTGGAAATCCAGTTGTCCCAGTACCGTTATTGAAAAGACTATTCTTTCTCCATTGAATGGACCTGGCACCCTTGTCTAACATCAATTGGCCACAGATGTATAAGCATTCCATGGGTCTCTATGTCTCCTCTTAATGCCAGTATCACAATATTTTGATGACTGTAGCTTTGTAGTAAGTTTTGAAATCAGGAAGTATGAGTTCCCCAACTTTGTGCTTTTTCAAGATTATTTTGGCTGTTCAGGACCCCCTGCCACCTCATATGAATTTGGGTTTTGACTTTTCCATTTCTACAGAAGGGTTGTTGGAATTTTATAGGGATTCCACTAAATCCACAGTTCAGTTTATAAGTGTTGACATCTTTATGATATTCCTATCCATGAATATGAAACATCTTTCCACTTACTTAGGGTCTTCCTTAATTTCTTTCAACAATATTCTGCAGTTTTCACTGCCTTAAGTGTTTCATCTCTTTGATTAGATTTATTTCTAAGTATTTTATTCTTTCAGATATCATTTTAAATGGAATTGCTTCTTAATTTCCTTTTCAGATTGTTTGTTGCTTGTTGTTAATAAGCATTTTAAAGGCATTCGATCATTTAATTCTTATAACAATACTAGGGGGTAGATACTATTATATCTCCATGTTGAAGAATTTTACGTTTAAGTGATTTAAAATCTTGCTCAAGGTCACAGAAACAAATGAAACTCAACACTTACAACAATCATATAGGGCTTTCTAAGGGTCTGGGAATCTGGCTCCAGGTAATTCTAACTATAACTACATTATAGTTTTTTCAGTCATGTCATACGCATGACATCACTTGATTCTCACAGTGAGATAACTAGGTAGTCTTGGTAGGCAACTGTTGGCCCTATTTTCCTCATGAAGAAAAAAAGGTACTGAACACCAAATGGTTGCCTACAGATGTTCAGCAAGAATTAAAGTCCACCTGGAACCTTTTAGATACTGATCCAGTGCTGCCCCACCCTGTCCCTCTCAACAACACTCTGATTTGATTTGCTGTATGGCCCAGAAACTGGTATTTTTTAAAGCTTGCTAAATTACTCTAAAGTGCAACTGAGAACAAATGAACTAGAGTAAGTGTGGAACCCAGCTTCTGCTAAGCAAACTTTGAGTGACAATGAGCTTAACTGTTGGTAAGTCAGCAAGGTGGCAAGCTCCCCATGGCTGGCAACCCGTGTTTCTTATCCTTGCATATGCTGGGTTCTTAAAGCACACTGAATTCTAGCTCCCAAACGCCTGATCAAAACCTCAAAGATTCTAATAATCTAGATCAATCTGCTCTCTTTATAGGACACAACTACCCGCCAATTATGACTTAAAATAATTCCGCACACAATAACTTCCTGAGATGTGAGCAAAGAAGAGTCATGACCAAATAAACTTAGCAGCAGCGTTCCATCACAACTGCAGGACGGTGGTATGAACTACTTTAAACAATACCGGATAACAGGGGTCAGCAAACTTTTTCTGTAAAGAGTCCACGAGTATTTTAGGATTTGTAAGCCAATATATTAAGGCTATTATGTAGGCACTTGTGTAACAAGGTGGGGGGAACCCCCAAATTTTCACAACTATTAAATTAAAATATAATAACTGAATTATCTTTTTTTGTTTTTGTATTACACATCTCCTAATGAGAGGATTTAAATGGGGGGGGGATAACATTTCAGTCAATCAGGGTCCATAGTGTTTCCTATCAAAATAGATCATGTTAATGCTGTTCATCTGGTAATGATGACCTGTAATGAGGTTTTACATACTTTGTTTTTGAAAATATCTTTTGGCCTCATGGGTACCATGTGTGGCGCCTGTAACACTGAAGAGCTGCAACTGCATTACTGGGATGTGCAGCGTTCCGAGCAGAGTATGAAGCAACGACGCCCCCCTCACCCCCAAACTCTGCGGCCACTACTCAGTTCTGCCGTGGTACAGAAACGGGACAAGAAAGTCACAAACAAATGACTTTGCTGTGTCCCAGTAAAACTTTATTTATGAACACTGAATTTCACATAATTTCTAGTATCACAGAATATTATTCTTCCTTTGATTTTTTTCCACAAACATTTAAAAACATAAAACCTGTTTGCAGCTCATGGCCTACACAAAAAAAGAGGCAGTAGGCCAACTGTGGTCCATGGACTATAGTTTTGCCAACCCCTGTCACAGGACACTGAATTGACCTTTCAAGTTTCCTACTTTCTGAAAGCCAATGGATTTGATCAATGAACTTGATATCTTGTCTTTTAAGAAGGGTCCCACTAAAATTTATTCACAAGCCAGAATTTTTAAAAAAGAAAACACCAGCATCTTAAGCTATTAATTAAAATGCCAGCATCTTAAATATTAATTCAAAGATACACCCAATTTTGTAATAACTTTATAAAATGAGACAATTCCAACCTTAAAAATATTTAATAAACTACATAATAACCTTATGCAGACACCTGATTGTGAACAGGGACATTTGCAAAACTTCTCAACCTTTAATCTAACTTTTCAGAGGGAATTTATCCATTGCATCAGCAATATTATTATATTTCTGTTTACTCTTCACACAATACTTCTTTTAATAATTCTAAACTTGAATCTAATATACAAAATACATTAAATACTATCTTTTGAGAACCAAATCTAAAGCTATACATTAGCTTTTCCAAAGTAGAGGAGTTATCACCAAGGAAGTTAACAACAGTTAACACACTTATGATACTAAATTCTATCCCCAACTTCCATACAATTGATTTTACACTATTCAAATTGTAACAAGTGTTTTATTCCTCTACTGGATCCAAAGAGTTCAACGAACTTTGTTCTGACAACTAAAACGTCATGTCTAATGAAAAGCCAAGTAAATAAGGTTAGTGACGAAACCTCTGCAGGCCTCCAACAAGAACTTCTCCCCGGACCAACGTGCTCGCTGCCCTTCCTGTAAGAAGAATGTGAATTCTGAAAGGCAGGGCCCATGCCATTCTTTAATCTGGAATCTGCACAGCTACCTTTCAAAGCGCTTTGGCTGCGGGCCGTGCTCAGTGAGTGTGTGTGGGACCCAATGACCTGATGAAACCACCACTCAGACACGCAAACACAGGTTAGCCGTCCTACTTACGGTTCAGGTTCGACTGTGACAAGGGGCATATCTCTCCTCAGTAAAAACCGGTTCTCAGGCACTGGGGGTATCTCTTCTGGGCGGACCACAGGCTTTTCCCTTTTAGCATTTGAATCGACTGACCTTTTTCCATTGGTATCACTTCTCTCAGAGTGACTTAGAAAGAACATACCAAGTCATCAATTAAGATATGTAATGTTTGCATTTCATAATAAAAGCACATCAAGTTAGCTATTAAATAGCAAAACTACTGATACCTTACGAGTCTCACTCAAAAGCTTTATACAGTTTTCTCAAAGAGAACATATAAAATACCAACTCAAGTCAAAATCCACAGTACTAAAAGTCTGAAAATTGTCAAATGAATCCTAACTTTCTTAAAGAGTTTCAGGGATCTTTGATATGAAATGTCTGTGCTACCCTAGATTTGCCAGATTTCAATTTACATAAAAAATGCTATCCTTTTTCAACAATAGGTAGAAGCAATGCTAAGTTTACAGAATTATACATACTTTATTTTCACCATTCCAGGGAGGTTTTTTTTTTTTGTTTTTTTTTTAAGGTAAGACTATTCTAGGGTTTCACACTTACCCTTTCGGGCTCACTACATGTTTATTCCTTGGCTCTTCTGAACTGCTTGCTTCCTTTCGTCTCTTCTTAGAATGTTTAACTTTTGGCCTCCTCTTATGTTTCCTCCTCCTGCTTCTCTCCTGTTCGATTTCACTTTCTGAAGATGATTCTGAAGAGGAAGAGGAATTGGAAGAGGAATCCGATTCTTCTGAATGAGTCGGTTTCTTCCTTTTTTTCTCAAAAACTTTTAAGAAACAGTAACAAAAGTATTAGTACTGGAGTGTCTACCTTTCAGAGCAAAAAATGTGATTGTCAAATATTATAAGACATGCTTTATGTATAGCAAGCTAAAAACAAAATTTGTATTATCAGCTTGAAAAAAAGTTTATATAATCAGCCAAGAGGCAACAAAGCCCTTGCCTTTATGAAGTCTAGTGGGGTCATATAAAAAAATAAGTAACTGCATAATATGACAAATAATAAATGCAAAAAAAATAAAAAAGCAAGCAGTGTAGAGCGATTAGGGAGTCAGGGGTAAGTTAGGGTACCATTTGAGCAGAGATGTAGAGGGAGTGAGGGAGGGGGTCAGACAGATTTCCGAATGAAGAGTGTCCCAGACAGAGGAAAGAGCCAGCACAAAGCCCCTGAGCACTTGGCATGTCTGAGTAGTCACGGTCAGCACGGCTGGAAGACAGTGAATGATGGGGAAGACGTCAGAAACAGCAGAGACGCCGGCAGCCTGCCAGGTGGCTGTCCAGATTTCAGCTTTGGCAGACTGAGAAGGGAGCCTTAGGAGGCGACCACTCTGGTGGCGGTGAAAGCCCAACTGTAGAAGGCCATGAATATAAGCAAAGGGGGCCAATTCGGAGGCTACTGCCACTGGGAAAACATTGCAGAGGAGTCAGGACTGGCAAAAAGAACACTCATGAGGCTACTGCAGAAAGCCAGGTAAGAGATACTGGTGCTGTGGACCAGGTAGCAGGGGAAGTGAAAAGAAGAGATAACATTTGGTAAGACTTGCTGAGGGACCAGGTACAAGGTAGGGCATAGAGGTCTCAGGGCTACTGCTGTACCACTCGTATGAGGTTTTTCCACCACTGAAATCGAGGAGGCATCTTTAAGTTACAGTCTTCAATACCAGTTACCTGTATGCTAGCTCCCTTTACCTCCCCAAACTCTTACCATCTTTTGTTGATTTCGTGGCAAGAACCCCACAGTCAATAACGCGCACATCTGCATAAGGTCTGCTTGCAGCATCAGTTTTCAGATTTTCAATTTGCTCGATGACTTCAAAACCGGAGATAACTAGTCCGAAGACAACATGAACCCTGTCATAATACAAATTCAAGAAAGAAATGGTTTGCTCATAATTAAGCCACGAGCAATAATCAAGAATCAAAACATCTGTTATAAATGATATGTCCACAGACTCGAAAATAAAAGCACAGTGTCTGATGTATGAAGGGAATTAGACCTTGAGATCCCCTTCATAAAAGGGGGAAAAAAAATTTACCCAAACTGGGACTTAGTTTTCTGCCTTTAAAACAATGGTTCTTAATTATTTTATGGTAAAGAGGCCTCGGACAGAATGTGCCTGCTGCTCAGAGCCCACCCTGCAGGGTTACTCTGTGGCTGAAAGGCCCATCCACGGGCCCCGGCCAGGACCCCTTCAGGGGCACGAAAGCCATGGAGTCCAACACCACAGCACCAAGGGATCCTTAAGGAAGAGTCTGGCTATGAGATTCGCCCAGAGATCGAGAGCGCCCCCTTGAGGGTTCACCCAGGTCCAGTGTGCCTGGGAACAGCCCCCCGCAACACCTCCCCGAGGTGATAAGAACATAACTCTTACCCATCCAAGTGCGGGGCAGGTTTTGTGGTGCTGTGTTATGAACGTCAACACAAGGAAGATGGCAAAAGCCAGGTGTTCAGGTGAACAGAGCAGAAGGGTTTAACACAGACCATGTAGAGAACAAAGAGGTAAAGATAAAAAGACAGGGGAAAAAATTAAACATGATATACATGGAAACTTTTACATGTAAACCTTAAAAACAGCAAGAGTAGCCATTTTACTGATAAAAACCTCAAAATTATAACGAATTACAAAACCATATCTATTTCTCCAATATGAAGATTATATATGTATACCAATATATGAAATGGGTTTGAAATACACAGCATAGACATTAAAATTAAAGTTACTCTCAATTCCAAAATAACAACAAAAAGAAACAAACTCGACACGTGTAAACAGGGATAAAAAGCACCTGTCACTTGCCCTACGGAAAGGAAAGCGTGGCCAGCACGGGCCCCACACCCTTGAGTGAGTTCTCCTACTGCGCGTGCGCTGCCGAGGCGAGCACGAGACTTTCCCCTATTTCTCACCCCGAGTCAGCATGTGTCTTCCGGGCGGGCAGGCGGGAGTTAGGCCTCAGGAATTCTGTTTCCAGAATTTCCTGCCTCTCTGCCTTCCCCTAAGGTGAGGCTCCGCCACCACTCACAGCAACTCTGAAAATGCAATAGGGAGCAAACCTTCCCTCTGCCAGCACTTCTGACAGCAAAGTCAATAATGATGGATAACATGAATAGACATTTCAAATTTCCATGGCCCAGAAAATGCTCAACAGGCTTCTTCCACAGTCACAAACTGGCAGAGAGTCACTCTTGAGAAGCCCACGGGTACATTTGGTTAAGATATTTTGAACCCAAGCTGGTTTTCCCATAGCATTTTCACAGATCTTCACACTTGTGAATTGCAGCAAGAAAAAAAAATCAAAAGCAGATACATCTAGACTCAGAAGTATATACCACAAACCTCTTAGTTTTTAAGAATAAGAAATAGATATTTGAGAGAAAGGTCACTGGATATCAAAGGCCATGTTAAAGCAGTCAACTGTACTAGAAGTTCCCAGTTACAATTTAACCTTCATCACAACAATGCTAAAAATCTGTATTCTACACAGAATCTTAACACTTATATTAAAAAATTCAATTCTGTAAGACTGTTACATCAAAAAATTAAAATGTCAACGTAAGTAGTTCTAAAATTATAAAGAGAATCTTGAGTTTTAAAAACCACTAATCTCAAATTTTCCTTAGAAGATTGAGAAGTGGTAATTCAAGCTAGTGTAATAATGAAAATGAATGAAAAGAGGCAGAAGGGGGGAAGGAAAAGAAGGAATAAAGGAAGGGAAGCAGGGAAGGGACAGAGCGAAGGGAGGGAGCGAAGGGAGGGAGCCCTGGCCAGGTTGCTCAGTTGGTTAGAGCATTGTCCCGATACACCAAGATTGAGGGTTTGATCCTAGTCAGGGCACATATGAGAATCAACCAATGAATGCACAAATAAGTGGAATAACAAATTGGTGTTTCTCTTTCTCTCTCTGTCCTTCTCTTTCTCTAAAATCAATAAATAAAAATTTTGGGGGGAAAAAAGAAAATCTAGTAAATTGGTGAGACACTAATGCTTAAATCACTAAACTAGCATCCAGAAACTACCTTGGTCAATATCTCTAAGCCAGAAATGTGCTTCCCACAATTATAAAACTTAACCAAGGCACACTAAAGATAGGAAGACATCAGTCTGTACTCTAGACAGTGATTCCACTGTATGAAGGATACAAAGAGGTAAAAAAAATGTAAAGGTAACAATGTTCTGCAATGTAAAGGCTCAGTCTCAAATGTGCAGCAGTGAAAACGGGCAGTTTGTTGGTTAGTTTATTCCTCTTGATCCTTCCTCTCATGACACTCAAACTGTGATACTGGGGAAAGCCTACAGATTTATCTAAAACACACGGAACCCAATTCAATTTGCTACCCTGGCTAATAAAAGTGCTGTAAAGACACCTTATGGCAAACCTTTGGAGCCAATGGTAAGAGGAAAATATTCTAGCTAACTGCATGATGTACAAACATACTACTTGAGACTCAATGTGAGGATGGAATAGCTACCTTTATGACAGATTTGAGTTTTGTTTTTAACTCCAGTGGAAACTGAAGACAAATGAACTTGGTCCTTTACTGCTTAGTGAGGAAAACAAACGAAGCCAGGAACAATTCTTTCAAGGACAAATTTCAGATGGCCCTCTGTGCCTCAACTGGTGTAATTAAGTCCATCAACTCACACCTGCATTTCAGGATGCAGCACTGCCAACTTATACCTTAACTGGGTTAGACTACATACTAAGAATACCGAAAGGGTCTTAATGAAAGAAGGCCCCTGGGATTCCCAGCCTCTGTTCCAGAAGCAGAAATTCCGAAGTAGAGCAGGCTTCCTGGCACTGGACGTGGATAAACAGAGGATGTTGCCCAATGGGGCAACACAGGGCAGGGGGAAATGATGTGCTCAGTCCGAGCTCTTCAATTCTATTAAAATGGACAAAGAGATCTCATTCCACCAGCTCTGAATTGCACTGATTTTTCAAAACTACAACTGGAAGGCCCCATGCAGTGATGGCATATGCTCAGTAAGTTCAGACCTTAAGAAGGCCAGAGGCTATCATTTGTTCATGTTCGTGAAAACATCTGAAGGAGAAAGAACCACAAAGAACATTTCAAATGATAAAAGCTTTCAGTATTTTCATAGTCTCCTGTCACTTAAGACATTGATTTTCCAGGGTCCTCTAATCTTTGAATCTGCTTTAAAATTACAGGGGTGGGCAAAAGTAGGTTAGTAATAATAATAAATGCCATAATAATTAATAAATAATACAAGAACAACTCATGTATTCACAACAGTAAACCTACTTTTGTCCACCCTGTATATGAACAAGGGCTCATTTAAACCTTGTCAACTCTAGAAATTGAAGTGTCACTGTTACCTCCAACATTTTTATACCATTATCAAAGAAGCTTTTGTCCTTATACAGAATTTAATAGTCCTGTACTAAAATGAAATCTAAACCCATTATATACAATGTAACACTCCCACCCCGAAGATGTGTGGAAACTTAGTAGAAACAAGCCACTGAAATTAAAACACACTTCCCAGGGTTAACCATGAACAGTAACACACTTGTTTTACATGTATTGCTGTCATACAGATCAAGCAGAGTTTTTTTTTCTCTTAAAATTGTTCAATGCACATAACAATAGGATTAAAGAGATAAAGGCAAAGAAAGAAAAAAAGAGAGCCTTAGAGTAATGAGACATTACCTTTGGAGCGCACGGTGTAACACTCTTTCTGTAAATTTTACACAAAAATGGCAAGAAATAAATTGTAATACACTTTTAAGACAAGACTGAATCTATGTTTTAATATCAATATAACTTTGAAATTAAATATTTTCAAGTTTTATGCAAAGCAAGAAAGCTTTTTAAAATGGAGGGCTCTAAATTTTCTTTCAAGTAAGTAAGCATGTAGAGATGAATTACACTTAGGAAAAGCATTGTGGCTGAGGTTGGAATCTGCCCAAATCCTTAACAATGTAACACTAGAGTGTTAATACCTATTAACAAAATATGACCTTTTGCTTCACAACTGGCTAAGTCAACTAACATCTTCCTCAGAAAGAGAGTAACGTATCCTGAATACATACATAAACACAAATCTTGAGTGCCCAGAAGCTGTTCACACCAGTGGAAAGCAAAGACTCCAATTGAGAAAACTGAGTCGAGAGAATTCAAAACAAAATCCCCGGGAACTTTTTTACTAATTCACCTCAGCGGAAGAACCTTGCGTGCTTGCACGTGTGCAACTGTTTTTCCGCTGCACAGCACAGCAGGCCGCTATCAGAAGGTATCAGGCACATGTTCGGACTACAGTTACTGCTCATTGGCATGTACACGTTGTAGCTGTTAAGTCACTGAAAATAATAATAATAATAATAAAAAGCCATAACTAGAATTTTAAGTATTTTCTCAAAAGAGAAAAGGGCAAGAGATAAATGTGTAAGAGTATAGCAAACCTTGGCGACACACAGTACTTTCTTTTCCTGTCTAATCTCTGATTTTCCCCATCAGCTGTTTTTTTTCCCCAAAGAATATACACTGCCTGACCAATTCTAACTCAACCTTTAAACATACCTATTATTACACAGGTCAAAAACCTTATTATATACAGCAGACAAAATTTTTTTATGGGGGTTTTGAAAATATTAAATATTAAAATACTTAAAAACAAGCTTTAATTTAATGGGAAGGAAACAAAGGTAACCAATTTCTGTCTAACGGACCCTTTCATGTGCAGTGTTTTCCTCCCAACCCCTGAGACTATCACAGCACCATGGAGGCGGCACCAGCAGGCTGCACGGCAACAAAGCTGTGTAAGGGCAACAGAGACCGACCACGCCACGGCACAGTGCTCTACTTATGTGTCCCAAAAGTCACCGAGATAGGAGAGCTTTCAAAAATTCAGCGCTCATGTTCACTAATATCCACCGATGCCTATATCACATAAATACTAAATAATACTAAGACTGAATTAAGGATGACACTTGATATTCACCGAACTTGGCTTATGGTTAAGTTTCATGAACATCTCTGTTCATGAAAAATCTTGAAATTAACATACGAAGGTATTAGCCAAAACAATGGAAGGAAAAAGCTAGAACTTCTCAGGTTATTACCACTTACTAGCATTTCTTCCCAAATCTACTTTTGCTACCCAAAACGTCAACAAGCTTTGTAAACCCCTTAAAACCGACCGCCCAACTCCCTTTGCTCCACTGCTCTGAAGTTCAGCACTTCTCTCCCATTCAGGTGAGAAGCCACTTGCACGTGAGATTCTTAAATGACAGAACATATCCTAGAACTTCTTTTGTTTTCCTCCCATAGTCCTACTTAAAGACTGTTACAATGCAAACACTTTTTGATTAAAGTCAAGTTTGACTTTTCTGTATTATCTTGTTTTCTTATCTTTTTATAATTATCATGACCGCCGACAGAGACTTCTCCAAAGCTCTGTGGGTCTACTCCGTGGCTGTGACTTAAGGCCTGCACAGAGTAAGAGCACATGGGACAAGGGCCATGGCCACACGCCTGAGTCCTGGCTGCAGCGGATGGGGAGCCTGCTGCTGCGTCCCCTGATCTAGGTGCAATGAGCCGAAGCTTCTTGGCAGCACCTTCCAGACTGCTAAAAACGAGGCAGTGACAATGGTTTCCTTTAGGCACGACTGTTTGCATAAAAATCATTCCCCACATTCAGAAACATAGCATCAACCTACAAAACTTTCTTCTTTTTATGTCCACATTTCCGCTCTGAAATGCTTACTTTATCTTTGAAAGATTACTACTTTGCAACATACCTATTTTATTTTCCAGGAATGTCTGATGCTTCTAATGCCTAACTAAAATAAATTCAGAGCAGAGTGGTCAATAATATTTTGTAGTTTACAAGGTGCAGCATTCTCTTTCTGGCTATCATTTTTTTCTAGATTATGAATAAAATTTCTATATAACCTGGACTTTATATGGTTTTTCTTCTTTATTTAGCATTATCTACAGAATGAAAAGGACTAGATCTCTAAATCCTTTCCACTCAAAGACTTTGTAGTTCTATAGCTTTTATTGTGGTTTTTCCTAATCTTTGGCTTAAAACATAAATAATAAAAAGGACAACATGACTAAATACTGAGTTAACTTGGTTACTACTTTGGTCCCTGTTCTTTGAATTCCTTCAAAAATACCTCAACATGAGCCATTATTTCCTCAGCGATTCATGGGGATTGTGCCATATATCACTTCTCTCATGTTTCTTGAGCAGTACTAGTCCAAAAAGAATGGGTTTTCTTCTATTTAGACCCCCTAAAACAAAATCATTGTAACTAATACAATAGTAGATATAGGCAGTTATTGCAAAAATCACAAATAGCTTCATAGAAGAAAAGCCAATTTTCATCATATATGTAACTACATGCAAAATTATGTGTAATAAAAATGCTGTAGGCATAGGAAGGGGAAGTTTTAAATGTGATAAGTCATGAAGACAATAGTTACTGCACAAACCACAAGAATCCTTGAGGAACATTTTGAAAATACCCATACTAATAGCATTAAATTTACTCCCTCGGAATTGCAAAATAACAGATTTAGAACATAAACTACGAATCCAATTTTGCAAGACCAGATTGAAAGTCCTTCTTAAGCTTATAAACAGGAACTATGAGGACAGTTCTTGGCATTTCACCATCCCTTCGGACACTACCCTTCTTTTTCCAGAACTGCTGCTCAAGGTGCCACGGAAGGAGCTGTGCGGGAAGGTGAAGGGCAGGGAGCCATCAGGCAACAGCTCTGTGACCGTCGGCCCCAAACCTCAACCTCTAGAGCCATTACCTGTGATCGCATACAAAACCTGAAGACAGCACATTTTACTTTTTTACTACTTCCGACTCCAAAAGGATTTGCAAAGCATGGATTTTCAAAGATTTTTCTTTTATGGAAAAAAAAAACCCCTCCATTTTACTATCCTTTCTATAAAAGCAAGGAAGCGTTTCGTTTAGAAAGGTGACTGTTGGCCTGATTTTTACACTGCAACCCAAGGGGGACTGGTACTTTTAGCCAGCATTAAAAAGCACATTCATTAAAAAAAAGAGAGAGATTGGGATTTTTTTTTTTTTTGAGTGTGCAAAAGCATTCTATTACTTCCAAGATTGCTTTTAACTGGAAACTCATTTCCAGAATTAAATTTCAAACCACAAGTAGAAAATTTTCTTTCAATCACAAGTTCACAGTGATTTTAATGCCATCTACAGTTATTTATGAAAACAAGCTTAAAATATTTAATCTTAATTTACTAAAGTTAAAATTTCCATTTGGCATTCCTTGTCAAAAATAGCAGTCTAATGTAAAATTAAGTAATGGCCTTAATTTTGTTTTGACACTGAACATTCCTAGAAAAGACTTAAACAAGTGCTAAATAACACAGAAACAAGACACTCTAAATTTTTTGAAGGGAGAATCTCATTTACTGGATTTTAATTAATGTATGTAGGTGTACCAGTTGTAACTCTAACATTTTATAAACAAGCTAATCAGTAAATAACAATGAGAAGAAGCTGCTGCTACCTGATAAATCAAATTTTACATGTACTTATATTAAAAAAAAAAAAGAAATCTAAAAGAAACTTTAGAGCCCTCAGATAGTAGCTTCTTGACCAATGAATCATTAGTTTATCACATTCAGTTCAGATAAGCTTAAAAATGGAAATGGGAAAACTCAAAGAGCAAACAGCTTCTATATTTAACTACCATATAAGAAGTTTTTCAAAATATATCACACAAGTTGTTTTTTTTTTTTTTGGCCCCAAAGAAGGTTAAGAATAGAAAAATATAAAGAAATGTAATAACTAGTATTCTCTGCTTAAGATCTTTCTTTTTCTCTGTACCACTCCAAGTATCATCACCTTCTCTCAGCTTTCCATTTTTAGGACATTCTTAGGAACAGAATGCCCCTTATCTGAACTTTATCAGGTCATGTTGGAAATATATTTTTCAGACAAATTAAAAATGTGAGACTTATTATATATGAACTCCTTTAAAGACAGGGAAGCGCCATTCATACTCATCCATTTAGAAAGATGACCCCCCAATAAAACTTTTTCTCCAATATACATAGCACAACTGTTGAGATTTACTCACAATCTAAAGCATGAAACTTCCAGCTAGACAGTTATCTTTCATATTTTACATCAGAGGATTATATAAAAACAGGGTTTTGGAATAGCTGTAGTTAAGGATAAAATTAAAAGTGTGCCGAAGGTCTTTCAGACAAGAAATAAGTAGTAAGGTTCAGGCTGTGCATGCACATATATATAAAGGTGTTTGTTTCTTAAAGAGCAAATTTAGCATGCTGAAGTTTCCAGAGTGATAATCTCATAAATTTTGGTGGAAATGACAACATTGAGCTAATTAAATCATGCATAGAGATCTCATAAAGTTTGAGTTTTTTAAAATACTGGCTTTAGAGCAAATTACTTATTTCCATACAATATCAGAAAATAATGCTCTCTCTCTCAAATTGGCTCAAAGAGACACAATAGAAGAAAACGCAACTCTGCAAGGGCACATCTGGTAAGTACCCTTACATGTTCATCAGTAGTTGCTATTCCAATCCAGCTTTGGTAACTAAGCCCCCAAATTAGTTGCCAATGTCTCTTTGTAAGATGACAGCCTATTTTGAAAATAATGTACATCTTCAAGTTATGTCTTTTAAGCATCGTTCTTCAAATCCAGGATATTTGCTTAACACAGAATTGGTTGCTAGAGTGTGCCAGTTACTATAACATCAGAAATTAAAAATGAAATCCAAGTTCACAGAATCCTAGCAATAAATTTGGTTTAACTATACCATCTTTCTCATGAACAGCGCTTCTCTGTTTAAAAGCTCATCTCTGAATTATGCCTACTCACATGAAAAACTGGGAACCATTGGTATGTTTCCCTCGATTTGCCATTGACAAAAGGAACGCTCTGTCATGTTTGAGAATAAAGTTTTCATCTGTTTGAAGAAAACACAAATTTGTCAGTCTCCAATTATAAGCCACTTTTAAAGTGTCATGTTCACAGAAATTAATAGAAAGCAAAGGATGAAATTCCTCTTCTGGTCAGTACAGATACTTGACTGAATATTTAGAAAAAAAGTTTTAACTAATCAATTAACAAAAGCATAAAAAGACCAAAAATTACTACTTAAAGCCTTGAGGAAAAGAACAAGTATTTAATATTTTATACAAACAGCCTTAGAACAGTCACTTTTAGTAGTAACATATTTGGCTAAATATTTAAACTATAACTTTCAGGGAAAACTAATAAAGAAATTTTAGGAAAAAACCCTCTATTTAGCAAAGCTCATTTCCTTCAAATTATCCTGCCTAATAGTACTGTACGTTGGAGAAGTTTAATAATCCTCTTATGTGCTTAATTTCTATATGGTAAATTTAGTACTTAACTGAACTGAAGCTAGACTATGAGAGCAAAAACCAAGAAATTACATAAATTAAGTTGTAGAGACATGCCTAAATTAAATGTGTGGATTCCTTCTAATCAATAGGATCACAAAATTATCTAAGGAAGAAAGTCCTGTAAAAACAACTTAAATGGCGAAATACAATTTTAAAATACACAGGTATTTGCCACAGGGACCAACCACATTAAAGTGGCCTACTGGCTATAATTTCGAAGTTACATGCTAACAGAAGCAGCTAAAGAGCTGTTTCTTTACTAGTTTTAAAGGAAAAACTGTCATAAAGATAACTTAAGAGATTATTTTAATTCCAGCAGAAATATCTTGAGAATTTAAACTTGCTTTTAACATTCATACAAACAAATCTTTCTTTAGAACAAACAGAAACATAGAAAACTTTAAAAAATGATTACCTTGGGAACAGGCTTCTGAAAAAGAGTAGTAATCCATTTTCCCCCAAAAGAAATATAAAAGACTATTATAACACTGAAGCTATCATGGCATTAAGACCTTGTAATATTGGATCCCATTATAAATCCCTGCAACTGACTTTTCTAAGGCTTTTTGGGGCAAGTGCAATAGTTAGATTTATGCAAATGCTACTACTATAGGAATAATACACAATCATATAGTTCTAATGTACAAAAGAAAATATACAAACCTTGGAGAAGAAAGAAATACCAACTTTTATTCAAGACATTGCTTGGTTTAGGGGGAAAAAAAAGACACAACTAGATTCTTTTTCCTGATGTGGAACTAATAACCCATCAGGAAAAGAAAAAAGATAGAGATGTATAAAATAGTACAAAGAATTTTCCAAGTCTTCAAGCAATATTGAAATCCAGCCACAACCTGACCCAGACTGTCCATAAATTTATTAGGAAGGGTGCAAGGGAACAGAATTGGAGTTTGTGTTACTGAGCTTCGTTCTCTTACCTTTTCATTTTGCAAAAGACCACATTCTCTATAAACAAAAGAATATGTTGACAGTTTTAGGCAGGAAGATAGGAGTTTTCATGTATATAGTTGCCTAACCTCCATGCTGAAAGTCATGTTTAACCATAACGTTAGCCTTAATTAATCTTGTCAATTAAGTTATATATTACAATATAATTTATCCCCAAGTTCATGCAAATAAAGTATTTTCATGCAGCATTAGTTTCATGCAAAAAGTGAACTATAAGTAAACCTGTTCTCATTAAAAGTACATGATTGAACTTGCTTTAATGTCAGAACTGAAAAAAGAGACCATAAAATATTAAGGCTTACCTTTAAAATATCCACCATAAATTGATTCTCCACCTTTTCCATTACCTGCAAATAACAAGATACATTAAACTATAATGAAAGTTAAAAACATATTAATATATAAATTACTTTTTATGGTTTCAATATGCTGCAGGAGATAACACCTTGTAAGAGCTCCCATAATCAAATTTCTAACAAACCTCATCCTTTTACAATAAACACTATTAAAATAATTATCGCCACAATCCATTTATTTCAAATAGTAATCACACCAGAAGAATAAATACAATCGAACTGTGCTTTGGCATTCATCATAAGGAAATTCACCAAGTACTTACATTATTAAAATAGCATGCAAACAAAACCAAAAAACTTTGGTATTTTGCTTTTTCATACATTCTTGATTTACAACATTTATCCTCCCAACAACTATTCAATGACCACCTAATGCTTACATTATACTGTAAGTGACAAAATTTATAATGAAAAATAATGAGTACTTTAGAACCCGATAGATTGAGTTATTAGGAGTGTAACTTTTAGCTCTACCTTCACTGAAGTCCCCACCCTGAATCATAAAGTTCTTAACCACACGATGGAATGTAGAACCTTTATAACATAACTTCTTCCCAGTTGTTTTCCCAAGGCCTTTCTCCCCTGGAAAAAAGAGAAGGAAAAAAAAAAAAAAAGAAAGAAAGGAAATTTAGCTGCAAAAGCATCCTTCCATAGGAAGTACCATCCAATTACTCCTTTGTCAAATCACTCCTGTGTGTTGGGCACTGCAGAAGATACAAGAGGTACATGGTATGACAACTTAAAACACAGCCCCCCCTCAGTAATACAAAGTGGCATATAAATGTTAAATTGAGCCCTGGTTGGTGTGGCTCAGTAAATTGAGCACGGGCCTGCAAACAGAAAGGTTGCCAGTTCGATTCCCCGTCAGAGCAAATGCCTGGGTTGCAGGCCAAGTGCTCAGCTGGGGGCCTGCGAGGGCAACCGATCCATATCTCTCTCACACATTGATGTTCCTCTCCCTTTCTTCCTCCCTCTCTCAAAAAAAAAAAAAGTACATAAAATCTTAAAAAAAAACAAGGAAGAGAGAATCTCTAAAAAAAAAAAAAAAGTTAAATTGTGTGGTACAGAGTCTATATGCTACAGGAGAAAAGACAGATAAGAAATTTTTATCATCCTAAGGAAAAAATGTAATCAGGGTGTTGGTACAAAGACTGTGTATGCATGTGTGGATACCCAAGTATGGATTTTAAAATTTTAATTTGCTATTTCTAAGGTAACATTACAGATGTTTCCTTCTCCATTTTCCTTTTAAAAAATTAATCCAGTGTTATAGAACAAAGAATAACTTATCTTTTGCCCCTCTATCTTCTAATCCTAAATTTCTTGTGAAATCTGGATTGCTAAATTTTTTCAGAGAATTGAAACTTTTGACATTCTACCAAATCAGTGTTGAAAATGCTATTATTTTATAAACTACAATGGACAGAGATTTCATTACACACAGTGGTACTTTATTTCTCATTTTTAAAGACCATTTTTTTCTTCTCTCTTCCTTTAAAAAAAAATGCTTTCCTGATTTCACATAGGTGAAAACAACATTTTTTATTTGCTAAAGTCATCTCACAGCCCATTATTTTGTTTTAAGGATTGTATTTATTTATTTTTAGAGACGGGGAAGGGAGGGAGAAAGAGAGGGAAAGAAACATCGATTCGAGAGGAAAACGCCGATCACCTGCCTTTGCACGTGGCAGGAGGACCCAGGCATGTGCTCAACCAATGAATCACATCGGTCAGGGCGCACAGCCCATTACCTTGTAAGGAAAATATCTGCTCTGTTAAACAGGGAAAAACTGTAAGCCATGACTTCCCATTGGAATAATGATTCATTTACCTGAGCATAGGCAAAGGAAGTTTTTGCATGTTTTTGGACATATGTCTGAGAAGAGCTGAAACATAATGCGACCAACTGAAATAAAACACATAGGAAAAAAAGGTAATCAGGTTGATTAAATATACCACATTTTATAGGAAAGGAATAAAATAGATACATAGACTTGCCAAACTGCAAAGTCCATTTTTGTAATTCATTTTAATTTTTAAAAAAGATTTAACAAGAAAGAATTTAACAAGAACTCCACTCTGTGTGTTAGGATTAGAATTCACATGCAGTTGACATGGTTTCAGGCCTAAAAGTGCAAGATTTTAAGTGTCTTTTAGAGAGGCCTTATGTTATTAGAACCCTTGTAGTACAGACCCTTACCTGAACTATTAATCTTCTTTACAAATACTCTCGATAGCAGCTGTCTAACCACCCCTGCCGGGACCTCCCCAGTGATGGGAACACATCATAGCCTAGGACAGCCATGCAGGCCAGTACTGTAAGGAGAAGGTTCTGTCCTCTACGGTCAGCTTTCTACCTTTACGCAAGAACTACTGAGAGACAACTTCTTGAATTGCAACCCACAACTAAAACTCACATTCTATTCCCTGAACGAGCAGACGAGAGAACAGGTTATCATTCCTTAAAAACAGAAGCACCCCTGTGATAAACAGGAAATGAGAAGAAGCAAGTCTGCAAATTCGATTAATCACACCTTAGAGAGGTCCGTCACAAACTTTTTGGTAACGCTTTGGACTTGTATATACTCCTAAAATCATTGTCCTTTTAAAATGTGGGTTATAGTTCCTGCAACTTACTGTGTCATAAATTAAAACTCACACATCTTAGAAACACGAGAACACACAAGGTCAGGTTCCATCCGCTGTTGGGATGGTGCCACCATTACACGCTGCCACCTGAGTTAACTGACGCTGCTGATGCCTCTTTGGAAACTAATAATCCTTTGAATAAATGAGTAAGATCTCAGGAACGTTCATTACTCAACACTTCTTATAATTTAGTGGAATTTAATAATCTTTTAGAATCAATCTTTACTGTCAATAACATAATCTTTTATACATAAGAAGGTTTCTTCCGAACCTTACTGTTATGCCAATAAATACACTGCTCTACAAGGATAAGACTAAAATCTAAAACTGGTTAGTGTAAGCACTAATACGGTATTTTTAAGGTAAAAAAAAAATACATGGCTAAGGACAAAAATAACACAGAGCAAGAATGGCTCCTGACCTTAATCCCAAAATACCAACATGCAGATCCTTAAAAATAGCTAAGATGGGGAACAATACTAAGATTAATCAGTTACTATCAACACATCTAAACACTGGCTAGAGACAGGAAAGCCAAGACACGACTATGTCACACTGTCAGCCTGATCGGGCCACCCGGCGGCGGGAATAAAATCAGCAAGTACGCAGAATCTGGATAAAATCAACATCATCTTTCAATAATATCACTGTTCCTATTTCTCAGAAACCGCTGTACTGGAACCGCAGGTGCAATGCTAAGAAAGGATATGTATGTTACAGACATAAAAGATGTTAGTTTTAAAAATGAGCACTAGTTGGAAAAATGCCGTAGGTGATATCAGGCCATTTACTCAGACATTCTTTACTGACATCTCTCTACGCTCGACAGTCCAGCAGTGTGTGAGACACAGTGCTCTTTGGGGAGCTCCTAGCCTAGCTGGAAGGGACAGGCACAGAGCGCCGCACACTGTGATGAGCAGTCAGTGGTATGAACAAAGAACACTTCTATCCACCCTGGGCCAGGCTGACGTGTGTGAGGGGAGGGTGGCAGGGCCCGTGTCTGTTGTACTCACCTCTCTGTCCCCACTGATGTGCACAGTGCTGGGCACAGAATAAATATTTGAATAAGGATACCAATAAAAATACTTGAAACAAATTTTTTCAAAAATAGAGATTAACAAAATATAAATAGCTAAATTTATAGATCAAAAGTATTCATTATATGCCAGCAAAAGTTATTGTAAGTAGAACAACATCAAGAGATTGCTTAATAAAATCTCTTTATTTTCAGAGATAAAAAGGAAAAGAATCCTTCAAGCATCCCAGCAGCAGAATTATGCTACCCACAGAGAAAAAGAACTCACAGTATAAATAAAACCAACAAGAAAGAGCTGAGTGGGTAAGAAAAGTTACCTTTCCTGATATTTCAGACTTTGCTTAAAATAGATGAAAGAGGAAATACGGGTTTAAGAACACGTAAACATGTAATCACCTGTAGAATTAAAAATGCACTGAATGCCTTTCAAATTATTGTGGTGGAGCAACTCATGTAAAAGGAAGTAGTAAGAGAACACAAGAAAGATATAAGACAAGGTAAGAGAAGAATGAAACAGCTCTATAATTATTTAGGCACCTAAAACTTTTTTCATGTCATTCAATACTCAAGTAAAGGTATCCTCAAGATAGTACAAGTAAAAACTCAAAAGAGAATTTATTTATTGGCTCATGTAGTTAGCTGACAGGGATACTGGCACAGGTTGGAAAGTTGAAAAACTGCAAGACCCAGGCTGTTGGAGTATGAGGTCAGATCTTAAGAGGTGGCAAATCTCACAAAGCAAAAAGTACTGGGCTATCATCCTTCTTTGTCCCACTCAATGCATGCAGTCCTAAATATTTTCGTCAATGAATAAGACCAAAGATAAATTAATCACTCAACTCAGGATAAAAAAGCAATAAAGCTAAGAAAAGTATAAAGAAGGTAAAAGCAGAAATAAATGAAAAACCAGAAAGATATTAGACTTGGTAAATAAATCCCAAAGCTGCCATGGTATAATGGGTAAGAGAGAAAAACTTGGGCCCTGACTAGTATGGCTCAGTGGACTGAGCATCGGCCTGTGAACCAAAGGGTCGCTGGTTCAATTCCCAGTCATGACACATGCCTGGGTTGCCAGCCAGGTCCCCAGTAGGGGCATGTCAGAGGTACCCACACATTGATGTTTCTCTCTTTCTCCCTCTCTTCCCCTTTCTCTCAAAGATAAATAAATAAATATATCTATATATATATATATATATATATAGATATATATTTTAAATGGCTACAAAAAAGAAGGAAAAACTTGGGCTGGAGCTCCGGTTTTGACAGTTGCTAGCTAGCTATGTGAGCTTGGATCAGTCAATACCCACTCTTAGAGTCTCTTTCTTCTATTAAATGGGTTAAACCTGACATCACAATGTTGTATGGGTTAAGACACCTTGCAAAAACACACAGTATATTATCAGAGCCAAGATTATTACCCGGATTTCCAACACATTCTGCTGTTAATAATGTGACTTATCAAAGGCCACCCATGCGAAAATGAACAGAGGCAGAGCCCGAGCCCAGTTTCTGTGTCCTCACCCAGTGTCCTTTCCAACGCACTTGGCTGCCGTCCCAGGTTCTGACATGACTGACACCCCCTTGCCCCAAACATAGCACCCAGAGTGGCTCTCTCATCAAGCGATTAAGAAGCAAGCGGCCCCGCTGCTTAATTTCAGGTCATGTATGAAACTGAACCTTCCCAAAGGTGACGGCATTCTTAAAAAGAGGATACTTATGTACTTCAATGGAACAGAACTGCAGATCGGTATATGACAGTAAAATGGAAACTTTCCAGCTCTCCGGGAAAGATATTATCTGGGGGCAGAAGCTAGCGACCCTGGGGTTATTCCTGCTTTGCCGTCTCCTTCTGCTCCTGGAATCAGATTCGAAGAAAGCATCGCGTTTTTCAGGTAGTGATTACAGGTATGCAAGGTAAGGAAGGCCGGGACAGAGCAGGGGTAGCGCCTCACACTATGCTTGGCTTGTCTGGGCCACTTTCAATCTGCTAGTGTCGCTGCAGTTCTGTGATGAAAATGTCAGGGTCTTTTTCATTTTTTTCTGTCACTTAATTTTGTTTTTCAATTAGTTTATATTCAGTATTATTTTGCATTGTTTCAGGTGTACAACATAGGGGTTAGATAATTACATACTTTACAAAGTGTTCCCTCCGATATTTCCAGTACCCACCTGACACCATACAGGGCTGTTATGTTAGTGATCATGTCCCCTATGCTGTACTTTACCTCCCCATGACTATTTTGTAACTAACAATCTGTACATCTTAGTCCATTTATTTTTTGTCACCCAGAAAGTGTCAGGGTCTTTGTGTTAACTATTTTGCCTAAAAGGACCGCTTCCTGCAGCTTAATTTAGAAACATAACTCTTCCCCTCCCGCTTCATATCGGGTACCTACCCTGTATACATAGCCCCTCTACTCACACATCACCTAAGAATCAGGCATCAGGTCTGTGCAAGGGTAAGGGTGGAAGCAGAAAGCAGGGTTTCACTATATGACAATCTACCTAGGACACAGTCTCTTGGAGCACAATGGGACTCAAGTTAGGCACTACCCCGGCAAGACATTCACAGCCAGGGGTTTTGAATGCAATTTTCGAGATAATCTTGAAATCATTCTTTAGTTTAAGATAACTGTCAGTGACCTGAGTCTTGCCCTTTCCAGCCTGGGCTTTCTTCTGCCTATCTAAAGAAATCTTTTTAGTTCCCATTTGCTTTTTATTCCCAGTAAGATAAGTGTTTGCTAAATACCTGACCATCTGTGTAAGTGCTTTGTCTACCAAGAATTCAGGCTGAACCATACACATTCCGGAAAGCTTTGAGACTCTCCAGAGCCAGAGGTGAAATAAATCATGTACAAATCAGAACAGAAAGGAACCATACTAAACAGCTAGTTCATACCAGCGATGTCATACTTCCCTTTGCAATACCACCAAAAGTATAAAAATGACAGAAAAGCACAGGGGCTCAAACGGGGTAGGTGGTGAGAATCAGGCAGGCAGCAACCATCTTATGTCAAAGACAGAAAAGGAAAAAACTCTGTGTATTTCACTTGAGCTTTCAGGCAGGGGAAGGGGAAGGAGAGGGGGGTACTAGGAAGTGAATTTTCTCTAGATAAAGTCCCTGTAAAAATTCATGAGTTTGCCTTTGAGACCATCCAATTGAGACTGGTGTTAGGAATGGGATTCTCCAGGCCAAATTTCTTTAAAAAATTAAGGAAATA